AGTTATCAGCGCCATCTATCTGCGGCACAGCAACTTCTTCCTGTTGCTCGATAGACAAATGCCAGAGTGATGGTAGGGCAAAAAAGTCAAGCAGAGAAAGCCACACGCGAATGCGTTTAAGCTAACAAATGTTTGCTCTCTCATTGAATTTATCTCCCTCGTTCTTTCTCTCTCTCTTATTTTATTCCACAAGAAATTCATAGAAGCAATGAATGGCATCATCTTTACGTGACGCCCATTGGTTAGGCAACACTTTTTGCAGGTTTTTTTTCGCGCTGTTCACATTTTTAGGTGTTTATTATATTATAGCACACACTCAACACACGTGTGGCTTTATATAATATACGAGCAGGTTTGTTTATATGTATTTCCTTTCATTCAATTCAAAGTGGAGCAACAACGCACTGACACAAAGGGCGATAACTGAGTTTTGTAACAAGTAAACTAATTATTTTTCGACTTTGTTGTTGCTTTTTTTCTGTGTCAGTGGTTGGCAGTTGTTTTTGCAGAGCTTCTTCTTGTTTGCTCGCCTTGAGTAGCGAAAAAGATGAGGAGCGAAGAAGCAAAGGAGAGCCAGCCATGTACGCATGTCCATGTGCTTGTGTGCGATGCTAAATTACAAAATAATGTACACACTTGGCGTTGTAATCGCCATTGTTGTTTGATGTTCTTCATGTTGTTGGAACTGCCTCTAACTGCTTGTTCATGCCATTGTGCTTGCTCATCATCATCAACACTGGCCCCACTGTGAATGAGAGTGTGTGTACACATAAATACATATGTGTTATGTACACACACACACTCTGTCACACACACACACCCTTAGGTAGGGAAGTGCCTGTGCCTGCGTCTTTCGCCTTGCTAGCGCAATTAACGCATTCACAAATGAAGAGTGTCAAGGCAAGCAGCCAGCAGAGTCTGTCTGTCATTTTAGTATGCAAGTAAAGTCAATAATGTAGAAGCCAAAAATCGTCTCTACTGCCCAAATGATCACATACACATAGAACCAGATACTTTTCGCAGTTGTAAAGTTTCTTCAAAACTTTTAAGGATAGTTAAAAAGCTGGATGCTATTAGCAGCGCTCAAACGGAATATTTTGCAAAGGCCAAAGTCCATCAAAAAGAGGCTTAAGGAATGCCTCAAACCATTAAAAACTTGCAAAGAAAAATTATTCCCAAAACCAACCTAAAGGTTGTAAAAAACCAAAAAGACTTTTGTTTTTACAAATGCATGTGTGTTGGAATTTGCATTTCGTTATAAAATTGCAATTGAAATTTAAATATTTTTGCAGTTGGTTGAGCACAAATATTATAAAATTGCAAGCAAATTCATTTTTTGTTTCATACCAATACAACGGATTCTCGCTTTCAAACAGCAATCAATAAATGAACGAGAATTTAAATGCCACGAAGTCAAATGTATTGGACATTTATATTTTATTATTCCACCAAACTGAGTTCAGGGTATAAAAAAGAAAAGTAGCAGAAGGCCTAGCAGTCTGCATATACCTGAAACCTGTCCACAAAGTTCGAAGCACGTTTGCCTCTAAATATCGAATAAAGAGAACTTTAGCTTAGCATTCATATAAATTTTAATAATATGTACAATAAGAAATAAAATAATAATAATTAATAGATCAATATTTCGAGAAACCAAAAAATATAAATGTATAGATTATGATAAATATAGTCACTGTATAGCATAAGTCTATGTTCGTAACAATTTGCAGTAGATAAACAGATTATTATCCTCACTATTATCCTCTGGAAAATGCTTCAGCATCAACTTGCTCTGGATTTAACAGATTTCATAGATAAAACAAAAAAGTTCTTTTATTAGTAAAAACTTTAAAGTGGTTTAAAAACTCAAGAAAGGTTTTCTCCTTGCCACATAAGCGACAGTAAAACTCGGACAATCTACATGAATATCCCGTCAATTTGAGGGTGCCGCCACACCTTTTGGTAGTGCGCCGACAGTTTCAGACCGGATGATCTAGCAAAAAGGACCAACATCGCCTTCGAATTAACTCCCCGACCGCTCTGATGCTCCCGACACGACAGCATAACGAGCCTATTTGCAATGCTGCCCCAGAGTCTAGCCCCATCATCATAGCTGCTGGCTTGTGCTTGTGTAATATTTATGTAAATTTGCCCCGCCTGCCACAGAAATTGAAAGGCGTAATGGTTTGTTGCGCTGCCTACTTTGCATATGACGACGCTTCGCTTCGCTTTTTTGCTTCATGATGTCGCTGCTCGCTTTTGTGTGTGTGCATTTGGAAATTGTTCATAATAAATACACACACACACGCAAACACAGAGAGAAAGAAGCAGAGAGACGGAGAAAAAATACAGTATATTATATATACAACTGACATCAGGCATATTAAGCGCTATAATCGAGTGGAAGAGAATTATTTTGTGTGAACTAATTGCATTAGTGACATTCAATTTGACGCCCTGGCAGAGAAACAGCGCTAAACGGCAATTGTCACAGAGCACCGACTATTCTAATAGACCCCCTCACAATGTCATGGAGCTAATGTTATTTTTTTGTTTTTAGTTTCTGTTTTCGTGCCCATATAGATTGTTTACTTTGTGCTCAGCGTTTTGTGCTGCCTACTTTCAGGGGCAGTCAACCAAATCCAGCGCTTGTCACTGATTTGGGATAGGGAACCTTCCTCCTCTTTAACTTTGGGTCCGCTGCGTGACGCTTGGGCAATCATGTGAATTGAGCTCTACATAATTTGCAAAACTATGCGAGTCACTAAATGCAAGTGTGTTCTTTGTACTATGGGAAATGCCAGTTTCCTTATTACGTAGACATATTGTGCCGGGACGCACAATATTTTAGAAGCACCCAATCTAAGCGACATTCTCTTACAAGTTATACTAGGCTTATTTGGGATGCCTATATCGATAGCTCGCTATAATCGCCTCTAAATAACGCAGCGATATTGGATGTTTGGTTTTACATTGAACATGTTTTCACGTTTCTCATTGATAAATATAAATTTAGTTTTCAGCCAAATATCGCATGTTAGAGCTCAATCTATTATGATAATTGAGCTATGAATGACTGCACCTTAGGCTACGATTTGTGCAATCGAAATAAGTTTTAAGAATTAATCAAAGAATGATGATAGGTGAGCGTTACGTTGGACACTGCACATTTCGCATGCTTTAACAGAGACCCATAACATTCTATGCCAGTTTACTATATGTGGCAGAGTAGTCAATATACATATATATATAGAACCATTATAACCCACATCAGATAAGAGCGAATATGGAAACTTAAGTTAATCGTGTAAATATTATATCGAGTTAAGTTTCGGCAGAAAATCCTATTTTATGTGTTTACAGAAGGTATTGAGCCACCCATGTGACAAGTGTCTATGTTTAAGTACGTGTGTGTTTGTGTCTCTATGTTAGTGTATGTGTGTTTGTGTGGGTGTGTTTGCCTCTTGTGGCTTGGAATTTTATGTGCCTGCGCGTGGGTCAGCCAAATGAATTAATCTTACATGTCGTTGACACATTTTCGGTTGTTGCCCAAATGTGTTGGGCACTTGGTTTCCGGTACGGATTTGCTTACCTGTGTACGGGTCCAGGTCCAAGCAAACAGTGGAGCGTGCAGGAGGGAAGAGAACAGAACAGAATACGTAGTTGTGTAAGCAGTTGGGTACACACACGCAGATATACAAAAAGAAATGATATATCGTATAGCTACGTTGATTTACAAACATATGTATCTACATATGGCTTCTAAAGCAATTTAAATACGAAATGAAACTCAAAGGCGCAAAACATTTTGTGGCAAGCTGTGGCTGCTTTTTAGGTGAATGCAATTAGTTAACGGATTTTAGACACAGTCTCTAGTATAATATGTACAACTGTCCCACACTCCTTGGCAGTCGCTGCGAGAGTGTGTGTGTGTGGCTCACCTGATGTCCGGAACATATGGAGCCATTGGGTACACGCACACGAAACGGACTATGCACGGGGCAAGAAGTGCGTGGTCCCCAGCGCGAGTTGACCGCTTGCTGAAGGGACAACGCTGAGCTGCAGGGATTAAACAGCGCCGGCGGCGGCGGGCAGGGCGGCGCTGACATACTTAACGAACTGAGACCGCTCATGCTGCGGCAATGGCCCGACAACATGGCAACATCAGCAGCGGAGCATTGGGCCACTGGTATGCCCTGGCCACTGCTGCCGACACCGCTGCCGCTCATGCCACTGCTGCCACTGCTGCCGCCGCCGCCGCCACCACCCAACAGAGACATGTGCGAGCCACAGCCACCGGACATCAACGACTGTGATGTGAGCCCATGATGCTGGCACATGCCGACGCCGCCGGATGCTGTCACGCCCGCCGTTGACCATTGACCAGTCGATGCTGCTGCTGCTGCTCCTGATGCTGCCGCTGCTGCTGCAGCCTGTGAGTCACCGCCGCCGCCGCCGCCACAGTAGTGATCCACGGTAAAACTGTCTTGGCTACCAGAGCATTGCAATCGATGCGGTGGCGGTGGCGAGGATTGGCGCGAGTAAATGTTGTTTTAGCTGTTCCCCTGTGCCAAGTCCTTTAGCCTGCTGATATGCTGCTCTTGTTCTTCTGCTTCTGTTTGTTGTAGTGGCTGTTCCTTAGCTTAGGCAGCTCCTCTTGCATTTCCTGCTCTATTGACAGTTATTTGCGTATCTCGCCTAATATCTCAAAGTTTAGCTATTCACTGAATTATTCAATCCCAGCGATAACTAACAAGAACAACAATTAACTATTAACAACTATTAATATCGTATTTGGATTCCGGTTATGTGTTACAACTATTGAAACTATTATGTATTTTCCAGTTCTTGTTGCTGTTGCTCTCTCTTTGGTAGCATTTAAATTCCTTAACTCTCACTGTACATATCTGCATATATAGCTATATAATACTATATATAGTTATATATATTATATATACATTTATGTTTATTTAAATATATTTATATATAGACTTGGGAGTATGCTGTAATTTATTTACGCCCTGCAGTGTAGACTTGGTGTCGAATTTTTCAAAAAATTATTGTTTCCTTTAATTGATTTATGTTGTGCTTTATCCCTTGTTGCTTTATGTTTTAATGATCTTTGTTTTTTTTTTTAGTTATTTACTTTTCAGTTATTATGAATCACAATCGTGTTTATTATTGGTATTATTATTATGTATTAAGTTGCTGTGTTTTTAATTTTTACAAGTGTAAAGTTCACTATTTATTTTTGTTTAGCTGAATTTAGTTTCAAATTTTGAGTTGCCTTTTTGGTTAATTTTTTATTTAGCATGCGAGTTCTGCAAAAGAAAACGTTGATAAGCCCAAAATAAACAAAATCTATTGAGGGATTTGTGGAAAACTGGGAATCGTGAGAGGACATACTAGTTAAGCTAAGCTAATTGACTCTACTAGGTCATTATATGTTGTTCAAGGCTCAGCTCAGCACAGCAACTGATTATATACTCTTTTTAGTATGTACTAATTAATGTAAGTGGGTGAATAGGTATGAATAAAGTATTAAACAAATAAGAAACACACTTAACTCCGTATAAGACTGCACTTTTAATAACGTAGTTGAGTTTTACATTGAATAAAAATGTGAATATTTTCATCCACAGCCCAATTCAGACTTTTAATTAAAGCAAACGGCCAAATTACACCAGACTGCCTAGCCAACAAAAATATAATTTTATGCGCCTAGAAGATAAAAAAATAGAAAAATACTCATGGGAGGGACGCTATCTAAATTGGCCCAACGGCCAGCAACAAGAAAAGTTCGGTCGAAAGGCAACAAAAAAGACAAGGCAAACAAAAAATATTTTTAAACTCGACCGAACTCGAATTCCCCGGCGACTACTGTACATAATAACGAACGATGGCAGCAGAGCGAGGCTGCTTATGTTAAATACATAGTTTGAGACAAAACTCAAAGCATCTAAGGAGAGCGCCGAATTAAATTATGAAGAAATTGTGAATGCTTTAATAATATGTTTTTAAATGTCTATATTAATAGGCAACACAAACAGGCGGGCGGACGGACAGACTGGCAGGTAAGGGTGTACGGCTCAAAGACACAGGTAAAGGTATTTGTATAAGGGACACAAAGGTGCTGAAATGTTTGTTTCGCCAGTTTCCGCTGCCACATTTTAAGAATGCTAATGTTGCCTTGTCGCTTCCGCACCATAATTGAATGAGAACGTGCTGAGCTTTTCGCATTGGCCAGGGAAAGCTGGGAGCTAGGCGGGAGCCCAAAGGCCACCAACAGACGCAACTTTGCAGCGCAACATACGCGAACAAAATAACGAAATTCAATTCATAAAATATTCAAAAAAAAAATACAAAAACAAAAAAAAAAAGAAAAACTGAAACAAAAATAAAAGGCCAACACCACATATACAGAAATTTTCATATACAACAGCCGCAGAAATACTGTGGAACCCAATAAATGGATGGAGGGGTAGACGCAGGCGGAACATCTGAATCTTGAAAGTCGGATTCTGAAGAATGTACAATGTGTGGGAGTCAATGGAGACTGCAGTTGGACTGGGGCCAAGTAAATGATACCAAACATTATCTATGTATTGTTGCAGTGCTCTCTCTCTCTTTGCAACTATGGGTGTATGTGTGTGTATATACACACATTTTTGATAAGGCAAAAGTAGACGGAAATGGCATAGGAAACGGAGGTGGAAAATAGAAGGCAGAAGGCAGGAGGCGAACACCGACGTTGGGTGGTTAGCTGCTGTGCTTGAGCTGAGCCAGTGAAGTGAAAGAAATTTGTGGAGTGTAGAGATGAAATGGCATACTTAAGGGGGTCGGGGTCTTCAGGTGTTACGGGGGTTGCTTCGCTATCCTGCTCATACTTACTGCAAAGTTGTCGCTGTAGTTGAAGTTGTTTTTATTGTAGCTGTTTTTGTTCTTGTATGCATCTAAATCGTTATGTTGTTGTTGTTTTTATTGTTGATATTGCTGTTATTTAATTTTATTGTTAGCAGTTCCAGTTGTAGTCGCTGTTGTTGTTGCTGTAGTAGTTGTTATGTCTGAGAGCCGAAATCAATAATGAAAATAAACGAAGACTTGGTTTTTTCGGATTGAGGGTTGATCTCTTGCACTCATCTAAACAAACAGTCAAAAGCACTTGCTGCAGTTACAGGCCATAAGTTGATAAGCCAGCTGTCACAGTTTATTCAATTTCCGCAAGGCCAGACAAGCCGCACACACGCACACACATACACTCGCATACACCTTTACTTTCACACACAGGCAGAAAAACACATCAACCACATGGGCGTGAAGATAAACACGAAACATGAAATCAGATTAATTTAATTCAATTTGTAACGCGTTCGCTTGTCGTTTGCGAAATCATTGATAATAATTTTGGTCAAATCGATTTTGGAAATGCTGGTGGTTCGATTGCTTGCTCGGTTGGTTGCCCACGCCACGCGACGCCACGAGATGCTACGCTACGCCACGGCAAGCAATCGAAACTGGAGACACTGCGGTTGTTGCTTCGAAGGCACGAAGGCACCGCCGTCAATGACAACGGCAACGGCAACGGCAACGACAGCGGCACGAGAGCAGCACACATAGCTCGTTGCCTCGCCTGAGACTCTCGTGCCTCGCCAGCGTACGACCAACTCCCACATACACACTGAAATTTCTATGCGTGTGTGTGTGCGTGTCCGCTTGCTGCCTCGAACCAATATGCAAAAAATCAGCAGCCCGCAGCGAGCTTAAATTCAATGGCACGAAAAAGTCGCTGAAAGAACGCAATGTGTGTTTGTATGTGCGTGTGGTGTTAACGCATGTATGTGTGCTGATTTTTCTTGACTTTATTTGTTCGTTTTTGAGCATGTGGCGTGAGTAAAAATCAATTTGTGTCTAACTTTTTTCATCATTTATGCCTTGGCTCTTTTTAGATTCACAAAAGGCCACAAATTTTCATGGCCTACTTTTGTGCGCCGGCAGTTGGCAAACTATTTCTTTGCTGGGCCTCAAAGTTTTTGAGCACTTGCTGTTAAAATTAAAAAGTTTCGTTTCTCTTATATTTCGTACATTTTTGCTTATAGCTTCACTCATCTCATTTCTTTTTATTTCGGGGTTTCTTTAATTTATTTTTTTGCACTGGCTTGCGCCGTATGGCAGCGAGTACGACAACAGCAACAACAACTACGGCAACGACGAGGATGAGCCAGATATATGGCTCATACTCACTCTAGTGGGTATATGTGAGTGACTGCGCGTGTGAGTGTGTGTGTGCGTGCAGTAACCGTCGACGTTGTTAAAGCCGTACTGAATGTTGCTGCTGCTGCTGCTGCTGCTACTACTACTACTGCTGTTGTTCTGTACCCGTCCTATCCAGACTAAGGCTCGCGTTACACTGCCACACTTCCAGCCAGCAAGGTGCACAATTATAGACTAAACTCCAAGTTATCAGCAGCGATTCAACAATGCTGCCATCTGCTTAGCTCTCGCAGCTGAATGCAGTCAGCGTCAACAGCAGCAGCGGCAGCAGCAGCAGCAGCAACAACACTCGTAGCAGTCGCAGCTTCAGTTTTTCACCTAGCAATCAATTTCCGGTGCAGATGGCAGCTTTATGTAATTTTTTATGTGTGCAAAAGAGATGACTATATTGGCGATTTAAGGCTGGCGGGCTGTGGGCGGCTGGATGTTGGTGGTGGGTTGCTGCTGACGCTGCTGCTGCTGCTCTTGCTGCTGCTGTTGCTGAATCTGTATAGGATGCTGTGCAGGACATGCGCAATGGTACGATGAAAAATTTTAGGCTGGCCAAGCAATTCTTACTACGGGCACATGCTTACAGCTGCCAGCAGCGCTGCTGGCGTCGCAGTCAATGCTTACGCCAACAGCATTGATATTTGTCTAGCACTAGCAACAGCAGCAAGTAACGTTAAGGGCTTGCAAAAATATTCGTAATTTATGGCGCAATGTCTGCGCCACGTAGTCGTTAACCCAATCATCGCCGGCGTTCTCCCGTCATCATCATCATCATCAACGAAGTTGCTGCTGCTGCTGCTGCTGCTGCTGCTGCTACTGCTACTACCGCTGCTGCTGCTGCTGCTGCTCATACTAGTTACTGCTGTGGTCGCATTGCTAAATCATGCCATCGCCCATAGTCCAAACTAAAGTAGGTGACTTGTGTCCACACTCACACACACACTTACACTTACATAAACACAAATTCTTGTACACAGATAGGTATGCCCACTGCTTATTTGACAACCGCATGCGGGTTTGCGCCAAAGGAATCATGACCAAAAGGAAAGAATTCCGAAGCCACAACCTAATTACTTGTGGGTAAGCAGCCCAGTTGGCAAGAATGTGCAAGCACAGTAGAAAGCGGACAGATGGAGAGGCCGACTAGGGAGCTTATAAGTTATGGAATCTGTGCTGAAGCACTGGCAAATAATTATGAAATGCGCACCAAGGCCCAGAGACAGACAATCGATTGATAAACAAGGACAACATTGTCACGCCTTTGCCCCTGTTCCAGCCTGACGATGTTCCTACTGCTGTTTCACACAAATGCTGTCACGTTTAATGCGAAGCATAACAGGCTTTTAATTAATGCACAATAGAGTGCACGGCGTGCTACAATCCCATCAAGTGCTACGACAACGATTCGGAATGCATTTCGCGCCAAGGTCTCCATGGAAGCGCGGATAGCAAACAGTGTCCTGCGCTGCCAAGGCACATCTAATTCTATAGTGTAGGTCAAGGCCTGAATCACATGTTATACTAGCTGTAACGGCATCGAGAATAACAGCCAATAAACTATTAACATAACACTTTTATTGTTGCTGTTGTTGTCTTTGTCACAGTGTCTCGCTGACGCTGAAGCTGTTGTTGTCGTTGTTGTTGTAGTTTGCGCAGTCGTTTAGTCGAAGAGCAATTTGGCAACGAATTTGTCATTTTATCGAAGTGGCAACAACATTTACTCGCCGCATCAACAACAGGCTGCACACTTTAGCCATTTCGACATTTATGTGTGTGGCCAAAAGGAATACACTTAATGTGCCAGTGGGCCAGTACGGCCCACAACGTGGTTTGTGTCCGGGCCAATTCTGTTCAGGTGACTGCTGCTGAACTGAGCTGCCAGTTAGCCTGCATGGTTGTTGACACGTTTAGTTGTCGGCTCACACATGCACATTTACTGAGCTATATATATTTGTGTATAGTGACATTCGCATATAAGTCAGCTTTGTGTACATTTGCCAAATCACAAACAAGTCAAAGGTACATTAAGCATAGTGTAAAACTCGTTGGGAGTTACGCAGAAATCAGAACAAATTCATGTCCGATAGTCATGGTAACAATAGCATGTCGTAATCAAATGACAATAGACAATGCTGCAAACATCTTTCAATATTACACATACACAAAATTGCAACATTTTTAATTGTAAAATTGATGGACAATGTGCGCATACGCGTAAATTTTAATTGGAGTAGTTATTTCGATAATTAATTTAATATGTAAAGCAAATATGTATCCAAATTAAATTGCCAAAGTCGCATATTACCTCTGATGCTTGGCATTGTCTTGTTCTAACAAATTTTATTTTCTCATGGTAATGAAGGAATATGCCAGAGAAGCAATAATAATATCATTCAGGCATTTTACATTTATTATTGCTTTTTTTCCCTTTGAATCTGCAAGTTATGTCAACTTGAATAAACACACATATGTTCAACTAAATGCTAGGAATATATAAACTTAAGGACGTCATTAGTAAATGATGGTAAAGGTATCGCAAGAGCCCGACTTAACAAAGAATCGAAATAATATCTCAAGTATATAAGCTGTCATTTAAAAAAAATATATAGTGCATACATATGTTCTGTTTAAGCCAACACTTTTTTTAATCCAAATTAAATTTACATCCTAAAAATCATATAATACATCACATACGTATTGTGAAGGGTTGACCATTAAGATTTTGTAAGTCTAACTATTGTGAAACATTAAACAAACAATTGCATTAAATTGATTCGCTATCGGACGTGATCCATCCACATCAACTTGCCAACTCAATATTTCCACGAATTCCGTCAAATTTTACTAATTTTCAGCCATTTTCAGCCAACAGAATTTTCGCAGTGGACGTCATAAATTCAATCGTCGTCATGGGGAAGCAAATGCATTCACGAGTGGCTGTTTAGGTGGTATTTCGTCATGAGATAGCATTAGAGAACATTTTTAAATGGACGAAATGCCTGTGTTAATTAGAGACAGTGATATCAATGATATTTGGACTGAAAATGTAACTAATCAGCTGACAAGCCGCCCCACAGATAGATAGATGCTGCTTGAAATAAAGAAGAATTTCTATATGTGTATTGTGTAGTTTGATATGTGTACAATTGCTATTTGGAGCAACCCTTTATAGGCTTTTCAATGAATTTTCAATAGAAATATGGATTCAACTGCAAGAAACAAAGATTAAAAGAAAGGCCAGGCAGCCAACATTATTAATGTTCAAATCATGGTATGTTATGAAGCAAAACCGAAAGCCATAAATAAACTATTATTTTCGTAAAGCATAGAAAATCGCCTAAAAATGAACAGCAAATATCCACACTGAATCTAAAATTGTCCAGCTGTCATTTTGTAGACTACTACATCAAGTAAACATAAATTTAAAATTAAAGAATATTTCCAGATAGATATATATGGATATGTACATGCTATACCTTAAAGCAATGTTTTCCTTTTTAGCCATTATATTTCACCTGCTCTTCAGCCTTGTTGGGCTTTTTGTGGCGCAGTATCTAATTTGTAGACGACTGGGCAAAATAAGCAAACACAATTTGATTTAAGCCAAACCACGGCTTAGACCAACAAAAACGAACATTTTTAACTGTTATTATTAATCAACTAATTCGTTATCTTTAATAACAAATTCTGGGATAGTTGATGCCGAAGGAATTCTCAAACAAATCGTGCAATCAAAAGTCTATCAAGAATCATAATTTCAGCATTGGCGTCTACCATTGACGCTGCTTCAGCTGTAATAAAATTTACCTGATGATGAAGGTTATTGTAGTAGCGCGTTATGTGCGGTGGCAAAAGCTCAGCCGTCTCGAGGCCGATCCACTGAAACACACTGTACTGTGGTGTTGAAGTGGTGGTTGTTGTTGTTGCTGTTGCTGTTGCAGTTGTTATGGATGTGCTATCGCAGCAGCAGCAAGCATCCTCCTTATTCTCCACCACGACCTCATCCGCCATTCAGAACTAGTATGCTAATTTCGTTTACTTGGACCGATATTGGCTTCCCCGTTGAAATTTGTTCACTTATATTTTTTTTATAGTTGCACACATTTGAATTTAAATTGAGTTATAGACGCTCAGTCGATGCTGCTGCACCATTTTGTTGCTCTGTCAATTTATGAGCATCGCCATGGCGCGGCCCCAAACCAACTCCCAACGCCACATGGCGGGGGTCGAGAGCACAACGTCGCCAATGACAGCGGTTGCCCTTTTGTCAATTGCTCCCATGTGGGGTTTGCCGCCAAACACGTGGCTGTAAACTTGGCTACAAACGTGGAGGTGCCTGTGCCTGTGAAAGTGTCTGCACCTCTCCCTGTGGCTGTCGTCCTTCTGTTCGCTATGCGCCGGAGGTTACTGCGGAAATTCGCGCGTAATTGGCACACTGACACGACACTATCCACTCCAGAGACAACTTCGCATTTGCGTTTGAATCCACATCCACAGCCACATCCACATCCACATCCGCGAACGCGTCCGCGTCTTGTTAATTGGGTCAAGCGAGCAGAGTGCGGCGCGGAGTGACTCACTTGAGAAATAGACTCGAGCAAACTTAACTTGACTTGACGAAGACGAAGGTTTCGCCCCACAATTCCCAGAGCTTTGTTTAGCCCAGCTGCTAACCCTTTTGGGGTCGAGTCGCCAATGGCGTGGGCGCAGACTGACGCGAAATCGCTCGTTAGGCGCCTCTTTTACACATCACTTGGCAAGTGTCAAATAAATCCAACTGGAGGCGAACCTTTACCGTACGATGCCTTGCGCTGCTCTGTTGTTGTCGTCGTTCCCTCGCGGCGACTGCGCCGCAAACTAAACAGAAATTTGTGCGCGCTTTTTGTTTAAGTCAATCACGAATGCTCGGTTGGTTAGTGCTACGCATACACTCGCATTCTCACACGCAAAACGCACATATACTTCGACACATGCGTGTGTATGAATGCAAATATATAAATGCATATGCATTAGTATATGTATGTGAATTGCTCTGCTCCTGCGGCAGCAGCGGCAGAACGCTCGCTGCACTTTGCAGCGCCAATGAGCAGAGAGTAAGAGAGTGTGAGAGTAAGATTTTGCAGCGGTTGTTTGGCCTGCAATCGAGGCCCTTACAGTAGTTGTTGTTGTTTCGTCTTTTTTTTTACCTACGCCTACCCGACATCCAACACCCTGAACACAGTTCTCACTCTACTCTCTGGTTGGATGTATGCATCGTATTAACACAGTTGCTCATTGCTCGTTGGGCCTACGTTTGCTCAGTTGTTCATATCGTCCGTCATTTTTATCCATCTATTTCATTTTTTCCTTCTGTTTTTTATATGAATTTATGAAAATGAGTCGCTGACAGTCGAGCTCAGCTTGCGTCACAAACAAAGCGCCTGACAGACAGTTTGCCTGACAGGGTAAACTGTACGAGGACCCAGTATAACTGAGAACGGATTCCTCGTCTAAGGTTCGACCGTTAAATATCCTGTGATCAGTAGGACAACAGTTTTTGTTTTTGAGTCAAGAAATTTCTTCAAATGTGGAATATATATATATATATATTATATATTATATTACACTAGTTAAATGAATTCCTAGCCCGATTTTAATTTCGACAAGGAAAGTGATGTTATTCTTTTATATTTGCCTTGTAAGTAAGTACAGGGTATGCAATCCAGCTCAGCAACAAAAAGTGTGGTCTGCTTCAAGGAGCAATTAACGACAACGGACATCACAGTTATAGCTCTCAAATCACACATGCCCAGGCATAGAGCATGGCAAACGATGTTGAAAAAAGGTTTGCATTGATTTACCCTGTATAAAACTAGGCATATTAAGTATCTAATACATAAGGCACATTGAATGCAAAATCAGACTTATGGATATAAAAACTAATAATACTAATAATAATACCCGCTGCTTTGTGAAAAGCCGTGAAAAATCAGCAATATAATTATAATTAAATTGATTACCTCACGGGCTAAAGAAAATGTTCATATATTTCATATGCAATTGTTAATATTTGTTAGTGTATTTAAATGTGGTTATGAAATAGTGCCAGCATCCAACAATTTTTTTCGCAATCGTTAAACTTTTTTCTACTTGCCTCCTGCAAATGTATTTTGCACACCTACGACTGTGCAGCACTTAAGATGTGCTGCATACTTTTCAGCGCAAAAGCCTTTAGGGAGAATCCTCAGCCACTGACACTGGCACTGATACTAGAGCTGGATTTGGCACTGTTGGGCTAGCATCAGCAGAGGCACCAGCGTCCGAATTTCATTTAGGTTTATTCTGATTAAATTGTATGTATTTTGGTTGCATTAGCTGGCGCAGTCTGTTTGCTTATGTATTGTATGTACAATGTATGCCTGAGAGTGGACGTAGATGTACGTGTGTGCCAGTGTTTGTATGGAGGATTAGTGACTGACTGGGACAAGTAGAGACAGCCCTACGGAAGTTGATAGTTTTAGTGGTGGTTATAGTGGCCTGGTGGGTGGGGAGCCCGGAGCTATGTAATGGTGGTGGTGTTTGTTTGTATGCATTTACCACTGCTTTTGTTTACTGGCACTAAATACATTTCAAATTTGTTTTGGCTTATTCTAAACCGAACTACAAAGAGTGGACCACAGATTGATATAACCACATCGTCTGCAACTGGCAGTCGCATAGAGAATATAGACCGTAAACAGCTCAGAGCTTGCCACAAAATATTGCCAAATATATACTTAATTGTATATACAAAGTTTAAATAAATATAATGCAAAACTTACCTGCAAGTGTGGCGTTGCGAGCAGCTGCATCAGCTCATCCTTGGCATACTTATTGCCTGCACTGACTCCAACTGATGACAATTGTTCTAGGACATCGCGACTGCGCGCAACAGCCTCGGCGGTAGGCGCCCGACCATTTGTTGTGATGACCGTGGAGCTAATGCGATCGAAAAGCTGCAGAAACTGTTGTAAGCGACCATCACGCAGCATATCGCGCAGCACATCCGCATCCACATGCGCGTCCTGTAGCGAATAAATATCATCCAGGCAGTCCAATATACGCTGCACTGCTTCAATCCCTGCCTCTTCGTCTGCCCACTCGTCTGGAGCGCCCGCAATGGGCACTGCAATGAAAGTTAATTAAACTTATTGTTGAAATATTCAATGGTGAAGACTTACTATCCGCATCCGTTGCATAAAGTGGATCCATGTTAGTACCACCAGCAATGGCCTGCACCGCGCCCTTAAGCTTGCGCCGCGCATTGTAGCGCTTCAATTCCTCAACTGTCTCTGCTAGATGCGTGCGCTGTAATTTGTCGCGATCACGTATCCAGGGATGCTCTAGCACCTCGGTTATAGATAATCTGTGATGTGGATTGGCAGCGAGCATTTTCATGACTAGATCCTTTGCGTTGGCCGAAATTGATTTCCATTCTGGCGCTTCAAACTGCAAGCATTTAATAACAATTAATAGGCAATTAATCATAATAGCTTCTGCACACTTACCGATAACCTTCCGCGTGCTATAGACTGCTGCAGTCGAACACCAGAGCCCAAAAATGGCAGCCTACCAGAGAGCAGAACGTGCAACATTACACCAGCACCCCAAACATCGCAGCCCTTTCCATACAGACGCCTTGTGACCACCTCCGGCGCCATATAATGCGGACAGCCTACGCGTCCATGTGTTTCTATGGTTTCCCGTGTACCCGGCAACTGTATCGCCGAGCCGAAGCCACCCAGCTTCACTGGCGCCGAGTTATCCACTGTCGCCAAAAGTGCACAAGCGGGTCGCACATCCCTATGCAGTATATCGTTCTCATGGCAATAACGCAATGCCTCCAGTATTTGTCGCATATAATGACTGGCAGTAATAAACAAAAAAAACGGAATTATTTAGTGCATGCATTGGATTTAGTTCATATATTTGATATATAAAGGGCAATGGTTGGAAATTATTAAAAAATGTATCCCCAGATTTACTGAATACTTTAAGCAAATAATAATAATATAATCGAATAGCAAAAAATTGAATTTGCTTGAATATGTAATCTATACATAAACATATTTATCCTCAAATCTTTTAGTAAGCTCAAAGCTTGTGAAGTAAAGTATAAAATTTGTGTTAGCCAAATAGCACTTTACACTATCTCCTACTCTAATATAATAATTTAAATTCTCAGTAAAAAATATCTTTTGAATTACTAAAGCCTGATTCATTACAAGTGTGTTAACAAGCAAATAGAGTTTAAAGAATTTATGTAATATTTAGACAGAATGTTTTTAAATTGTTTCATAAATATACATGATACATGTAAATGGATATCGTTAGAATTGCATCACAAGGAATAATTAAGTGCGATAAGTGGTCTCAAACATGACGGCTAAGTATTCCGTTTAAATATTTATTGATTGTCCTAATATAGATACTTTTCTGCTATGAGCAACACAAGTAATTGGGATTTGGAAGAAAAACTGGTGTCATAATGCTATAATTATAGGCAATGTTTCCATGCTCACCAAGCCACCGCCTCGCTGTAGACAAAGCCTGCGACAGCGCGCCGCACAACCTCAAAGCACAAGTCGGAGCCTTCCATGCTGCAAACGAAAGAAAACGAAATATTTAAGTGGCCTACATCCAAATGTATGTATATATGTATGGAACAAAGTCTGGATATGTGCGGGTGAGTGTTACTTACAACTCGAATACCATGTAGAGCATGCCCTCGGAACTGTAGGTTTCCAGCAGCTCAACTATGTGCGGATGCTTCAGCATGTGACATATTGTGGCTTCGCGTTTCAGATCTGTAATGGCAACCAATTAGTTAATATTAGAATGAGCAACATTCGTATGGCTGCCCGCGCAGCCGACACAGCAACAAGGCGCCTAGTGCCCTTGTCTGGCACAAGCTGCACGAAAGTCCTAATGGATTTAACGCTGACTTATGTGCCTGCTATGTATCATTTAGTCAATATCCGAGTCCAGGCACCAATGCATTTGAGAAATTTCATTTTAATTGGCCTATGGACTGAGTAGCGACTTGAGTTTGTTATGTCGGAGCTGTCTCGTAGCATAATGTAATGGGTATAAGTAGGCGACACGTGGCAAATTGTGTTTCGTTGTTACTGCACAATTAGTAGCAAAATAACTTCTATAATTCGCGCGGCTTAATTATAATTTATTCACCCAAAGTACTTCGGGTGATTTGCTTGGGGCACAGTCGTTGCCCAAACTTACCGGCTGTACTTAGTCCTGGGCTTGCCGTAAACTTGGCCACATCAACAATTTTGACAGCAAACTGCTGATTGGACTCTCGATGTATGCAGCGGCGTACAATGGAGAAGGGTCCTCTGTGGAATGTAGAGAATGTAACAGTATAATAAATGTTTTGTAAAAGTTACCAACTGATTTCAAATGTCCTTTCTGACCTTATCAGGCAAAAGGCTTGCAAACTTGGCATAAACAGCAACAGAAGCTTTCATATTCATATCACAACTATCACACTTCGTTCTACTTAGTTCGACTAAACGGGCATCACATAAATATTAATGTATAATGTAAGATTCGACACCCAAAACTTGCTTCTTCAACTTTTGAAGCAAGTTTGATGCTAGCCAAGTTTGTATTGAAAGCTACTGGCCCCAGTTGAGCCGTCGACAGATGATTTAGTGCGTGCAACACATAATGAGAAATGGCAGCCAAAGCAGAAAAATCTAAGAATAGGGAGCAAAAGGAACTCACTTGCCAATGACCTCGCACAGTTCGTAAACATCGTCAAAGAGAATTTCGTCTTCGGTCATTTTGAATAATTGATGAATTAATGCCTGTGCCCGCCTGGCTCAATTGCTTTTTGGAATATTGATGAGCTGCACCACGGCTGCTGCTGTTGCTGCTGCTGCTGCTACTGCTGCTACTGCCGATGTTCCCGACTGTTGCTCCTGCTCCTGGTCAAACAGCAGTTGGTGCTTCCGTCCTCCTTCAGAAACTTCTATGAACTTTAGTCTTTGCTCTGAGTAGCGAAATGTCAGTGTGCGTGTGTGAGTGTGTGTGCGGCTATATGTCTTGTTGTTGCAGTTGTTGCTTCGTTGTTATTGATTGCGTTGTTGTTGCTGAGCTGGTGTTAAAGATTCATTTCGTCGCATGTAGCTAAAAAATTACACAAAAAGTTGTAAATGTAAGTAAAGAGAACAGAGGGAGTCAAATAAACGGAAATAAAAACAGGCATTCATCAAACCATGCAGATGTGTCAATCACAGGTGCCCGGCTGCCCAGACAACCCAAATCAATTGCAGCCACAAAATGCTCGAAAATGTGTTCCCTGAATGGGACTCTGAACAAAAAGGAAGTTTCACTGTCAGCTGGCTGCACAGTAAACGATTTGAATTTTTAATCGGAAATGGTTACTTGTGGTCCACCCGGTAAACAAGGCACTCGGCCAACACTGACCAACCTAGTTGAGGCTAGAAAAAACGTAGAGGTACAATAGCTGTTAAATGTTGTACGAGTTTTCCTTCACCTTGCTTGTCATCTTCATATTCTTCTACTACTTTTTAGCACATAATAGTAGTTTTATCATGGACAGAACACACTTGAAGTCGAAACACAGTTTTTGATGGTACTCCAAACTTATGTGAGAGTGAAAGCAAGTAGCAGAAACAGTAAGAGAGAGAGAGGAGCGCAGGCGCACGGCGAAGTCCGTGTAAAAATCTTAAAAATGTAATCGTAATGTAAGCAATGCTACAAATTCGCGAAGTACCTACTGGATATCCGGGACATACACACATCTTATAGTTGTGAAATGCAACTATTTAACAACAAATGCATATCGCTCCTGCTGAATGGTAAGATCAGCCTGACCAGAACATACATGTATATTTATATTTATATATATATATATACTTATTGTCAGAGCGCGCATTGGGCGCGGTATGGCTCGGGGCTTAGGGTTCGGTCTCGGGCGAAGGTTTTACCTTGCTCGTGAGTGTCTTTACGGCCGTCGTTACCGTTGTTGTAAAATTCCTTGACACTTTCAACTGGGCGACCTTACCACACATATACACATGTACACACACACATGCTTACAGGAACAACTTATCGCGACAAGTGCCACCGCCTCACAATTAAGAAATTGATTCTTTGTCGAGTATTTTTACAAAGGATTTGCATTGCTCAGCCACTGCCGCTGCTGCTCTTGCTGATATTACCTCCTCACGCCCACCTCATCTGAGGGGCGTAGAAACATACACACTCACAGTCACACACCCGCATACATTTGGTGTGTTCGTTTAGGTACAAACCCCTCCAATCTCAGCGCCGAACAACCGAAATTTGCACAGAATTTTGGTTTACGTCTTATGGCATATCCAATATTTATTTCGGTTTGCCGCTAAAGGTTCACCTGATACTTGTACACATTCCGTTTATAGTGTTACTAATTTATTATTGCTATTTATTCACTTATTTTAACTTAAAACAAACACGAACCGTGAATTGATTGGCAAAGAACAGGCGACAACTGAACTGGTTCACTGCGAAATGAACTTGAGTGCCACTGAGTGAATCTATTGTGAATGTGTTATTTTTGTAAGGTGGCAGCACTAAATCCCATTCAAAGTAGACAGTCGTTGCTCCCTATAAACACTAATCTGATTTTAACAGTCTGGTAGCTTTATCAAATTCAAATTGAACATTGATAATATTATATTCTTATCATTTTTAAGACTAATTTCAATAGCCTTGCCTTTAAGATAATCCATCTTGTCCAAGACAAAGTCAACTTAATTAAAAACAGTTTGTGGAAAATCTAGCAACAAGGCAACCATTTGAAATTTAAACTGCAAATTCGAAAGAAAGTAAATCATTTTTACTCGCAGTAATCAAGTGAAGCAAAAAAATATATACTAGCTAGGGTATTAAAACTGTCTGGCAACTCTGAAACCCCCGCGCAATTTCAAACTTTGACAGATGATTTAACAAATTTAAGTTTTTTTAAACATATTTAAGATTTTGTTGATCTGATTGACACGCCCAAATGGAAGCATCGATATTGTTTAATCTAACTGCAGCATAACTAATTGTTACATACTTGGAAATATATGTGTGCACATATGTAAATATATCTTAATTATCATTTCCTTTGATTTCGTTAATCCATACACCATATATATGTAAGTGTAAGTGTAAAGGCATGAATATATAAAGGCATTTCGAAAATATATGTATTATGGTTTTGCATCTGGAGTTGTTGTTGTGGCTTGACCATAAACCATTTGATAAGCCCATTAGAAATTATTAAGACTTCAGAATTAATATGCCGGTCACATACAGCTCACTCTGTGATACCCACACACAATAGGTGCGTAATCTTTAAATCAACTGCGTCTACATAGCGAGGGACCGGGACCCCAAACGTAAACATCATCAATTACACAGCCCTCGAACGGCAACAAAAACAATAACAACAACAACAACAACAGCAGCAGCAGCAGCAGCAGCAGGAGCAATAACAAAAAGTCAAGAATCGTAGGTCGCAATATGCAGTTTCTTTCTGCGTTGGTTGACAACAGGAACAACCACTGCCGCAACCACTCAGGTGAAATCAAAATCAAATTCAACGCCAACCAATCGTCGCCGTCGACGTCGCCGTCGCTGTCTCTGCTGCCGTCATCTCAGTGCCCACTGCCTTCTGCCCGCTATTCGGTTACTGCGCTGCCGCCTCGTTCGTCGTTGTCGTCATTATTTGGACGCGTCGCGACTTGCGACTGTCGCGCTTAATGCGTGTGGATTGGACATGGACGTGAACGTGTAGGATTCGAATTGACATTATAAAAACTGGTTTGCTGCCAATATATATATATGTATACATATACATACATATGTATGTTTGTGTGTATATTGGTGGTTAAGCGTCCTACGCAGCGGCGACGCAACGTCGACGTTGGCTGTGCCTGTGCCTGTGCCTGTGCCTGTACCGGCGTCCCCGACTCTGACGCTGTCTCTATCTCTGCCTTAGCCTCGTTGTACCTGCTCACTTGACAGCGACTCCTGTTGTTGTTATGCCTGTTATTGTTATTGTTTTTGTTGTTGTTATTGGTGCCTCTAGGAAATTATCCGTAACTAGCTGCTGCAAAATCGAATAAGTAAGAAATCTCTTGTCTGGAGTGGGCGACTAGAAGATACCCTGCCGATACACCGGCAGATCTGCGGTTTATGTTTTACTACATTATGTTTTACTAAAGCATAACAAATGTGATCAAGTTTATGTCTGGTATCCAAAATAAAAATGTTTCAAACTTGATATGTTGTTTCTAGCTCGTAAAGGCTTCATGGCTTCTTATTGAACAAGAATATAAATACTAATTTAAGTCAGCCACTCCTGCTTCTGCCTGTTACATACATTTTATTAAAACCAGAATACCTTCAACTCACATTTCCATTGGATTCAGGGTATAAAAAGCGCGCCAAATGATAAATACGTATATATATGGCTGCAGTTACTGCGACTACAGTGACTGAGGTCACAATAGTTATTCACAATACACACTGCCTTATATTGTACAGTTAATATGCAGTAATCGCGTCGCAATAGGTTATTATCTACTAAATGGATGAAATTACAATAATTGAATTGTTTTCTATTTCTATTTATATTTCTAGTTCATAACAAATTAAATTTATTTACTATAAAAAAGTCTCCATTTCGAGTGTAAATAAACGATATGAATTGAAAACTAAACTCTACTAACTTAATGATATTTGTCTCTAAATATTGGTGATTTTATTAGAACATGCAGGGAAATAAGAAAGTTGCTAAAAGTTAAAATGTAAAGCCAATCAAATTATTAAATAATATAATTATCTCCAGAACTTTGTAGTATTCAAATTGCAAACAAAACAAATTATCGATATAGAGGAGATGGAATGTGTTATCGCAAGAAAACAGATCAATATTAAAGTGGAAATTAAACTCGAGCACTTCGAAGTGTGACACGCCTTATTGGGCGTAGCACGAATCTTTGAAGTCTCACATAACTCAAACACTCAAAGCGAGTTCATCTGCTAAATGGAAAATGAACAGTGTTTCGGACGTCCACTGTGAGGTCTCTAATTTGGATACCGTTCAGAGTAGCGATTATATCGCAATAGGAAAACGATGTCTCAACATTATATCAGACAAGACGCTTGGCTTTTCCATTATACGTATTGCATAAATCATTTTCATATCGAATTTGAGACATTTGAGCACTTTTACCCTCTTTTTGATTGTCTATTACACAGAAAACAAAACACAATTTTCACTTGGGATGGTAAGCCAAGCCCTCCAACTCTTTTCCTCGAGAGTAGCACTCAAGAACCTGCTGCTTTCATTGGTAAATATAGAAAAGCTGTGGGAAAGCGTCATATTTTGCGACGAAGCAAAAGCAATGCTGTTCTGTAACAAAGATCGGCCCAGAGTATGGTGCAAGACATTAACTGCATTGGAGAGCAGAAACATCATGCCGACTGCAAAATTTGGAAAGATTTCGGTTATAGTTTGTGGGTGCACTGACATTTATAGAGGCCAAAATTGAGCTTTATTATCAACACATTTTGAATTCTATCAACGGAATGATCCCAAGCATAAGCGGATTAATATACGGACTAAAAAGCCTCTATAATTGTGGCAAGGCTATTGAAACACAACCCAAAAGTCCCGATCTGAGCCTCACTTAACTAAAGAAGTAGGAAGACGGGATCCAAAGATCCAAGCAACAGACAACTGAAAGCTGCTGTCCTAGTTCCCGAGAAGAATTGCTTGATTTTGGGAATACCAAATTGAAGTGGACTTCAATTAAATTTGGAAACTTATTTTACTTATTATTAATTAAAAGAGAAACCGTTACATAAGATGGTAAAATAAATGTAAGCACGTGCATATTAGTGGAGTAAACATGTTAAGTTCTCATATTTCAGTTGCAGCTCAAAACAAAGTTGTACTTAAGATCGTACGTTAACGGATCATCAGGAATTAATCATCTGGCGAAGCTTCATTGCACACATGTATGTATATGCATATGTATATGTGTGTGTGTGTATGTGTATGTTGCCTCCCCCAATTCGATATTAATGTACGCATCTGTAGTCAAATTACGTTGCCTGGAAATGCCATCACTTTGGCAGCTATACGCATATTTATTTACCGTATTGCCAGATCCGATACCCTGATCGTCGACCCATATGGCAGCAGCAGCAGCAATTAACTCAAAATGTCATTAACCAGCGTCGTAGGTGAGAGACGCTCCCACCAGGCACAGACTGACATCTGACAGGCATCAAGCAGACACAGCCTGGACAGAGGCACAGACACAGGGAAAGGCACAGATCACAACCCAGACTGAGTTCTTCTCGGTTTAGCTTCGCTGGGTTCTCTTCAGCATCAGCATAAGCATCAGCATAGTAGAAACGAGTCAAAAACGCCCTCGCTGCCAGCGAGTCGCCTGTCCCTATGTATTATATTCCCCGACGTTCCACCTTGGCATTAAACGCTTGATTAAATTTCACTACAAAATGGGCTGGACAGTACTATGAGCTGTGTGCGCATATATACACATACATATGCGAGTGTATCGGAAAAAGGTCATATCTCGTCTCGACCATATGTTGTTTATATGCAACTTTGCTTAAAGATATATTCATATTTGGACTGTCATGGCCAGCACTAAGGCACTTCACATAGATAGTCAGTTAGAAAGCACAGATCATCGCATACATAGAGTGAGTTTTTTGTTTTTGCCTCGTTTCTTACATATCATTTCCCATGCAAGTTTTGTTCGGGTCTTCCCCATCCGGCAGCAGCGTATGGGGGAAGCCTAAAAAGTGCGCCAGCAGCGGAACGTGGTGAGAAAATGTTTTGCATTATTTACAATTTTTTACTGCAGGCGTTGTCGGCTTTGGCTGTGGCTCTGGCTGTTGCTGTGACTCTGTCTCTGGCTTTGGCTCTGGTTCTGGTTCTGGCTCTGGCTCTCTTTAGCAGGACATCCGTCATCCCGTCAGTTGTTGTCCGTTGCGCTTGCTTTGGTTTTTGGTTTTATCGCTTCGCTTCCTGCCGCGTCGCTGAACCTGTTGCTCTCATTAACAAATTGTCAGGTGTGCTAACGTCAACGTCAGCGCTGCCATCGACGCTGCAGTTATTCGTCATGCTTTGCTAAATGAGCACAGAGGATGGAGACGGTGGCGGATAGGCGGCTTTACGAGCAACCAGAACATGTTTGCAATTCAACTGTAAAACCATTTAAACGGAAAGTTTGACGACTCTTTCTCGCTCGCACACTCACACTCACTCTCTCCACATCTTTGAATCTCTATTTAGTTCCCTCTCTCTCTCCCCACTCACACCACTTTCTGTTTACCTGTTTGTAAACAAACGTCGCCTTAATCAATTCGTAAAAATGCTCAAACTTCAAGTGATAACAAACAAAGGCGAGACGCAATGACAGAAGGGCCCAGTCTCAGTCTGAGTGTCAGTCTTCGGCTCTGTCTCAAACGCAGTGCTCAAGTCCGATGCCAGTTCCAATAACCAGCATCAGGCATCATCTGACAACGTGCGGTATCTGCCTGTTTATTTTCTCACAAAGGCGGTAAAACAAATACAATTTGACTTTGGGAATTGATTTTGAAAACCTAATCGAATTGAGCATCCGCGACGGCAGCAGCAGCAACAGCAGCAGCAGCAAGGTCTCTAATTATACACTAACAAAATGCCTAAGGCAAATTTAAATCAAATTAGACCCTCGGTATATTATTTAGTATATTTAGTATACCAGAGTATAAAGAAAAACTTAATTAAATAAAGATGCAGAGTTTGTCCCCACATTGTCTTCACTTGAAGCATAAAAAGAGTGAGAGAGAGAGAGAGCATGCAGCGATCGACTTACTCTAAAAGTTTTTCATATCGCCCCACCCAGAAGTCAGTTGTGGATCTCTGATTTCTCTCGCACCATACCATATCGATGTTTGCGACTGCGACGACTCCAGCATCTTTAGCGTAGTGGAATATAAAAATTAAGCGCAAGCAAATGCCGCTTCATAGCTATGTAGGGGTTGCATCTTTTGTCTCTGTAAATAGCTAAAGCGACGCAGCCAAGTGTGGCATTTTATGCAACACACGCCAAAATGTGAAGCCGTCTTTGGGTTGGAGCCACTTGGCCTGGCCCCAATGGATCACAGTGCAGACAGACAGACAGGCGGACAGACGGACGGACGGCGCTCATCATTTGCATGGCCTGACTGGTGTTGTTGTTGTTGTTATTGTTGTTTATGCAAACGCATGGGGCATGTCTCCCGCAACTCTAATGACTTCAATGCCTGCTGCGACTGCGACTGCAACTGCGTCCGCCTGTCAGCTTTTCCAAGGCACACAATGAAAAACATTTTCCTGCTCTCCCCCTCCAACTGAGTTTTTATTGCATTTTATTTCAAATTCATTATGTGTATATGTATATGTTTTTGTTGTTGTTTCGTATATGCAAGCAACCTCTGCTCTGAGCCCCGGCACCCAAACTCCAAGCCCCATTGCCCCTGTGTCCCTGACGCTATTTCAGACGCATTTCTTTGCCACTGCCACGTTCAACATAATGAAAATCCATATGATGTCGATGACTTTTTTGTTTTTCTATGACTCCGACAGCGTCACAGGGCTTCGATGAATCTCTCGCTTATACACACACACACACACAACCTCGATCGCACACTCTTTCACACACAGCGGCGTATTCAAATGTGCATGTTGTTGTTGTTGTTGCTTTTGTGTTGTGAATGCTCTCTAATCTCCTAATGTCGTTGAACCTTTTCCTTTATGATTATTTTTTATGCTGTTGCTGTTGCTGTTGTTGTTGGAATTGCGCACAACTTTATTATTATTGTTATTATTCCCGGGCATTTTCCGCATTTCGTTGTTGCTGTTTGCCTCTGCCTCTGTCTCTGCCTCCGCCTATTTGCAGATTCTACTCATATTATCTGCCTGCTCCACCTCGTTCAGCTCTTGTCTCGTATTTTATGTCATAGTAGAAAAACAACTACAACAACAACTGATGACAACGATAACAGCAACAACAAAAACAAGAGTTGCACACGTGCATTCTGCTCTTGCTGCTGCTGCTGCTGCTTCTGCGTCTCTGCAATTATTTCCAATTTAGCAATACAACACTGGCTCCAGCAGATACTTCAGCCTGCCCCGCTGCAGCGTCAGCTCTGGGGCAAGTGCTCGAGCCGCAGCTTGCTCCTATTGTCTTTTCAGTGGCAGTTCATTGGCCGCCAGTTGATGGAGCTCCAGCTGCAGCAGCATCACGGCTGGGGTCAGGCTTGCTCCATGCAATTACTTCATGTACTTGGGCTACAATAACTTGGACGCGATGAGTAGTGGAAAGTCGAGAGTTGGGCATCGGGCATCGGGCATCGGGCATTGGACGAACTGTACGTAAACTGGTTGCAGTTGCAGGATGCTGTACTGGACGAGAGTAGACGCTGCATAAAACTCTACTATCTATCTATCTATGGCTGGGGCTAGGCTAGGCTAGGCTAGGCCAGGCTTGCCTGCCATTGGCTTATGTATTCGGAAAACCAGTTATGGGGCAAGGCTTGTTGCACGCCTGCTTGCCGCAGCGTTGTCAGCGGCAATGATCATGCCAGGAGCAGCAACAACAACCAGCCTAGACCTGTTGCTGATTGTTGTTGTTGCCGCTATCGTTCTGGCTTGTTGTGGCAGCAACTTAAAGGCTATTGACTTTGTTTTTTCTATCGCCAGTCTTTGGGCACACAACACTTCCTCCTCCAGCTGGATATTGCTGTTTGCGTCGGTTCATTGAACCGCGTCACATTCTAATGTCCAGCAAACGTGTTTGGCAGCTTGCAACAGTGGGAGTGTGGCACCTACGTAACATCAACATAGACAAAAAAATAACACTAACAACAACAGAGCCTATCAGAGCCCTCTGTAATTTGTACTCTTCGAGTAAATGGAAATTCATATGCATTTCGAGCTCAGCCATAAAATGTGCACATTGATTTTGACATCGAGTGCGTTGCTATTTCATGGCTTGCAAGGACAGCATTGCCTTTTGTGTGTAAGCGAGTGCCATGTATAGTAAAGTAATTAAGTCAAAACAATTAAAGCAGAGCTGTCTATCTTTGGCAGATTAAACAATCGAGTTTGGAAATGTTTTTACACAGGATATGTATTGCTGTAGTAGAATATGATCATTTAGCAGTTCCTTTTGCTTTGGGCTTTCAGTTGTATAAGAACATTTTGGATGATCTCGATTGCATAGATTTTACAATCATATCAACACAATTATCGTAATTACTCAACCCTTATATATCTATATAATTTTTGAATTACCTGAGATAGTCATCAAATTTGATAAAGTTTTGCTTTTAAGCAAGGTGCAAAGTCGAACAAAAAGCGTAAAGTTTTGTTACGATTTTTGGAAAATGATAAACTATATAATACAATCAGTCGATCAGGCCTATTTCAACAAACCTTGAGACTTGTTCACATATGAACAAACAGATAATCTGACGTAAATTTATACGCGACTATATTGACTCAGCTGTTGATATGGATTGACAATTTATACAATCTATTCTGTATATTATTTAAATATATGCAACAAAGGAACGTAAGTGTTGTCGTGTGCCGGCCTTGCTTGAGAGGCCTCACACACCTCCCGATTACAAAATTGATAAGTAATGTTTTTTATATTTTTATTTCTTTATCAGAATGATTACAATAGAAATCTTTTCAGGTGTTCGTAATTGATTAATTTGCAGACAAATTTGAATTTCGCACAATTGCTGAAGGCATTTGCTCCAATGTGCACACCATGTGGAGCAAGAGGAAAACGGGTGCAGCCGTGGTCATTGGGCACTCTTGGCATGTCCATCAACAAATGGGCATGCTCAGCTCGTATCGCGATGAACTCCGTCTCTGCGTCTGTTTCCGTCTGTGTCTCCGTCACTAGCTCCGGCTCCGGCTTCGGCTAATCAGTCAGCAAGGCACTCAGCGAAGCGTGAAACGCAATTGCTGATATCTAGACACATTCAATTAATAAAATCAACAGCAACAACTGTGCCCACATCCACGGCCCTTCAATACTTGTCCCTGCCCTGTCAGTTTCCAGGACAACGGGGCAAACGGACATGGGACATTTCTATATTTTGTTCAGCCAGTCAACGCCTAGCCATGCGCAAGTACAAGCCAGCGGCTGGTGGCGTAGAGCTCTGGTCGCGCCGTCTTTTGTTGGTGCTTTACCAAACGGCTCGCGGCTTGTCGCTGCTCTCCAGCTCGCTGGATGTGGAGCAGGAGCAACTGCAGCTTAGGACGCCGCGTCAGCAGTGCAACCGACTTTTGGTCATACTCTGGCGCGCCATATTGGTTAGCATATACTCGAGCCTGGTTCCGGGAATCTTCTATACAGTGAAAACTATACAAAGCTATGCAGCTCTAATTGTTCTGCTGCAGTCCAGCTCCGTGACCCTCTTTGCCGTCGTCTCCTTCATAATGCAAGTGCGTGCAGAGTCCAAATTTATGGCAGTTTTGAATCATTACATTGCGCTCTATGGCCGCATCTGTGTCCTAACCGAGGCGGAGAATCTCTTTACGCTCAAGTTTCCGGTTTTCTATGCTCTGAAGCTGCTTCTAACTCTGTGCGGCTGTCTCTATGAGCTGCCGCAGCTGCTACCTCTGCGGCACATCATGCACATGGATGTTGGCCATGTGATTGGCGGTCTAATTGCGATTTACTTATGGCTAGGCACACTTTTTCTGCTGGACGCATGTTTCCTCGGCTTCTTCGTATCTGGTGTACTCTATGAGCACATGGGCTCACATATTGCGATCATGCTGCAGCACATGCGATCCATTGATATCGATAGCCAGAACCAGGCATCGGATGAGGAGTCCGACACGTATCTTAATGCGTACGTGAATGTAAGTGCGATGCCGCCACGGCTGAGTCACTACAGACGTATGTGCTTACTGTGCGATCGGGCCGACGAGCTGGAAGCTTGTGGCGTTATCTACACTGAGCTCTACAGAGTTACTCTCTCGTTTCGCGACATTTTCCAGTGGCAAATCATATTTTACATATATTACAACCTAATTGTGTTGCTTATAATGCTTTACGAGTATATAGTTAACTATTTGGAAGGGACCCAGGGTGAAATAGTGCCCGTGGTGATGGCCTGCATTAAGATGGCCAATATTGTCCTGTTGGTCATGTGCTCGGACTATATGATCAAGAAATCACAGATGCCACAGATATTGCCTTTGGACATTGTATGCACCGATGTAGACGAGCGATGGGACAAGAGCGTGAGTTAGCGAATATTACAAAAAATAACATTGAACATTTCTGTTAAAATGTTCCTCTAATTTACGGCCTAATAGGTGGAGTCCTTTTTGAACCAGTTGCAAACGCAACAGCTGCAAGTCAAAGTACTGGGCATCCTTCAGCTTGATAATCGATTTATACCAACTATATTATCGGCGATTATAACGTATCTTTTCATATTAATACAATTTGCTTTCACGGGCGGCTTTGAAGTAGCCGAAGAAATTGCCAGATTGAATTTAACAGTTGAAAAATAAAATATTATTTATATAAATATTAAATAAATATTGTTACACTGATATTATATATATAATAATACAATGAAGCCAAATAATTATTGAGAATCTTCTTCTTTGTTCTTGAGAATCTCATAGAAAGGCGATATGCAAGAAAGTGTATTGACTTTCTCAACAGAGTGATAAATATAGCAAGAAGAGAGAGAGAGAAAGAGGGAGACAAAGATAGAGATAGAGAAAAATACAGAGAGAGAGAGAGTGAGAGAGAGAGAGAGAGAGTGAGAGAGAGAGAGGAAGAGATAAGGAGACAAATAGGGCAAGACAGAGAGAAAATGAGGAAAGGCAAAAAACGAAACAGAATTAAGAATGAGAGCACAGACGAAAGGGTAATCACTAAGAAAATCACAGGCTAACAAATAAAGCTATTAAAGAAAGAAAGTAACAGCTTTTATAGAATACATAAATTGACAAGAAATTAATTAATTAAAAATAACATAAAGTCATCCAAAATTATATATTGACGACATTCCACTGTACATAAATGGCATTGCAACATATATTTTTCCAAAGTGATAAATTTTACCCTTTCCTATCCAATTTCAATGGGCATAGGGCATGAAAGTGCTGTGAAAAAGATCAACCCTCAATTGGATTCCAATAAAAGATCATTATTTTTTCATTGTCATTCAATAATGACATTATTTTTAAATGGTCAAAGAAAACGGGGGCTTTAAAAAGTTTTTTAAGTTTCGTTATCTATATAACGAGGCCAGATGGCTCCGCGTATGTTACGTCGTAACCACATTCCCTCTAGGTTTTGGGCTGAGGTTTTGTGAGATCTTTTGCGGTTAGTTCACGCATGTATTTGTTCATCTCCAATTTCTTGGGCCTCTTTCTCTGAACTTTTCAAATTTATGTTGGCCATATTATCGTTCATTATATTGTGCCCCATTATACGTGCCAGCTGATACAATTCGGAGCTGGGTGGTGCTGAGGAGCTGCTGCTCGTTAGGCAGCGGAATACCGACGACCCGACGAATTCGGGGCTAACACGGTGTAATTATCATAGCTCTGTCTGGGCTCTCAGTTCCTGTTCCGCCCACTACGCCCGCCCCAATTATCAACATCGTCATCTACAAAAGCGTCTTTGTCTTTGATTATTTTTGGGCGCCAGCCGAGCGTAACGCGCTTGTCACGCCTATTATACAGATATACGCTGTTCAAGTACGTGGGTATACTATACGTATGTGTATGTATACATAGACTAGATCGTCGAGGTTAGTCGGCGTTCCCGTCGTCAGCTGAACCTGAACTCAGCACCGTTGCTGACCCGTGTGCGTTCAGTGTGTGATTCGCTTCGCAAAATACTCGTGTACTGAACAAAGCAAACAAAACGGCAAAAAAAAAAAAAAAGAAAACAAAACGAAACCAGCGAAAAATGTTACTATATAGTAGTACTGCAAGTCGAAAATGCAATACTCTCTAATGCACATAAGCTAGTGCGATCTGCATTTCAACTCATATTTCTGGAAGTGTAATCGATCCATAATATATCATAATAAGTGTAGATATAGATTGAATATAGATCTTAACATGTTTCGTTTGAAAATTAAAACTTCGTTAGCTCAAGACTTTTATAAGTTCTGTGATTAAGTGTAGATTAGATATTAGAGAGTAGAAACTTGATACTTGAACTTGGACAGTTCTTCTACTGAATAGCCTTTACTAATCTGTTACAAATCTAATAACAGAATGATAACACCTTGTGTGTGTCTGCATAAAAATAATCAACTAAAACTCGCCTACATTGCAACTGAATTAATTTGTTATTTTTGTGGTCGGCTGCACACGCTGCTGAACGTTGTTGGCAACAGAGCTCCCAATTCTTCCTGACAGGGCGCATTCAAATTTTTTTTGCCCATTTGGAGCTGCTGGCCAAAAGGCCAACCAAGCCATGCATATTTCCGGCCAGTCAGCCAGTCAGCTAGTCGGCCAGTCCCGTCCTGTCCAGCCGCCCCATTAACCAGCTTCGATTTCCTGCCTCAACCGGGCATTCAAAGTATTTGCCATGTGCTTAATTAGCTCAACTCCCCGTCGGCTGGGTGTCTTTGAAACCACTTGGCACACCCTGTGCCCTATGTGTGCCGGGCCAGGGGGTTAGCGGTTTAGCTTATGATGAAACAGCTCAAAGAGCCCAAGTAGCTGCTGCTGCATTGTTGCTCGCATGCCGGCGCTGCAGTTGAAAGATGCCGCACACTCCAAATGGCCCCCATGCTAAGGGCACACACAGCTCCCATGTTCTACGTACAGCCACTGCACTGGCACTGCAGTGTGTGTGTGTGTGTGTGTGTGTGTGTGGTGTGGTGGCTGCGGTTATATATTTACAGGCATGCGTAAGAATCGTGTGTAACTAGCGGCACATTCTGAGCTAATTAAATACACATTCTATTCAATTGCTGGCCACACACTTGCTTATCAGTGAAAAGCCCAACGCCCCACGATGATCATCAGAGGTCGACCTCTTGGCGCAGGCTGTCAAGCAGTGCATCTTGCATCTTGTTCTATCCAATAATCTAGTGTAACAGATATTATGACCAATATGACCAAATTTGGACTTTTTATTTCAATTGGCTGTTTAATAATAACTACAAGCAATTAAATTATGACTCTTAAGTCAAGATATGCTCCTGTAAATTATAGATTATTTGTAGACAAGTGTCAGATAGTGGAAACAATTGCGTCCTACGCCAAAAACTGATACGCTTCATTTATTTTTGGAAAACAACTTTCACTAGCGAATGACTAGAAACAAAATAGAGAACAGAGTCGTGTTCCAAACAAGTGCTGCTCATCGGTTATTGAGATCGTGTGCTCGTAAACGTGACACAAACAAACAACTTCATTTGTCATCGCAAGCACACACACACACACAAATGTGTACACACATATATTTGCTCATGCTTGTATACCCAGTTTTTGGGACGTGACTGCGTAGTATGGCCAAACGGCAGTCGATAAACAAGCGTGACCGAATATTGTTTGAACTTAATTCAGACCAAGAACATGCAGTAGTCGAGTCAGACTATAGACTGTAGACTGGGCAAACGCAACACAACAAGATATTATAAAAATAACATCGAATTCCCCGCATATGTTTGGTGCGGCGTTTGCGAAGTGCATGGCGAATCAGGTGGGCTTTGATTACACAAAAATTAAACAAAACCTGCAATGAATATATTAAAAACAGACACAATATACACCATCCATCCACTGCATCAATAAGCCAATAACAGCAAATGCCAATACTCGCTTTGGCCTAAATACACAAGGCGTTAACAAGTGAGCAACTGAGTGAGCTGTCTTCGACGACTGTTTAATGACCTGCAAAGGAAATAGGTCAATATGAACATTATCTACAATTTATGTGGCTTGAGTAATTGTTTTCGATTGTGGCTTACGGAGCATATAAAAATCCATAAGAAATATTTGACCACACATTTACCCGGTCATACCTGATCTTACCTATCTGTTTTCGATGTGGACAATATGTACTGAAATTGTAGTTTTGAGTCAAATGGGAAAATAAAATGATAACTGATAATAATACAGAATTTTGTGAGTAAAAAAATCGACGACTTATGTCGAAGATAACACTGCGCTATTATAGATTCTTTAGTCTTCTAGCACTACTTACATTAATACAAGCACAGTAAACACATGCATAGTTAGCTCCATTTGATCACTCGAGTAAACTTCAGCAATTAACATCAGATAAAAAAATTGATTAACGGCTTTATTTATCGGTACAATAAAAGTGAGTATATCATAATGGAATGCGACGAAGAGTTCCTTTTGTTATTTTGCTTTTGCTGCAGTTGCATGAATCACAGGGCATCATCACGGTAGTGTATTCGCAAAGTAAAAAGAACCCAAAGCAGTATTGAATTGAGCTGTATATGGGAGAGAGAAAGAGAGGGAGAAGTTGCTATCACGCACACTCAGCGCAGACGCTTTGTTATTTGTGTGTTCGATGAACCGAAATTATTTCTGACCCACTTTCCAGCAAATTAACGCACTATACGGCAAATGGAATCCACAAAAGCACACAAAGGCGATAGAATGAGAACGCGAGCTCGCGCATCTGAGAGCGCGCATCAGTGTGGGAGAGAATGGGCAATTGAGGACGCCGTCGCAGTCGACGTTGCGATCGTAAAGAAAAATAATAATAATTTGTTGTTGCTGTGGCTGTATGTGTTTGTGTGTGTGTGTGTGCTTGCTTGTAATTTACGCAACGCTCGCTCGTTTTTCGCTGTCTCCTTTGCTACTTGTTTTGCGGGCAGCGGCCGCAGCACGAGATCAACAACCATCTGCAGTAGCAGCAGCAGCAGCAGCAGCAACACGAGAAACAGCGCTTAGTTGTTTTTGCACAAGAGCTCCAAAATCCGAAATCAAAACCTGTTCCAAACTTGAAGCTTGCCACACGTCTCGGCCAAATCAAAAAGCTGGCTCAAGCCAAACGAAACGCTGCCAAGCTTTGACGTCAGCAGCTGCTGCTGCTGCTGTTGTTGTTAATCGTTGTGACTGTACTTTTTTTGTTGTTTGCATTGAAAACTTGTTTGTTGTTGTTGTTGTCACAGCGTCCCAAAGCTTTGCTTGAGCTTTTGCTGGGTGTTGATTGAAATCGATCTCAGCGCAATGGAGGCATAGCGGTTAAGTTCTGAGACTCTGACCTTGTAGCTTCAATCTTATCAGATATAAGGGCATTATTTCCAAGTATGTATGTTTGTAAGTGTGTGTTTAGATACACATATAATTTAGTAGGGCTTAAAGTGAGGCCTGTCCATGTAATTAATAGTGCTGGAACAGACTGCAGGCTGTGCCACGCCCAGCGCTTGTCGTTTTTGGAACGAGCGCTTAAATGACGCTTTCCGGTGTATTTAAGGTGTCTAAACTTGACTACCGTGCGGAGTGCCTTTACTGGCAACAACACAACGCAACACATCACAGCCCAACGCAGCAGAAAGCGACGCAAACGCTTGCAGCGTCCGTAACCTTGCCCAAGACGCATTAAGCAGCCAGCAGCCGATAGCCAACAGCCAGCGCCCAGCAGCCCAGCAGCCCAGCAGCCCATGGCCCAACCCGCCCGCTACCCCTTTCGCCGCTGCTGCTGCAACTGCTGCTACTGCTGTCGATGACCATTATTTTAGCCAACCCAGACACAATCTCAAGCTACGAGTACGGACTGAGGACTCTGGCTGCTGGCTACTGTTGTGCTTTTTGTTTTTGCTGTACCAGTGCTGACTGGTGGCAGGCGCAGACGCAACAGCAAACGCAACTCGGAGCATGACAAACAGTTGCAGGCAAAGCAAATAATTAGTATACATCGATTATCTTGCGCCCGGGCTCAAATGTGTCTGTCCATATGTGTATGTTTATATGTACCTGGACCGTTGGCTACTGTGCTGCCGATGCTGGCATCAAACTGGTCCAACTCCAGATGTTGGCACATCGCACACGCGCTGCTTCCTCTCGATGCTGCTGCCGCTGCCGCTGCCGCTGTCGCTGTCGTTGCCGTTTCAGCGCCTACGCGAGCTGCGCGCCCATACAGCCCACAAAACGAGTTCCCCCGAAGCCAGTCGAGCATTCTGAATTCTGCATTCGCCATATGTGCAGCCTTAAAATGCCACGCCAGAACTGTACACAGCGACAGACTCGGCCCAAGTCACATCCAAGCTCCATGGAGAACAAACAACGTTGATGACGATGACGGCGACGTGTGCGCAGCTCGTGCCAATTCTTTGCATTTGGGTTTGGGTTTGGGCTTGGGTCTGGATTTGAGTTGAGGTTTGCGATTTCAGCTTTGGCAGTTGCTTGTAAATGGCTAAGCACACGTATACATATGCATAACTGTGCATACCTACATGCAGTTGCTCAAACGCCTTAGAAGGTCATCAGACTGCAAAATGTTAAATCCATTTGCATTTAATCAAAATTGTTTTTCATTACGTCCATAAATACAGTCGGACCACGTATCAAGTTTTAAGAGTATGTGTAACTAAATACGTATCCATATATGCAATTCTAGTAGTAGTTGCTCATTGAAAGCTCTGCATAGATACTTAAGTTAAATGCAAATGAATATAGCCCATATCGGCTGTACATTTCTGAAATATTCCATGTCAGCATTGGCTGTCAGTTAAATTATAATTTTTGCAATATTTCACTGGCATTTTCTTGCACAACAATCTAGTTAAGTATTTAAATTACCTCTTAACCGTATATTCGAAATTTTAAGTGAAATAATATCCATTTACGTTGGTAGAGCCCAGAATAGACTCTCCAGAAGTAGACTGTATATGTGAATTGTATTGTCGTTTAAACAAACTAATAATAATACGTATACATGTAAATTCTTAATAGATAAATAGATACAGGTTCTTGTACAGTAATCGAATAGTTAACTTTTTGAATGCCTCCCGATTCCCTATAATGAGCAAGGCATTATTCTGCTACGATATAAATATATCATATATATACATATATATATATATATATATATATTTATATATATATAAATAAGCCCTGCATAAACTTTACGTTCGATATAATTATATATTATATATATTAAATTAAATAAATAAAACAAATATAATACAAGGTATCTCAATTAAGATATAAATTGAATAAATTGAATAAATTGATGAAAATAAAATTTTACTTCTGAATTTTTTTTAACAAAATATACAAAAAATGAATTAAATATAATTGTATTGAATTGAGTATTAAACCAATAAATCAGAAAATACAAGATTATTATATATGTGTCTTTATATCTAATTACCGCAATTTCGACTCTTAATTGAGTTTAGCTAAATACGTGAGGTAAATGGCGTCATAATTAATGTTAGGTGTCTTACATGTCAATTTGTACTAATTGAGGCTTCGTAACTCGGTAGCTAATGTGCTGATATTTGGCTTCGGGGAAATGTTACACTAAAGTCGCTTTATTTCAACAATAAGGTGTTTCATGTGCAAAACTTGCTAGCTCTTCCGTTTTTTGCTGTTGGCTAATGAGTTATCATCGGACGTTGTTCGCTTTGTAGCCTGCAGCCTCTAAGGGCAACATTTTTCTATCTCCATCTCTCTCTGTCTTTCTCTCTTTCACTTTTGTACAGGGCTCAAGCTGCTGCCTGCTGGCGGCTACTGTCTAGCGGCTACTGTTCCTACATACATATACATGTATATAGCGAATACATAATCTTGATTGACTTACGGCTTTCAGCTCGTAATGATGATATTTTCATCATCCGTTTGTTTTATCAGAATATTCTTGACGCTGTGGTTCTTCAAGTAGCTGTACTTTTGCCCAGCTCCAAGTACTTGGGAGTTACCAACAGCAAGAGCTACCTGCACTTGAGCTACAACTTCAACATGGGCCGTGTGCTTTGTCTAGTGAAATGTTGAAAGCATCATTAATTCTTTTTTTATAGTATCTTTCGCCTAAGAGGCCCAAACTTTAATATACATACATAGACAGTAAGTGTGTATGATAATTGCAGGCGGAAAGAAAAGACAGAGATAGGGAGAGAGAAAGAGCACCAAATACTACAGAAGTAGCAGCACTGGATGACCCATAATTACCGCACACCGGTCGCAGTTCCAGTTCCAGTCGCGGCCAGCAGAACAATCATGGGAAAAATGAGGAAAAAATGACTGTAACTCAGTCTGTGTTCTGTTTGTTGCCTCTTAAAAGTACAATAATTTGAGCAATGGCAAAGGCAAAGGCAAAAGCAAAAGCAATGGCAATGGCAATGCTTCGTTTTATGATTATCTTGCCGTTTACACGGCACGCATAAACACAAAAAGCACGCAGCTGGAGCAGCACCAGGTCGCAATGGGCCCCAAATACTGATCCCATTCCCAGTTTCAGTCACAGTCACAAGCCCCAATCTCACTAACTCTCAGCCCCAGACCAAGCAGCACCCCAGTTCTCATTTTGTCAATTCCGAGATAATGTTCGTCACCAACCCGCAATTTGATTTTGATACCCTTCCACTGGCTGAAAATATTATAATTTCTTATGCCATAGGTTACTTATAGACATGAATGACAAGCTGGGCCTTGCTTAGTTCTTTAACCTTCATCATATAAAATGAACTAGCTGCGATCGCCTAACTTATATCTCCCAAATGAATATTCGTTTTATTAACTATAATTTATTAATTGTTATGTAATGCAATGAATTACTTTCCTTGTTCTTATATTCTAGGGTATTAGCTATGCGACTTTCTGCTAACGGTTGATCATTCATTTTTTTAACGTTTTTTTATTATCGCCAGCGCTGACGCAGCCCTTTTTGAGTTCTGGAACAAGTGCAGCGAGCAAGTGCACCTTTATCTGTGCCTTTACTTTTACCTTTACCTCTACCTGTGCCTCTACCTATGCTAATTAGTGCGACGGCCTCGGCCTTGTTTTTATGCGCTTTCAGCGTGAACTGTCCAGCCGGCCGTTCGGTAGCTTCGACGCTCGGCTAGCTGCATAAATTTTCTGCTCCAAGGCAAAAAGAGCATACCGATATCTACATACGCGTACATAAATAATTTATGCGCCAACTTTCATGGGAAAAGTGAGACAGAAAAACGTTAAGCGGAAATTGGAGTTGGTGTCCTGACAACAACGGATTTCTACATACAACCGTAGGACAGGTGTGTGAAACGGTGCACCTTATACCATATCATAATCAGAGGGTTGTTAACAAGCGCCCTCAGCGTGACGAAACTCTAAAGATTTTCCCTCTGCATTTCATACTGTATTATATAGGTGAGATAGGTGACCAGGGCGGACATAAAGACCAATATCAGCTCGTTGGATACCTCAAACAGGCCCAAAGGACGCACTCGAAATTCATTATAGTTTAAACGGCTCAAGAACATTTCCAGCTAAAAGGAGTAAATGAGAACACAAAGGGATACAGAAGGTAGACAGTTAATCAGCACACGCCGTTAAATATATATTTAGAGATGCATTAATAGGACTCACCTTCATATGCCAATCTTTCTCCTCGCTAACGTAATAGTTCTCCAAGCTGAGCCGCCGCACAACTCGCGAATTGCTGCGTGCAATGTGGACAGCCACTGTCAGCAGTAAAATATCCAATAACATCTTGATAGCCATGAACCATAAGCTGACGCCCCCACGCTTTTTCATTATGAAGATCGCAATCGATCCTAGGCTCAAGAACTTAAACATTAGAATAAAACACAGTGGAAATTCAAATAGTGTGTGAAAACGACAGACCACTTGGGGGATCGCGTCGTAAATTTCCAGACACTCATCCAAACACTGGCCAGCTGCTTTTAGCTTCCTTCGGCTAACTGGAATTCCGTTAATTGTCTTCAGATCGCTCAACTGCTGACGGAGCTCCTGCCGCACATAACAATTGACTTTATCGTAGATTATGCCTATGCTAAGGTATGCCACGAAGTAAATATGCAATATTATGGATGCGTTGGCAGTATTATATAATTCGCAAATGGTGGTAAGAGCAAAAAAAACATTGAAATCGAATATCAGCGCTGGGATCAAGTAGCAACTCTCATACATCAGACCAATCATTTTTAAGAGCAGCAGAGTCAGAAACCATTTGCTTCCATAGTCCACATCCTCATATCCCGGAAGGGCATGTATCCTTTGGAAAAGCCTTAGGAATCGGTTGACCAAATCAACCACTCGTTGTCCATACCATAGCTGTATCACCAGAGTGAAGACGGCGCAGGCAATGTAGATGCACACACGAATGACAAAGATTATCGTAAAATGAGAGGCATTGAGCAAAACCATCAGATGTCTATATATTTGAATATATATTCCACACATCAGTATCCTTGAAATCAGGCAGAACCATTTGTACCGATTCCGATTCTTGGCCACCAGACGACCATTGATTCCCTCGCTCTTCACGCTGAAACAGATGATTCCCATAAATGTGGCGTACTTCAAAGCACCTCTTAAGATACTCGCGGACAGCGCAGAAGCGCTGGCCCGGCTCCAACGACTTCCGAGCATGACTAACCCAAAAATGACTAATCATGCAAGTGTGTGCAAAATATAAACTCGATTTCATTTGTTTTATTGGTGAAGCTTGGCGCTTGAGAGCTTCATTGATACATATCTCTAGAATCCAATTAGCTAATTAAAAGTCGCTTACAGGCCAATCAAACTTCATGATTATTGATACTTAAAATTAATATGCACCACATTTTCCCCAAGAAAAGATTCTGCAAAAGATATATTTAATATAATATTATAATATTTCTTTATTAATCTGTATATATTATATATTATAATATATAAATTTATATATACATATACATTGTAAATGAGTAGACAGCATCTTAACTTTGGTCTCAATTTGGGTTTGATTGCATTTCATATTGCATTATATAGGTGATATAAGTGACCAGGGCGGACATAAAGACCAATATCAGCTCGTTGGATACCTCAAATAGACCCAATAGACGTACCCGGAATTCATTATAATTCAAACGGCTCAAGAACATTTCCAGCTGCAATGATTAAATGAAAACAACACAATAAAAATATTAATTGATCATTGATCAACAATAAGTTAGTAAGTTAGACATTGGGACAAACAGTCGTACTGATGTATTTTGTAAGAAGATATTATAAGACTTACCTTCATATGCCAATCTTTGCTCTCGCCGACAAAGTAGTTCTCCAAGCTGAGCCGCCGCACAACTCGAGAGTTGCAGCTTGCGATGTGGACTGACACGGTCAGCAGTAATATATCCAACAATGTTTTTAAAGGCGTAAGCCATAAACCATTGTCACCACATTGTTTCAATAATATGAACACAGCTGATGCAACAATCAAGAATCCAAACATTAGAATAACGCAAAGCGGAAACTCGAATAGTCTGTGAAAATTATTTCCCACTTGGTAAACCTCTTCGTAGATAGCCAGGCACTCGTCCAGGCAGTGGCCAGCGGCATTTAGCTTTCTCCGACTAACTGGCAGTCCGTTGCTCGAATTTAATTCGCTGAGCTGCTGGCGAAGCTCATGTCGCACATAGCTGTTGACCTGGTCGTAGATGATGCCTATGCTGAGGAATGTCACAAAATAAACATGCCAAATAATAAAAGCATTGACATTATTATACACATCGGAAAACACAACCAGAGCGAAAGATGTGTTGAAATCTAGAATTAGCTCTGGAATCAAGTAGCAACTTTCATACATCAGACTGATCACTTTTAGGAGCAGCAGAGTCAGTACCCACTTGCCGCCATACCCCTTATACCGATTTCCTGGAAGGGCATATATCCTCTGGAAAAGCATTAGCAATCGATTGACCAAATTAACCACTCGTTGTCCATACCGGAACTGTATCACCAGAGTAAAGATGGCACCGACAATAAATATGCATATTCGAATGATAAGAATTATCGTAAAATGAGAAGCATTGAGTGACAGCAGAAAGTTTTTATGTATTTTAATACATAGGCCACACATTAGAGTCCTTGAAATCAAGCAGAACCATTTGTACCACTCCCTATTCTTGGCCACCAGACGACCATCGCTTCCCTCGCTCTTCACGCTGAAACAAATGATTCCCATAAGTGTGGCATACTTCAAAGATACTCTTAGAACACTCGCGGAGAACGAAGAGGCCTTAAATTGCAAACGACGTCCTCCGAACATGACTAATCCAACAATGACTAATTCAAGTTAGCAGTATTTATACGAGTACGTGCACAATATGACCTCGATTTGCTTAATTGTAGAGGGTCGACTCTGAAGAGCCCCAGTGATATATATCTCGATTCAATCGTCTGTTTAGCTATATATCTAGATTGTACATTTTTAAAGTACATTTGACGGAAATTCTTCAGATGCAACGTATTTTCAACCTCGCTCATCAACTGAAGCAAGTAAGTTGACTTGGCTCGATTAGAAGATACCCCGAGCCTCGCGAAGTGTTGATATTCCAATCATTCTACTTTTCTACATACATTCACACATACACCCCACACATAAGCATGACCTCTCGTCTCTAGTATTTAACATACGTTTTTAATTTGGGAGGAGTGGAGAAGGTATCCAAAATCGAAAATAGAAAATATAATATAATATAGTCTTTTTCTAATTACAGGAACCTACACAGTAAGACTGTAGTATCCATGATTTACGGCATTCAATGTGCACCGTTTGACTATATATAACCACGAGTATACCTTCAAACTTCTTAAAACATTAACATTCATACAACATAACATGATGATGAAATCGTGTAGACAACTCCGCTCTAAAAATATTTATTACAGTTACGCCCATTGACGTCTCCTCTACAAATCAAATAAAAAATTGTGGAATTGTGTGGATTATTTTATTATACCAATTTATCTAACAAATTTTCTTTCGTTTTAAATTTGGTTGGATTGCATGTCATATTGCATTATATAGGTGAGATAGGTGACCAGGCCGGACATAAAGACCAATATCAGATTGTTGGATACCTCAAATAGACCCAAAGGACGCACTCGAAATTCGTAATAGTTCAAACGGTTCAAGAACATTTCCAGCTATAACGAACAAAGAAAGTTTTGTTTAAATAAATATGTTATGTACCTCCTCTCCCTGCCAAGATTGTGGGTTTAAACTACTCTGATAACAAAATGTAAGAGTTAATTGTACCATTTTACCAATCCGTGATATCGATTTACAATCTATAGACAAATATAAGTCAGGGTTTCAAATGTCCTACTCTCATAACTTAGAATATCTTTATGTCAGTCAATAGAAACAGTATTACAGGCACAAGTGTTCTATCGAGCTTGAAATATGAAACTCACCTTAATATGCCAATCCTTGTTGTCGCTTATATAGAAGCTCTCCAAGCTGAGCCGCCGCACAACTCGAGAGTTGCAGCTTGCAATGTGAACCGCCACGGTGAGCAACAAAACATCCAAAGCTACTTTAATCGCCAGTAGCCATAGGCGCATGCCCATATATAAATTTAACATGATGATGAAAGCAATTGACGCAATGCTTAAGAACCCAAACAATAGGAAAATACAGAGGGGAAATTCGAATAGTCTGTGAAAAGTGTTTCCCAATTGGTGAACCTCTTCGTAGATGGCCAGGCACTCGTCCAGGCAGTGGCCAGCGGCTTTTAGCTTTCTCCGACTAACTGGCAGTCCGTTGCTCGAATTTAATTCGCTGAGCTGCTGGCGAAGCTCATGTCGCACATAGCTGTTGACCTGGTCATAGATGATGCCTATGCTGACGTATGCCACGAAGTTGACATGCAATATTATGGAGGCATTGGCAGTATTATAGAAATCGCAAATTGTGATCAGATAAAAATAATTATCCATATCAGAAATGAGTGATGGAATTACGTAGAGACTTTCATACACCAGACCGATACCCTTTAAGAGCAGAAGACCCAGCACCCACTTGCCACCATAGCCCATATCCTGACATCCTGGAAGGGCATGTATCCTTTGGAAAAGCCGCAAGAATCGATTGACCAAATCAACCACTCGTTGTCCATACCATAGCTGTATCACCAGAGTGAAGATAGCGCAGGCAATGTAGATGCATACCCGAAAAACAAGGATTATCGTAAAATGAGAAGTGTTGAGAAAAAAAATAAAATGTCTATATATTTGAATATAGAGGCCACACATCAGTATCCTCGAAATCAAGCAGAACCATTTGTACCACTTCCGATTCCTGGCCACCAAACGACCATCGATTCCATCACTTTCTACGCTGAAGCAGATAATTCCCATAAGTGTGGCGTACATCAAAGATCCTCTTAAGATGGTCGCGGAGACCGAAGAGGCCTTAACCCGCCACCAACGACTTCCAAACATGACTGATCCAATAATCCAAAAACGACTAATCATACAGGTCAACAGTACTTAGGCGAGTATTTTATTCGCTTAATTGTTGATGAGCCCCAGTGATATATATCTCTGTTCAATCATCTAATTAGTTATTTTTTCGTAACGCCAATCATATATCCTGATTGTTCATATTTATAATATATGCAATGCACATTTTTTATAGGTATCGTATCTCTATACTCGATCCCGTATTAAGAGTTTATTGGTTTTGTGTGCCGCCGCTATTGAAACTATTGACTTAAAATTTAGATCTTTATGGTCATATAAACAAATAAAATATAAATAGTATATTTTAGCTTTCGTATCAAAATAGATTTGCTTGCATGTCATACTGTACTATGTAGGTGATATACGTGACCAGGGCGGACATAAAGACCAATATCAGCTCGTTGGATACCTCAAATAGACCCAATGGACGTACCCGGAATTCATTGTAGTTTAATCGGCATAAAAACATTTCCAGCTAAAACGAAAAGGACAAAGTTTGCATACATTTTTATATAATACATTTTTAAATGTTATGTGATTGATCTAGTTTTTATTTCCTGAGTATATTGATAATGAAAATACATGTAACCGGTAGAAGGAGGCTTGGCAGACTATAAATTGTGTATATTCTTGATCAACACGACGAGCTGAGTCGATCTAACCTTGTCTGTCTATCAATCCGTATGATCACCGTAGGGTTCAGGGTATCTCTCAGTCGATCCGTCTCGACTAGAGCTATCATACTTATTTAATTTCAACTACAATTCTAACCGTATGTTCTTACGCGCTACGTCCTTCTCTATATAAATAATTCAGCCAAAGGAAACAGTCTTACAGGCACAAACATTTTATTGAGTTTGAAATATGAGACTCACCTTAATATGCCAATCCTTGCTGTCGCTTATATAGAAGTTCTCCAAGCTGAGCCGCCGCACAACTCGAGAGTTGCAGCTTGCAATGTGAACCGCTACGGTCAGCAATAAAATATCTAATAATATTTTAATCGCCAGTATCGTTAAGCGGAAGCCGCCAAATAGATCTAACATGACAAAGAATGCAATTGAAGCCAAGCTCAAGAACCCAAACAATATAATAACGCATAGTAGAAACTCGAATAGTGTGTGAAAAGTGTTTCCCACTTGGTGAATCTCATCGTAGATGGCCAGGCACTCGTCGAGGCAATGTCCAGCGGCTTTCAAGTTCTTTCGGCTAACGGATTCTCTGTTGCGCGTATTCAGCTCGCTTAGCTGCCGGCGAAGCTCATGCCGCACATAGCTGTTGACCTGGTCATAGCTGATGCCTATGCTGAGGTATGCCACGAAGTAGATATGCAATATAATGGTGGTATTGGCAGTATTATAGAAATCGCAAAAAATGGTTATAGCCGCATAAACATTGTAATCGGAAATTAGTAATGGAATCAGGTAGCAAGCTTCGTAAACCAAACAGATCACTTTCAAGAACAACAGACCCAGCACCCGCTTGCCGCCATAGCCCATATCTTGACATCCTGGAAGGGCATGAATCCTTTGGAAAAGCCTCAGGAAACGATTCGCCACATCAACGACTCGTTGTCCGTGCCAAAACTGTATCCCCAGAGTAAAGATCGCGCAGATAACACAGATGAAGAATCGAATGCCGACGATAATCTTTAACGGAGAAATACGAATCGCGTAAATAAAATGCTTGGTACGGTCCACATATAGGCCACACATCAGTATCCTTGAAATCAGGCAGAACCATTTATACGACTTCCTATTCTTGGCCACAAGACGACCATCGCTTCCATCGTTCTTCACGCTGAAACAGATGATTCCCATAAGTGTGGCGTACTTCAAAGATCCTCTTAAGATACTCGAGGAGATCGAAGAGGTGCTAACCCGCCATTGACGACTTCCGAACATGACTAATCCAATAATGCTATGTCAAACGAGTTGACGAGACTTATTTGTACAAAAATGCACTCGAAATAAATTGTATTATCGACGCTCCAGAGCGCCAGCGATATATATCTCTAGAGTCCAATAAGCTAATTGGAATTGACCCGTAATGAAATTATTATTTGCATAACCAAATCAGTCAGACCGCTTAGATATCTGTTGGTTGCTAAAATTTAAAATTAGCAAATTAATATGTTTATTTATTTATATAAAAATGTTTTAAAATAATACTATCAGAGTGATATACATATAGTAATATAATAATACATTAATATACAAAGCTTACAAACAAGTTGTGCTTTAGTTCCAATCACTAGCTCGACGATGAAATTGCTGTTGACGATTGTTACTTAGCGGTTTTTGGGTCATCTCAAACGGGTTTAGTTTCCGGCGACAGCTACTTTTCCAGTGGAATGCAAAATTTTAAAAGTGCATTATTCGCTTTCAAGTCAAATTTCAAATCTTATTCGACTGCATTCCATACTGTATTATGTACGTGAGATATGTGACAAGGCCCGACAAAAAGACCAATATCAACTCGTTAGATATCTCAAATAGTCCCAGTGGACATACTCGGAACTCAAAAAAGTTCAATCGACCCAAAAACATCTCCAGCTGTAATAAGTTCAAAGTAATCGAAATCGTTAGATGTGTTAAATGATATTTACCAAAGTAACAAGTAAGGCAGCTCTAGTCGGGATGCCCGACTAGGAGATACCCTGAACCCCTGTTGGAAAGCTGGATTAGCCAAGTAAGAAAGCTCTAGTCGAGATGACCGACTAAGCGATACCATGATCCCAGTCCTTGTCTACGAGCGCCGCCTTCACGGACACCGTCACCTCACTGCTTAAGCGGTAGGTTGCAAATCTCAAGTTGAGTAAAAGCTCATAATTCAAGCAATTTCAATTCTTGGAATAGAAAAGAATACACGCATTTGAATGTATGTAAGCCGATGTATAGGAAAAATATGTGCGCTTGGCGCTGATGACATGTGCTTTTGCAAATTGGCCAAACGTTTTGTTTAATAACTTCTGTTTTACTTAATGGATTTTAAAGAAATGAACTACATTTTCGATTAGAGTTTAGTAAAAAGGCAAACACATATTGGCGCTATTTCCAAGTGAACTTAAATTTTATAATTTTTGGAAAATTTGGAGCCCGTAATTGTACAAAATATATATAAAGCTAAATACAAAATTTGAAGTCTATAGCTCTTAAGCCGTACGAGATATTATTTAAAAACTGCATTTCGATCATGTTTTTCATCGATAATTATCGATTATTTGCAACAAGTGTGTGCCATAGACGGACATACAAAAAACCTTAAGTTTCTAGCCTACATACATACGGACAGGCAGGCGGACAGACAAACGGACAGGGCTAAATCGACTGAGCTCCTTCTTCTGATCAAGAATATATATACTTTATGGGTTATGCCACGCCTCCTCCAGCTTGTTACATACATTTTAAGAAAGCCATTAAGCCCTAAATTCCTATTTCCAAATGGTTCAGGGTATTAATCCAGAATTAGATAAGAAACTGCATTAGTTTGGGGCACAAACATAAGACTTACCTTATTGTGCCAATCGTTGCGTTCGGTAACGTAGCAATTCTCGAGGCTTAGCCTGCGCACCACTCGGGAGCTGCTGCCGGCACCATGAATGGCCAATGTCAGCAGTACCACATCGAAGAACAATCGGGCCACAAGAAGCCAAAGCGCCACATTACGAAATCGCTGAAGCATGATGAAGTAGGACACCAACGTCATGCTCAAGAAGGCGAAAAGCAGTATGAGACATAGCGGTAGTTCCATTAGGCGATGAAAGGCGCTGCCCACTCGCTGGATGTCATCGTAGATGGCCAGACACTCGTCCAGCCGGTAGCCAGCTGCCTTTAGCTCTCGCCGACTGGCGGGACAGCCATTGGGCTGCTCCAAGCCTCGCAGCTGGCGTCGCAACTCATGGCGCACATAGACATTGACCCGGGCATAGAGGGCTCCGACGCTGAGGTAGCCCACGAAGCAGATGTGACCGATCATGGTAGCATTGACGGTAACGTATATTTCACAGATTAGGGTTACAAGGCGTCGCATATTTAAACCAGCAAAGAAATGCGGAATTTCGTTGAACAGTTCATTAATGATGCAAATCATCTTGAAGGTCAACAGAGTTAACTCCCTCTTGCCGCCAAAGCCTCCCTCCTGGCAGCCTGACAGCGCGTTGACTCTCCGAAACAGCCGCAAATAACTGTTCACCACCCGTAGCACATGTTGCCCAAAACAGAATTGCATTATCAGAATGGCAAAGGCACAGATCAGACAGCACACCATGCGAATCCACGACAGAATAATCAAATGGGAATTAGCCAAACTGAAGATGTAGTCGAGGCTAAGGTAGCCGTAAATGCCACATATTAGCAATCGGGATAGCAGACAGAACCACTTGTACCAGAAGCGGTTCTGAGCCACCAGGCAGCCATCGGTTCGATTGCCCTCGATGCCAAAACAGATGATTCCCAGAACTGTGGCATAACGAAAAGCAAGATGCAAGATGCTCGCCGAGAGCGAAGAGGAGCTCAGCTGGCGACGGCGACCGAACATGACTAAGCGAGGGAATTTGCGGAATGTTGTGCTGTTGCATTACCTGGCAATATTTATAAGCACAAACACAGTCATAACATATATGTATGTGTCTGTATTAACTGATTGCTTGGTCAAGGTCGGTGCTTGGCTCTCTTTTGTCCACCTATCTTGAGGGTTCATTAAGCTAATGGCGCGTTGCCATAATATTTTGATAAGACTTGCGCTACTCGCGGTTGTTGCTGTTATTGGAAATAATTTCATAGCTGCTGCAAGTGGCATGTATTACGCTAATTGAATATAGAAATAATATTTGCATTGATACGATAAAAATAGTCGACACTGTGCACACTAACCCATATTTATTTGGGAAATATCAAGCGGACGTATACTTATTGCCAAGCAGGTCAGAATCTATTTCTAATCGGGACACTCTATCTTATCTTTCAAAGACTCCGCGCAGACTGCTGAGCCGTACATTCAATGTGAAACATTCTTGAAATCCGTTGAAACTAGAATGACGCCTGCCACTTAATCAATTGATTGCTCAATGAATAATCGTTAGATGAGCTAACTGTTTGGTAACGTAGTAAAAACTGAAAGCCAAAAGCATTAGATTGGCTTAACTGGGTAGCGGCTTGGACTGACATCGAATTAAAAGCCATAATAATTTAAAGACGTGGAACTGAATACCTCACGTCCCAAAATATGATCTGCCATGTTCTCTAAGTGAAATGAATTTTAGTCTGAAAATATTATTCAATTTAACTTAGCCTTTGCGATCTGAAAACTGAAAAAAAATTAGCCAAAGTCTGGATATGAATATACAATATATTCAGCTCGAATCTGGCATATAATTTGTATTTGGTATATTTGCATAGTGATTTAGGTACTAAAATCGTTGGTCTTTACTGATTTACTGATGAAGTTAACATTTGCTACTCTATAGAATATTTTTAACAGTAGTTATAGGTCTCGTATTCATTCAGCTGACTCGAACTATCCATTTAGTTTGGTTGTTCCAGCTTTGGTTTTTGATTCACACGCTCACGATCCTGCTGCTGTGAGCTCACGGTCTAAGCTCCCCCATGTAAATGACGCCCCCATTTCATGGGATGCGTGTACGTGATCCTCTGGCATATCTTTTATGCTACATCTTCTCTCCTACTCCTAAACACAGCGCTCAGTGAGATCGGAGAGATCTCTCAAGCTGGTTACCTCGGACAGCGCCCCTGCCTTTGAGTGCCATTTGAAAAGAATTTTCTCATTGTTGTTGTTTTTTATATACATTTTTTTAGTTTTTTCTTTTTTAGGTAATTACAGTAACAACAACAAGAGAGTGAACAATGCGAGGCCAGGGGACAACGAACGAAGCACGTACATTTTCCAGCATTGTACGAAAATTGTGGGAACAATCAACGAAATGAGCACTGGAAACCAAAAGTGCTTTGCATGTTGTGTTGCTGTTGATTTGCCGCAAATTGGCTTGGCTCAGCTCAGCTCAGCTCTGCTTGGGTCGACTTGGTTTGGTTTGGTTTGGTTTTAAAATTGCGAAAACAAGGAGAGGAAATCATGCGAAGCGGCTGGCCACAACTTGGTCAGCAGATTAGAGCAAACCGAGGGCTGCCAGGCCAGCCAATTGCTCAGCGTGACCTCACGTCCAAAGGCTGACACGCAGCCACAAAATGCGAAAGAGAGACGCACAAAAAGAAAGAGAGCGGTGGGCTTGGCTAGGTGAACGGGTGGTGCTACAAAAGCAGTCAATTTGCAGCAGGGTTGATTGATTTCTATTCTGCCAACAAGTCTATGTGTGTTGTGTGTGTGTATGTGCGCGCGCGCGTATTTGTGTGTGCATGTGTGTCTTAGTGATTCACGGCCTTGGCTCGCTTTTCACGCTTTTCCAGACATTGCACTCTCTGAATGATCTCTGACATTAATGATGATAAATGAAAACGCAACGCTATTACATTTTCCCCCTTTCTACCATTTGCTATAATTTATTGCGATTTCTTTCTCTGTGCGCTGTTGCAAAATTATGAAAGCCGCCAAATAGAAAAACTACAACACAGCGAATGTGTGTCTGTATGCGTGCATGTGCGACTGTAGCTCTGCACAACTGTTATGGCACCAGAGCTTGGCTTTACCGTTACCGTAAAACGAAAAAAGCAACAAATCAACGAAGGCTGTGTCATAAATTGTTGTTGTTTGTTTTTGTGTGCGCTTTGCGCTTATAGCGAGGCCAAATGCAAAAAGGCGCAGGCGAAAATGCGGCCAACTCGACTGTGTGTAAGTTCGTTCAGTCATTGCTCCCGCTCACTTGCTCGGTCTCTCTCTCAGAGTTTCTATTATTGTGCGCCTGTGTGCGTGTATGTATGCGCATGTGTGCGTGTGTGCGTGTGCATTACGAATGCCAGCATTAAAAATCTTGAAATTGCATGCTAATAACCATACCCGGGCAGCTACTTAAGTGGGCAAATAGTATGTTGGACATGCTTGTTACTAAATGCACAGCATGTAATTTAGTTTTGCGAAATGCCATTATTACATAAAGACATACGTATGGTCATATATGTGGCGAAATACAAACATACATAACTACATACACGTGCATTCACTGCCAATTGAATTCAAAAAGTTACTTACATTTGCGCAGCATTGATTCCAAATGAACATATCCACATATAAATGTCTGTATGTATGTAAATTAAGCTCTAATGCATGTTTATATGTATATTTCTCTATGTGTATCTATGAGAGCATTGGGCGCATGGGCCGCCAGCTGAGCGGCCGCTGTTCGGGCAGCATCAATCTTCATCAAGCCGCTGCCACTGCCGCCGCCGCCGCCGCTGACGTCGTAGTTTGCCTAAGGCCTGCCGGAAGTGACAGCCAATCTAATGTTAAGTGCCCACTCCACGGGCTACACATTACAACAGGAAAGCCTTTTCTCAAATGTCTGCGGGCAGCATTGGAAACAATGTGGCACACACACAAATACACTTGTATTTAGAGCTGCGTACAGTAGAGCTTCGATATTGTGAATGGAGATAAATATTAAGCTAAGCAAGCAGCTAAATTACCGAATTAGATGAATAGACTAACATACATATATGTATATATGAATGTATGTATGTACCAGATATTTTGTATTTATAAATTCACCAATATCGCTGCACACATGGCAAACTCATTGTCGCTACATTTTACTGTAGCACACAATGGCCCTTACTTAAGACCGCACCACTCGGTCATTCGAAAGTTTCGCTGACTCATTTTCATTTTCTCTCCTCCTCTTAGACACTTACTTTTCTCTTTTCGTTGCACACGAATCACGCTATCAAGGGCGCTCTCCCTATAGAGAAATAAAAAGCTTTTAAATTTATTTTTATATTTGTATTTTGTCTCTTTTTTCTTTTGTTTTTAATGTTTTTTTTAAGATTTTTAAACCTTTTGCTACAAAGTATATTATAAAGTTGTTTTATTTTCTTTTTGTTTGCTGTATCTTTTTTACTTTTCATAATTTCATCGTGTGTTGTGTAGGTTATACAATAATTTGTTTCATTTAAGGAAATATGCACAGTTTGTGTTGTTTTTTGTTTTTTGTTTTTTTTTTGTTTTCTACTTTAAGATTTTCCCTCTCCAAAGAATATCTCTTGGGGAGCTTACAATTTTGTTTACCGTAATGCGAATTAACATATTATACACAATTAACAAAGACCGAAAAACGTACAATAAATACAATAATTCGAATATAGTTTTTCTGTACAAAGGTCTTTGCAGTATGTTTCTTTTAAATAATTTCAATTAATAAATTACATTTAGACAAAATAATGTACATTTTTTATTGAGATCATGACAAACTGTAAATACTTTCGGCACACGCGTGCAGCAGAAGCCGGAAACACGCTGAGAACGCTTTGAAATTGGGGATTTGTTATTAGTTATTAATTTAATATAATTTAACTTTTTTTGAGTGTGCGTGTGTGTGTGCTGTCGTATTTGAAGCCCACTATATGTACTGTTAAGTCTTGGTTTTGCTTAAACAAAAATATACACATATAAAAAATATAAGTTAAATAATAATAAAAAATATGTAATAAATATCAATTATTGCAGTTATTGTTCCTACACCCTTTGCACATTCTCTTTTCCCCATTTGGCCCCATTTCTCTATTATGGCTATCAGCTTCAACCTGGTCTCTGCTGATCTGATTAAATTTACGTTTTGGCACTATCAAATCTCCGTTGTAAGCTTTGCGTACGGGAAAGTTGCCTGCAAGTAAAATAAAGCAAAATGCAAATTGCAATAATTAGATACAGTTGAAACACGATTGTTTGTATTGATGTATATCTGTATGTGTGTACTTATGTGTGTGACCTTCAAATGTGAGCTAATGGAAAAGGGAAAGCGACGACGACGAAACGCAAATGCACGCGTTGACATTTACAGCAAACAAACTTCAACAGAGTAAACATATACAGACGCGAATACACACACACACACGGCATGCATGGAGCTCTCTTATCATGGAATATGTATGTGTAGGTGCACACGCTTTTGCAATACGCTGAACGCAAAGTAAATGGATAAATAGGGTTTTTGGTTTCTTGCAAATGTATGTAACAGGTAATTAAAAACGAGTTTGAAAAAGCTAACTAGGTGGAAGAAGTAAAAGTGCAGGTATTACCATGTAAAATTTGAGAAGTTCATGCAAAGACGACAAACAATAGTAGACTTTCGATCAACCAAACAAATTAGTAATTTCTTTACTTGCGCAATTTAAATTACTTTGCGCATTGCACAGAAAGCGAGCCGAAGCAACAGAGATAAAAGGCAAGCAGGTTCACATATTTGACGTTAGTGTTTCTCAGATATAAACACATACACATATTGTAGATAGTATAAACGTGATTTGTGAATGAGAGTGGAGGACTATTAGTTGAAGAGAATGATATAAGTTTGGATAACGCATAGTGATAAAAACATTATGGTTTAAATTGAACTCTTTTAATTTATAATCTATGCCCCATTTAAATTTTTAAACAATATTACATAACCATCAAGCAATATATGAAACTAAGACTCACGTTAAAGGTACGCGCTCGCCTCTAACGAAACATCGCAGAATAAGAAGATAATGATGGATGCGCTAGTGGCGTTGTAAAGATTTTACAGTTATAGAAAATTATAACCCGACGACAACAAAGAACGTCAAGCAATGCGGTCACTAAAAAGCGGGTGGCGTTGGCGGCAGCTGTCGGGCAGACGAGGGAGCCGAGCCGATGGTCGATCGGTTGACTGCCTGTCGACTGTCGCACAGTTTAAGCATTGTAATTTACCGTTATGGGCACGTAAAGCTTCTCAATTCATAATACGTTTACAGCGCTTTCTACTACAAACAAATTTTACTACAAAAACATAAAGAAAGAAACCGCGCCAGATAGAACGGTGAGACGACAACAAAACGCGTTTTGTTTACGAAATGTGTGTGTAGCGACGATGAAACAGGAACGGAGACATCATCGCATAACATAAATATTTATAAACATACATATATATATGCTGATATGCATACACATGCTTGCATACATATAAGTATGCATATGGTTGAGGCCGTGAGAGTTGCTGCATACATAATTATAAGCTTTAGCTGGAGGCGTGGTGAAAACTTAAAAGCAAAACAAAAAACGCAAATAACTCAAAGAGAAAGAAAACAAATGCGTCTAACTGTGAAGTACAGTGGTGGACAAAACATGGCAAAAACTGTTGAAGAAAGCTATACAAAAAGATAAGAGAAGCTCTCCAGCTTATAAGATACAAATTGTGTTTCTACTGACTATTTCACAGATTGTTTACTCTTAAAACAAAATATATTTAGATAATAATTATAATTATATACATAAAAATATAATTATAATTATTATTGATAATAATATATTTTATACATTTTATTTGTAGTTATATGTAGTACAAAATAAAATATATTTATAAAAGTATTATTGATAATATATTTTATACATTTTATTTGTAGTTATATGTAGTACAAAATAAAATATATTTATAAAAGTATTTACTGGGAGAACAAATTTGTTTTCTAAATACCAAATATGTCAATTGACAAATAGAGAATTCATAGTTGTTGTTAGCAGAAGCTGTCGCAAGCACCAGACGCTAACGCTACGTACGTACGCGTAAAGCGCGTGACCTTCAAAACGAAAAACAATATCAACAATAACATGCGTGTCACTTCATAGCCTACACATACAGACGCAAAAACACGCTCACGCATAAGTTAGTAGAAGAGCGCTTATATCAAAAATTAAAAATAAAAATCACAAATTCGCGCCAAAACGCAAAGAAAACAAAAATTCACAGGCTCCTCGTGTCACTGTGCAAACAAACAGCTCTATATTTCTCTCTGCTTCTCTCGCACTCTCTTTTATTGAAATATTCGATCATTTCAGCCTGCCCGATTGTCTGGTACTGTCGCGCACACAAGTGTGAGAAGTCGCTGACAAGGCGTGTATAAGAGTCGACGTAGCGGCGTTGCTTTCGTATATCGTTGTGGGTGAGGTTGTCAGGGAGCTATAACAATATACATGTACAGTCGCTCCCAGACGTGTGCCAAGCTTTGATTTTCTCTGGAATGTTTTATTTTTCGTTTTCATGCCTACGTATGTGCATGCGTCTGTATGTACGTATATGTGTAGCAACCAGCAATAACAACAACGAGAGCGCTGACAGCGATTTCCATTTTATTTGATGCCCCTCGATTAATTGCCACAACTGCAGCTGCAGCTGCAGCTACTGACGTAATCAGTGGAATATTTTTTTCGTTTCGGCGGTATTTTTGAGCAAAAACTACTAAAAAGTTTCGGTTATATGTACGATAGATACACATGCACACATATGCGTATGAACATATACATTTATGCTATTATTTTTTGGCGCGCAAATATTTTGTCAATTGAAGTCCGCTGCCAGCGTCAACTCGAGCGCCAATGTTGTTATTTATCATTTTTATTTTTATTTGGATTTATCTCTATTTAAAATTTTTCAAATTATTTCGTGCCCTAAATTTATTTTTCTGCTCATAATTTGTTATGAATGGTAATATTAAGTGTGTGGGAAAGGGAAAGCAAATCGAATTGAAATCGCTGATTAATGAAAAGAGAGCGAGACAGTGTATTCGTTAAGACGACCACAAAATGAAACGACAAAAGCAAACGTCTACCAAAACAAAACTGTAAAAACACGAGACTCAAATCAAAACAGAATTTTTTAGGCGCGAACAGCCTGCGAAAAAGGGACAAAGCTTTGAGAAAAGAGTTAGCAAAGCAAAAGCAGCGAAACTGCACAGTGGTGCAAATATTGACTGAGTAATAAAAATACGTACAAAGTTTATTGAATTGCCGGAGGTGTGTTAATGAACTTGACAGTTTATAGGGCAGTGCACCTGAAGAAATTTGTGACTAAATAAGTTACAGAGAGAGAGAGAGAGAGTTTCTTGGCTTTTATACAATGTAATAAAAATAAAATATATCGACGTGACGATTAAAATAAATATCACAACACTGAATAAAAAAATGTATGTTGCAGCTTCAACTCATTTGAATCGTTGCTGAGTGTCACACAAGAATCTTGCGATTTTCTATTGGTAAAACTTACGTTTGATGCCGGTTGCTTTTATAACCATCAAAGCTGATTTGTTGCTATCCAAGTCCACAAATTTCACTGCCTCCACTGAGTTCCGTTGATTGCACTGTTCCTCCAATTTTTCGAGATCCATGTTATAGCGTTCCATCAGGTAGGTGCTTGTGCGTTTATTTTCCTCCTCTAGCCTTGCGTCGATATCGGCACTATCGCAAGTGCCGAACAGATTTCGCCTTTTCGACTGCACGTCTGGCGAGGAAATGCAGGGGCGTGGCTTGTGAGTAGCTAATGGCTGGACCACCGGTCGCACCATTATAAACGAAGACATTTTTTCAAAATTTGCTGTTTATGCTTTCTATTTGCAATTGGTTTTCTCTTTTCTTTGTTTCACTAGAGCAATTTCTTTTCGTAAAAAACAAACAAAAACAAACCACACAAAATCAGGTGGCGACGAAGTCACGTACCGTACGGGGAGAGCATTGCAAGCTGCACATAAATAAATGCAAATTTCAAACGATTTCTTTATTTATTTTTAATTGCTCTTGGCACAGTTTTTTGTTTTTCTTTTCTATATTTTTTATTTTTCACTCTTATTTATACGTATGCGAGACGAGGTGATGTCGAAACACACAGCGCATACGAGCACAACCTCCCGAGCTGATAGTTGAAACACGAATGGTTAAATGAATGGTGAGTGGTAATTTATAAGCTGTTGCTAACAGAGGCATAACAGAACAACTTCACGAATAAAAGATGTGTTAATAACATTACATGAAAGAGAAATATGTGACTCTCTTTATTTATCGTAAGAGAGCTTGAGGTGAATTTGTAGTTTGACACAGTTAATGTAAAGGTTGTGCAAAGATTCGCTTTTTAAACAGAGAGTATGATGTCACTAATTCGGTTATTAAATGAATGTTATTAGAATTAATGTACAAAAGTCTTAAATTAAATAAAATGCAAAGAAAATCATGCAAACATTTAATATTTAATAAGTTAAAACTTTAATATATCATTTTTGACACAATAATATCTTCACATAAAATTTGTGATTTTTGCGAAAAGAGAGCAAACTAAGAGTGAAAGCGAACTGAAGCCTGTTATTTAACATAACTACTCATTGCTAGAACCGTCAATATTGAAATATTTAAGCAAGACTGTGTGTGTGGTTCGTATGTATGTATATATCTATGCCTATGAATTTGTTGTTGTGAGTTGATGCTTTAATGATGTTTAGGCCCTAGTCCAAGGTCAAAGCCAGTTTCATGCGGCATTAAACGGCATAATTAGTGAGACGTGCTTTAAAAAAAATTAAAATAAAAAATAGTACGACAAAAAACACTTTCGCGCTTTTTTAAACTGTTGACCACGATTGAAAGTGAAAACAGTTTGAAATCGTGAGCATGTGTGTGAGACAGTGCGTATTTGTATGTGTGCATATGAAATTGTGGAGCGTTTGGCTTTGATTACAAAATAACGGTGCCATGTTTATTGGCAACGTGGATTGGATTTATCATCCATGTGTAGTTCTAGAAACTCTTCTAGTCGCAACCAAAAACCTACCTGCCCCCAACGGACAGCGTGTGCAGCAATAAGGGTTGGGCTCGAGGGTTGTGCACAGGTTCTATGCAAGACGCAACCCTCGCGCCAAAAATAAAGCAAGTCGGCATTTTGCGGTCGGTCGGGTGTAATCGACTGCACAATACTTGCTCGCCGCTCAAAAATACTAACAGACAGAACACCAAAGATTAAATTATATATTGTAATACAAATTGCATTTCGAAAGTTATATGAATATTTATAACTATATTTTCGTTTTCAAATTGCATTTCGGAAACATTACATGAAAATAATCTTTTCGCTTTTCCAACGAAATCGAATGCGTCAGTTGCTGTTGCACTTGGGTACATTGCCAGTTGCTCTGCACACGCACCCATGCGTCCATGTATGTATCTGTGTACATAGAATGTATATATAATTATCTGTTACATTTAAGAGCTGCCTACGTGACTGTCCCGCCACCGATCGACTTTTACCGACTTCCGTACAAAGCAGCTTGATCCGCACAAAATCAGATGCTCTTTTGTGTATATATTATTTTTCTTTCGATTTGTCGCCATCGGAAAGTCGTGCAATAGACAGAACACGTACAGCACGAGGCACACTCTCGCTGGAAATGTGTGGCACGCGAGGCATGCCACAGACATAAAATAGTTAGGCAGTGCACATAAAGTTGAAAGCCAGAGGGTTGCCTGTTTTGTTTCCTTTCTTTTTTGTGTATATGCCTGTGTCGGTGCCTGTGTCCCGTTGCCCCTGTGTTAGTGTCGGTGCCTGTGTCCCGTTGCTTGGCGCTGACATCACGTTTACCTAATTAATAAATGAGCTCATTAAACTGAAGTCCCAACAAGCTTTGTGCACTATGGCTTGGGCTGGGGGCATTATATACGTGCACGTGTCTGTATAAGTGCATACATATGCATATGTATGGATGTGTGTATGTATGTGTGTATGTAGCTGAGCATGACATATGCAAAACGTATCTAGCATCTACATTAGGGCCGGGAATTTATTTTTAGTGTAGTTGGCACTCGGCACTCGGCATTCGGCACTTGGCACTCGGCACTTAGCACTCGGCTTTCGGTACACAGTACTGTTGCTGACGTTGTTGTTGTTGTTGCTGCTCACGCTCGCCTTTGACAACTCCAGAGCTAGAAAATTTGGCGCACAGCTGAGAGTTAGCTAAGCCTCGCCAACACTGCGCGTGTCTCCTTCTTCGTTCTGTCTTAATTTTGCGCCAATTTGTGCAGCGGCTGCTGCTGCCACCCCGGTTCTGTATTTGCTGCCAAAAACCAAAACCTGAATCAGACACGGGCACCAGGCACCACTCACCACCTGGAAGCGGGCCACTCTTCCCGCTCTTTCCGCACCTTTCACATTTTGTTGAGCCGCAGCGCAAGCTGAACAAGTGCTTTGGTTTCGTCTTCTTGTTTTCATCTGTTTTATTTTATACTCTCTACATATTGAATGTGCAATGCGGCTCAAAGCAAACACAAATTCTTGTTTTTTTTTCTGGAAACGGAGGCAGACGGCCAAGGGAAACGCGAAAAAATAACATCTGCTCCCGAAAAGCATAGACCGGAATTGGCGTAGCTGTCTCGATTGCCTGCGAACTAACTGCAACGAAGAAGAAGAACCTGCGCTCGTTTGGTCTATAGACAAAAGCCAGCAAGTTAACCTACTATTATTCATAGGTATATCCAGCAATGAAATATACAAAATTGACAATTCATTTCGCGTCTATAATATTAGAGCTTCGAAATTTTATTTAATTATCATAGAAGTACATATACACACACATAAATATATTGCAAGACATACAGGAATCAGCCCTAAATGTTTGACAAAAAAATGTTGTAATAAAGATTTTATTTAGCAGATGATTGGAAACGAATATTTAGATTTTCTGTTTATTATTACTATTTTCATGATCACAACTGTGTATGGAGTCCATTCGGGAAGAACAGTTCCGGTTCGTAATATCATCTTCCATGTCTCACATTTGTAATTGTCGTCGTTGTCGTTGTCGTTGTCGTCGTTGTTGTTGTCGTTGTCCACAGTGCTAATTTGGTTCATTTATCTCGGTTCTCGGCCAGGCACATGTGCATATATATATATATATATGTCCGAGATCCGATATATGTATACACATACATGTTATGTGTATATGCTGTGGATTGTAATTGCTCTATGGAACTGTGTTGTTTGGGTACCCTAATTGCAATGGTTGCCCGCTGTCGGAGAGCTCATTAATCTCACGCTCCTCCGATTGCAGCGCTGATTTCTCTCCGGCTGTGGGGTGTCCAGTGTCCAGTGTCCAGTGTCTAAGCATAGATAGCCATTGCAGCCGCAATTAGGCAAAGAAGGTGATGTGTCTGTGGCCCGCTCTCACAGGGCACAGACCCACCAGCTGGCCCGTTTCGAGTGACCAATGTCCATCTCATAATTCACGGACAACAGCAGCAGCACCACCACCAACAGCAGCGAAGGGGTTGCGTCTGCTTGTTGCAAATGTTGTTGATAGACGCAAAGCGACAAACACCTCTCTCAAATGATAAATGCATGTGAGAATATGCATAAGTGTATGCATATATATACATATATATCATTGGTATATTCACATAATGTCTGGGGGCAGTCGGCGCTTGAGTAAATCAAAGTTGCGCCTTGCATGTGCGTTGCCCAGTGGGTCAGTTGAACGATCTGTGGCCCGCACCCTGTTGGCCTCTGCCTTGTGCGGCCGTGTGGCATGCCTCAGTGGCGGCCATTGCATGCCGCACGCCAGTTACCACTGCCATTGCTGCAACTGACCCACTTGTGGAAATCTTACCGTTCCGTTACTTCTCACACCCAAACTGGTTGAGACGTAATGCGAAAACTAGCGACGATTGTCGACAATCTCGACAGAGGCAGCCGCGTGGAAAATGCCAAACAATGGGCACTCAGCTGATAGACATTTAGATTGCGGCTGCGTTTTCTAACTGGTTTTCTTCATTATTCTTAATTTTTTTTTTGTTTTTGTGTTGTTTTTTGCCTTTTTATTGCCTCGTCTTTGCCTTTTTATTGTCTCAGATTTTTCCTGTTTTTCTTTTATTTTATCTTCTTTTCTTTTTGGCTTTTGTAATGCACTGCGAACAAAAGAGTTTGTTAAATCAGCTCCCCGCTTGGCTCGGGTTCAGATGAGTTATGGACCTGGGTGTGGTGACCTCTTGACTAGGACGCGCGGTGGTTGCTTTCACTCCGGCTCAATTTTATATGCACTTTAATTTAAAATGTTGTGTTAGACCCAAATGGACTCTATAAAGGCAATGCGATACGTGTTGCATGAAAATCAAAAAACTGATTTGATGCCCCTCGCTGCTCCGACATTGATGTATCTGCATCTGCAACTGTATTTGTGTATCTGTATCTGTATCTCAATAGTTTTTGTGCGCTCGGCCGACAGCATATGGTCAGCGGTTGGTCAGGCATTCGAGTGATGATATGTAAAAAGAAAATTAAACTATTTTTGGCATATTCGATTACATTGTGGCCCGCACGGGCCGCCGCTCAGCTGCCCAAATATTTTGGCCTGCGCTGTCAACATTGCCCTAATGGAAAATTGGTAGCGTGCAAGTTTTTCAGCTGCCTCCCCCAGCGGAGGCGGAGGCGGAAGCGGAGGCTGCCTTCCCTATTACAGACTCTCTTTTCTAATGCCGCCGCCACATGATAAACTTTTCACACACACACAATCAAACACATTTGTTTGCAGTTTGTCTGCTGCTGTTACTTTACCACGCGAGTCCACATATACATATTTATCTACATGTACATATGTATGTTTGTATACTAGTTCCACATCCAATCCCTGGCTCGACTCTGCCCTTTGTCTGTCATCAGAGCGCGCGCGCGTTTTGTTTATTTTTATCTGCTGCTATTTCAGTTATGCGCCGCCGTTTGGCTTTTCATTTATTTACTTGAGTTTTTTCATTATTGTTTTTGTTGTTTTGTCACACGCCCTGCGCCTGTTTCCATTTCCATACCCAGCCTCGTTCCTGCATCTCCGACAGCAGCTTCGGCTGACTTCCTGTATAAATAATTGCGCAAACACATCCTAAGTAAGAGGAGGGAACGGCCAGAATCTGAGCCGAACAATACATACCCTATATAACAAAGGTAGTCCTAGTCTGTATATCATTATGCATATAGCATATATTATATAGCCTATTAGAAATTGGGGATTTGTCCAGAATATATTTTTCTAAAGGGGCTATCTTTATACTTCGTCAACGTATATAATAAGTATTTGACTAAAAGATACCATTTACCTATGTATATAATTAAGGTAAGCTCAAAAACTATATCCATCGATAAGAGGTATGACATTTTAGAAGAGAACTGTACTACACGACATCTGAAATTGATAGACTTGCATGAAGCATGTATGCACACGCACACTCACACGCACACGCACACTCACTCGTATTGTACCTAAATTTAGAATGCATCTTTGTATGAGTGTGCCTTTATGTAAGCATAGCAAAAGCTTATCGGCAAATATTTGCAAATTGCATGCAAGAGACGCAATAAGAATCAACGTCTCCCTAGGTAGAATTTTGTTTTTTGTTTGTTTTCGCTCATGTATTTGAATGCTGAAAAATCACAAATGAGAAATTTTTATCTTTACATTATTGTGAATGGAATGAAAACCTCTCATTGGAAACCTAGTTCCCCTTCAGTAGCCACCGACATTTACGTTTGTATATAAAAGTACACATGTGCATATATAAACCACAAAAACTTATTTATAGATTAGCAGATAAGCCGTGAGCAGTTCTGCATTGCCCTAATATAAATTATTTTCATCTTTGTATATAAATGTATACTTAACTAAATAATTTACGAACACACAGAACCAATTGATTAATTTAGATACATTGGAGTAGGATCATTAAGTAGCCGATAAGCACATCACTAATCAAAGAAGTACAAAGAGTGTAAGAAAGTGAGATACAGATCAAGACAGTGTATGAAAAAAGGAGACAGAAAAAGAGAGGAGAGAAATATGTAATTTATGACTCCCTTACAGCAGGTTGATACTTAAGAATAAATTGAATACAAATTTGCAGCATTTCAATTCCAATTAATTTAAATTAATAGTTTTTGTTGTGTCTCAATAGAGTTAAGATTTGTATAAAAATCTATAATGTTTGTATTTAAAATCTTTTTTCATAATTTTTTCTGAATTTTTAACTAATTATGTAAGACACACACTTCTCGCCCTTAGGCCACAACTCCAACATAGCTTGGGTCAACGCTGGGAAGGTAATCTATGATTAAAATTTTAACGGCGTATTTCAAAGCTCGTTTTGTGGTTAATGCGGTCTATTTTCACACTAATCGACTGATTTATACCGTTAAGTAGTGCTAAGTGCCACCGCAAAGATAAACAAAAAGAAAAGCAAAGAATTATTCCGACTGACTTAAGTGATGACGTTTTTGTCTTTTATCGCATAACTCTGCTTACGATTCACACAGTGCCCGCTGCATTGACATTTTAATGACGCATTATATCAGCGCATTCCAATTTTGCTGGCATCATAAACAAAAGATCGAAAATTACGTTTATTATCCCTGAAACATGAGCAGCTGGTGAATAAATATTTAACATCATCCAGTCTAATATGCGGGCTAATGACTTTCTGTCGTTTATGTTTAATTCGAGCTCAGCGTATTCATGAGTGATCTATGAGGGCGGATCCAAGCGTTCGTCGATTATCGATTGATTATTAAGTTTAAATCGCGAAATTACATATTTGATGAAGGAAATGAGTAAAGTAGCTAATATTATATGTCTTTAATTAGTTTATCACTAATTTTAGTCACTTTTCTTTTTAAACAGGGTAAGATTGATCAAAATATATGATATTGAAATATTTGCATTGCTCTAAAGATCAATTTTAATTGTTTTGAGACACATGCAAATAAATAATTTTTTATAGGGTATATTTTTCTATTTAAATTGTGGTTGTCAGCGCATTCAAACACAACACAATTTCTTCGATTACTTTATATCGTCTTGCTTACATTTCATATCGATAGTTGGTTTCGATATCCACAGGTCATCAGATGTGAACAGTGCTGTAAAATGCATTTGTTGTTGTTTTATAATCGTTCAGCTTAGTTTTATAAAATAGATTTATTTTTAATAAAAATGATGCGAAAATTTCATTGCATACTGCGATTCAACAGCACAATTACTCAAAGCAGTTATAGGCAGCAGGCGTCAACGCTTTTCTGCAGAAACTACGTCACGGATGAAGCGAACGAAAATCATAAAAATAAAAACTCCAATTCAAAACGTGCAGGTGCTGCCGGCTCGTCCAAGAACCTGCCCAGCATACGAAATCCATTCGCAGCGGCTCATGAAAAGACCAAAAACTCCTATTTAACAATGGTGCAAATATTCGAGGAACGCGATGTTCACCGGCGGAACCATGTGGAGTTTATTTATGCCGCATTGAAACATATGCCTGACTTCGGTGTTGAACACGATCTGGAAGTCTACAAGGCGTTGATAAATGTTATGCCCAAGGGAAAATTCATACCAACCAATCTATTTCAGGCTGAGTTCATGCACTATCCGAAACAGCAGCAATGTATTATTGATTTGCTCGAGCAAATGGAGGATTACGGCGTTATGCCAGACTACGAAATGGAGGCTATGCTATTAAATGTGTTCGGCAATAAGGGACATCCGTTACGCAAGTACTGGCGCATGATGTACTGGATGCCCAAATTTAAAAATCTGTCACCATGGCCGCTACCTGATCCTGTGCCCGATGATACTTTAGAAATTGCCAAGCTGGCTCTAGAGCGCATGTGCACGGTAGATTTACGATCAAAAATTGATGTTTTTCAGACAAATGAAATCAAAGACTCGCTGGATGACACATGGATTGTGAGTGGCATGAGCCCAGAGCAGTCGAAGCTGTTACGTGAGCATTCCCGACAGAAAGCGCTCTTTATTGAGGGCCCTTTTAACATATGGATACGAAATCGACGAATAAATTATTTTACACTACGAGCCGATGCTGACACAGAGTTTCTGGCGCAGTTGGACGAACGGCAGGTGGATGAAGACGACGTGACACAGATTGGTGTGCCGTTTTTTGGACGTGCGCCACCACGTCGGCACAACCAGTTGGGCAAACTGCGATCAGTACACCAGCAAGATGATGGAACTATATTCGCAATCTGCGCCACGGGCACCTCCACAAAGGACTCGCTGCTCTCATGGATTCGGCTACTAGAGGCACATGGCAATACAACACTGGGTGAAATACCCGTACTCTTTAGATTTACATCTACAGTACCCGCCAAGGCCGAGGAAATCGAGGGCCCTTCCAACCTACCAGCGCACTACAGTGATACTAGTAGCAATAAGGAGCATCCGGGCAGTAGATCGTAGTGAGTTTATTAAAATAAATTAAAATTGTTGAGAAATTGTTTTGTGGAGTATATTATTATCTATGTTTTATTAAGTTGCAAGGGTGAAATTAAAATTCGTACATGGTTTTCAATTTGATATTGCATTATATATAATATATATACTGGAGAAGTTGAGCTTAAAAGAAAAATCACAGAACTCAAACTAAATGTAAAGAAGATCTGCTACAATTTCTGCATATTCAGTTTTGTACATATGCTAATCGAAATTTCTAAACTCTAATTGTAAGTAATATGTACATGTCTCTATATGTAATCCGTGTTGAGATATATTGATAAGCTTTAATAAGTATTAATCTGTTCACTGTCCAAATGCAGAGCCGATTCGCGCATCTATTTTTCAAATAGAAGAAATCTCATTTGCTCCGCCGCAGGCTTGCATCTACTTCGTACGTGTCTTGTTAACGGGAAATACCTGGGTAACAACACCTATGCCCTTGCTGGACATTCCCTCGCGGAATAGTATACGCATACCAGGTCGTACATACTCAGGGTGTCCAACGAACTCAAACATGACAGAGGCGGAGTCATTGGTACCCAGTTTCTCACCACCCATGATACCACGTATAACCGCCGTCTGACGTATGCTCCCAATATGAACCGTTGTCTGAAAGCCTACATAGATGGCGGTGGCATGGAAGAGTACAGAGACCTTGGCCTGGAATGTTAAATAAGTTGTAATTTAGTTGTCTGTAAAAGTTTAAGTGTTCAGTTTTAGTGCACAACTTACTTGAAAGAAGTAAGTGCCATAGGGCTCGTCAATGTTTCCTGAATCACCCAACAGAACCATTCCACTGCGTAGCGGTGGCAGCTCCTGAGTTGGCGTAAACGATAACGATGCACTTTGGCCAGCTCGCACCACTCGACATGGAGCCTTGTTGCGATGTATGGTGTGCACGGTAACTGCATGGAAGCTTCCATTCGGTAGTGGTCCAATTTTCATGGGCATATTTTCTGTGAGGACTCCCTGTACCAACAGGCCTCCCACAACGGAACCTACGTCGGTAACTCGGAAAATTTCATCGATTTGGAACTCGCATGGCTCCAGTTCCAGTCGATCTTTTTCGGCATTGCTGATGCCTGGCGAAAGCACGTAGAGAAACTTGGTGACCAGATTGAGTCCAGTTCCAGTCACATTTGAGACGCAAAATATGGGCACAATATTCTCAGATACCTGATTCGAGCCTGCTGATATGGCCTCATCGGTATTGGTGATAATAAACGGCACTTTGCGGCAGCCAATATTTGTGAGCAGCGTGCGCAGCTCTTGTAGCGTGGCATCTGGCGATGTAATATCCGTTTTGGTAATCAATATAAAGAATGGCATATCCAGCGCACGCACAATGGCCAAATGCTCCTCGGTGGTGTCATTGCATCCGCTGCCAGCGGACACCACAAGCATCGCATAGTGAGGCGAATAGCCGCTCAGAGCTTGGACTGTTGTGCGCATGTAGCGACGGTGACCTGCCAGGTCCATGAAAGTAACCAGCTTTGTTGAACTATCGCTTATCTCCTCAGCAGTCATCATTTCATTGTACTTGTAGTTAACCACATTTCCCAATGCATCGAAACCAAGAGTTTCATGCGAAATGCAGGAGGTCCGACCTGAAAATAGCCTCCAATTAGATACTGAAAATAGTAGTTAATTTCACTTATTACCCGACTGAATCTCGTGCATGTGACGAAACATGTTTAGGCGCGCACGTCCATGACCATTGTCCAGTTCGTCTTGTGTGAGCACGCCCAACAGAGTGGATTTGCCTGCATCGGCGCCACCTAAAACGGCGACGCGCACTTCAATGTTGTGCTGATCATCGGGGATCTTGCGTACCAGTACTTCGGCAACAGAACGCCGCATGTCAACTGTCTTACGTCGCAGCACGGATGTGCTAGCGCCCAAGTGATGAGCCATATGCTTGAGCGTGGTAAGAGATGCATTCATATCCTTATCGCTAAGGCCCTGCAGGTGGCCCGCATCAGAGACACCGATCTCATAGATGGCCTCACCTTGACCTTCACGTAGACGCCATTTCATTTGAGTGACCAAGTGTTCAAATCGTTGCTTTGACGGATTTACCAATTTGAGCTTATACTCTACATTGCCCAGCTGCGGCTCCGGAGGTAGGACTCCCTGCTCAAAGTCAAAGATTAGATTGCTTTTAACATTGCTTGTAGTGTTGTTGTTGTTGCTACTGTTGTTGCTCTCATTGACATTTCCATCCACCTCATATTCGCTGCTGCCGCTGCTGTTGCCATTTAGCTCGTGCTCCTCGTCGAAGCCATCGTCTGGCTGATTCGGATCGAATAGGCTTAAAAACGACTCCATATTGTGGCAGCTAACTATGAAAGAGCGGAGAACAAAGGAACGATCACATCATAATATATGTTAAACTTTTTGGCCAAGTGCGCCATTGAGCGTATACATTATATTTTTGGCTTGGCCTCTTTCGCTTGCAGCGACCTTGAAACGCTTGTTTATGTTTGGTACGCCATTGCATACATACATACATACATACTCATATACAAGCACGTCTTTCTTTTCCTACTTACACACGCAAAGCCCTATGCTTATTTAATATTCTTACCAAACGTAAATATACAACTTTTATATTAAGCACCTGGTTTAACTAAATCAGAACGTCTTAGTCCGAGTTCGACTCGATGGGCTATGTGCGCCGAATATGTCACTGCCACGAAAAAATCGATTTTTGGGACGCTGGCGCTTTGGCCCAGTCGTTTTACAAACACATGTACTACGTATGCATGTGTCTAAACACACGCACATGCTCATGCATACACATACATATGTATTTTACTTGGCTAACTTGCTCTTGGGTGCGCTTCGTATCTGGTATGAATGTGCTTTTCGTTTTCAGCTGAATTTCGATTTTGTTTATAACTTGTTCTGCTTTGTGGCAATCACACGTACACAAACCTCGAAAAGCTTTCTGTTTCCTGTTCTCTACATTGGAGCATATTCACAATTCTTTATCTTTTGTTTTCGTGTGTTTTACTTTTCGTAACAGTAAATTGTGTAGCGCACACGACACTCAGTTAAGCTTGCACTACTCATTATTGGCTTCTGTCTTTTGCTTTTGCTTTTCGCATTTTGACGTCGTTGGCGCTGCTTCTTGGCTTTCTATACAACTCGCGATTTTTATATTTGTTTTGATCAGCTGTCCCATCTGATGAAATTGAAATAACTTATTTGCACTTCTAGCTTAATTATTATCTCTTATTATTTTATTTCAGAGAAAGCTTTCGATAAGAATTACGTGTTTATGTGTTAAGTACGTGTCAATTGTATATAACTTATCAATTACAAATGTCTCACATTTTTAAAATAGATGTATTCATTTACAGTTTAACATAAGAAAATATACTTGTATTTATCCTATTAATCAGGCCTCACTTTAGTCGAACAATTGTAGATTACAGGTGCATATGCGCATATATCATCATACTTACATTTCACAATAGATGTTAAGTCGCTTTGAGTTAAACCTGTTTATCCAATGTTATGCCCGCGATCTTTTGTGCAATTTATGTTGAGTAATAATGCACCTGGATTGCGTGAGACGCTTTTGACTTGGTGTTGCTCAGTTAAATGAAACAGATATTGACGAGCTTATCGCCATTGGACAGTGTGAACTAATAATTTGGAAATTTAGAGCCAAGAGACATTATAAACACAAACACTTATAATTTTTTACATTACATTGTTTGTAAATAAAGTTCAACCAGACTGTGCAAGTATGTAAATGAATATAAGATACTAAGCGTATTCCCTCTTGTCACATAGTTTTATTCAGCTCAAACTTATCGATAACAAGTCAGCTGTTTCTTAAAAACCAAAACAACAGCAACAAAGTGACCAGCTTGTTGTCAGAAAAAATTGTTTACTTTACTATACAGTTGAATGGAAAACAGCTTCAGTTAAAAATTGTTTGAATTAATTATGCTTAGAGCATAAATGAGTTCTATAGTTCATATATTCAAGTACTAAATGTGCGTTTGCAAAACATACTGTATATGTATTGAAAATGACGTAACTGAAATCTAGATTTTTTGAAATAATTTGTACCGCCAAATTATATTGTCATTTACCAACACCGCATGCTGGTGGCGCTGCCAACCGATTCAATTGTGGAAAGCATACTGATAATAATTTGAATACTTGTTCATCAAGCATTTCCATTTAGTTTTGGATCGTCGTCAGCCTAGAAGCACGTTGATTACAAACATGCCTACCGTATACCGCGGAACAATCGTGCACACGAAATCTTTAAATGAATTTGAGTCGTTTAATGAAGGCTTTCTAGCTGTAGAAAATGGAAAGGTATACATATTGGACATTAAATCAATTTAATATAAATCTAATGATCTCAATTAGATAATTGGCATTGGCAATGACTTTAACAATTGGTTGTCCAGCTCAAAGATTGATAGGGACTCGTTTACCGAAGTGAGGTTGTCCAAGTTCCAATTTCTCTCTCCGGGATTTTGCGACGGTCATATTCATGCTCCGCAATATGCGCAAATTGGCCTGGGAATGAGTGTTCCGTTGTTGGATTGGTTAAACGCGTATACGTTTCCAACTGAAGCGAAATATGTTGACAAAGAATTTGCGCTGCAGATCTATAGGAATGTTGTTGTAAGTATAACTGTAATTCAGAATGATTATTAATAGTTTATATTCCTTATCAGCCTTTCATCACATTGCTTAACTTTCGTACACACACATACGCACATACAGTTAAATAAGTTGCTGACCGATCACTAGCGATCGGTTTCATTCTCAAACACGCACACACAAGCTCACTGCATATACATGTGGGGGCTTGTTACACTAGCTGATAACTTGATACTCTTTAGAAAGCGACCCTGCGTTGTGGCACCACTTTGGCCTCCTATTTCGCTACCAATGATTTGGGATCGACACTGATCTTAGCTGAGGAAGCGGCACGTCAAGGTCAGCGCGCTCTGATTGGCAAGGTCTGCTCAAATTGCAACAGTCCAGACTTCTATGTGTGAGTATGAAGTTCGACGATTATTTGATCATAAATAATTAATTATTATGTGTTATTCAGAGAAACGACAGACGAATCGGTTGACGGAACGCAAGCATTTGTTACGGCAATACGCAAACTGAACAATCCCCTTGTGCTGCCCACAATAACCCCACGATTTGCGCTGAGCTGCAGCAAAGATCTACTGCAAAAACTGGGTGACATAGCCAAACAAAATGATTTGCATGTGCAGAGTCATATTAGTGAGAATTTGGATGAGATAGAGGCGGTAAAGCAGATCTTTAACACTAGCTATGCGAGTGCTTATGATGATGCAGGACTTTTAACCAAAAAGGTTTGTTGAATTCAAACCCAAGCCTCAGATGGAACTAATACGCATTTCCAATGCAGACTGTCATGGCCCATGGAGTGCATTTGCAGGATGACGAGATTGCTTTGCTTAACCAGCGTGGAACTGCCATTATTCATTGCCCTGCATCCAATACCAATTTAAATTCGGGCATCTGCGATGTACAACGCCTAATTAAGGCTGGACTAACAGTGGGCCTAGGAACGGATGTGTCCGGAGGTAATTCTGTATCTGTTCTAACTGCCATTAAGCGTGCAATAGATGTCTCCAAACATCTTGCCTTCTTTAAGAAGCAAGACATTTTGGGCACGGGGAAAGCTCAAAATCCAGATAACGACTACCAGCAATTGTCGTACAAACAGGCTTATTATTTAGCTACCTTGGGTGGGGCTAAAGCATTGGCTCTGGATCATATAACCGGTAACTTTTCCGTTGGTAAGGATTTCGATGCCTTGCTCGTGGACGTTAGTGTGCTGGAGAAACCACATCGTGCCTTTACTGTCGACGAGCTCTTGGAGAAGTTCATTTTTACTGGCGATGACCGCAATATAAAAGCTGTATTTGTGGCGGGCAATCTTGTTAAAGGCTCAATATAAAATAATAATCAAATAAGAATTCTATGATTGCTAACAATAGCTCTTCGCAGAGAAATGCATATAGAATTTATTACGTTTTTATGTATATTCATGGGTCTAATTTAAATGCTGAAAATAAAGAGTTGCTATGGATTAATAATAAATCAAGCATTTTACATTCTATTCTATTTAGTACAGTGTGGATTGCTTAACCACACACATTATTTAATTTTTACAAACAGTTGTAAATGTACTTGGGGATTTATATATATATATATATATATATATATACCTATGTATATAGTTAATTAGATCAGCGTATTTCATTTTCATAATTGCATAGGCGTGTATCATAATCACATATTAGGCTGGGACCAGGTCAGTTTGTTTTTAACGCCAATAATACATAATTGAGCTTTTGATGTATTGAGTATATATAGAATAGTTTGTTTCACAAATTATAGCTCTATAATGTACAGTTATAATTGCTTTAAGGATTATATGCTGCCTTAACTGCACACTCTTAATTCAAATTTATAAAATAATCATTTTCTTCTCTTGTTTTTGCTCGTACACAATGTTGTTCTTGTGTATTTGTGGGAATGTGGATGGGCACCTTAGATTTAGTTACAAAATTAAGTAAATTGTCCATAAATATTTTAGAATTTCAAATCGGGTTCATTTTGGGCTAACTAAAATGTGTATACCTTATATGGGATACACAAATACTTTCACTTTACACATTAAAGCTTACACTCTTACATGGCTTTAAGCTAGGTTTAGCTAATAGAAGGATTGTTAAAACTATTTCTGTATATATATATTATTATATACTTATAATAGTTTTAGGACACATTTTAAGCATTGAACATGTTTTGCTGTGTGGCATCGTTCTCAAAATCCGTCCAAGCATTATTTAATTCAATAAAAATCAACTTGGCGATTTCCTCGTGCTCCGTTCCATTATGCTGTAAATGTTATATTAAAAATAAAAACCTTTTAATAATAAGTGCATGAGCTTACTTTATCTGGATGCACAGCTAAACAAGCCCGTCGATAGGCCTTTTTTACCTCTGCCGGAGTAACCATGGTGGACATTTCACAACGTTGCCATTTAGCATTCTCCCAGAGCACCATATGCATGGAGCAGAGCAGGGCACGTATATTGTTCTTCTTGCCGTCGGTCTGTAGTTACAATACTATTACAGATAATGCTGAGCTATAAATAATTAAGCTTACCCATTCCATAATGCGCACTTTCTTGGGATCCATATCTTTCACCAACTCTTCTTTACGCATGTCATTTATGGATCGCGGGCCCTGATGCATTTTGCTACCAAACGAGTAGCCCTGTTGTCCCAGAATATCTGCAAAAATATCTGAGTTCTTGGGTCCCCCACTAGCGCCTGGTTGTTGCGATGTCTTCTGTGCATCGAAGTGTGTCCGGCTATAGTCGGGACGCGACTGTGAAGCCTGTGGTTGCGGATGCGGCTGCGGTGGTGTCTTCACAAACGGTTGCTGTGCCTGTTGTTGAGGCTTAGCTTGTGGCTGAGGTTGGGTGTGTGTCTGTGGTGGACTAGGCGCTGATTTGTGCGTCGGACTGGAAAATTGTGTAGGCTGTGGACTATGACCAACGGGCGTGCTGCCCGCCGACTTAGCGCCAAGCGTGCTTCGATTAAAGTTTATATTTAGATCTGAAGCCAGATTGGCTATGTCGGCAAATGGATCTATTGGTTTCTGAGGTTGCGTAGGAGATGGTTCCTTTCTGGGTGCAGCTGGCGTTGTGACGAAGGTCGGTACCGTACTCATGAAAGGTGGCAGGTTACTGCTGGTTGCTGGTTTTAGATTGGTAGTGCCGATCCCGCTGTTTTGCTCCATAGACCCAAATATGTCAAAAAGATCAGCATTGATTTGGGGTTGTTGTGCAGACTGCGGCAGCGTTGGCGGTGGCAACACATCTGGAACGGGGGCCGATCCAATGCCCGTGGAATCATCATCTCCAAAGGCACCTAACAGGTCGAAGCTAGCATCCGAGCTGGGCATGGCACTAGCTAGTGGATCAGCAGCAGCTGCTGCAGCGCCTGTACTAGGTTGTTGATTCAGATTGAGCAAATCGATAGGTGGCGAGGGATCTGGCATTGCTGTGGGTGTATCATGAGCGATTTCAGTGACATCGGGCAGCACCAAGGGTGAGCTCGACCGTTCCGGCTTTTTAACAAACGGTGGCGATGAGGCTTGTTTACTAGGCTTGGTTACTGCAATCAAAGCACATTTATCAACATTAGTAATTTATCTCAACTAAATCTACCGAAGGCTTACCAAAATTATCCAGCATCTCGACATACTCTAAATCGGAACTAAATAAATTTTGTGCAGTACGTTTTGACTTGGCTGGTAGCCATGGTGGCTTGTGGCTGGGCGGAGTTTCCGTGTCCGTTACGCTTAACGAGAGCGACACGCAAAAGTGGGGCGGCACTTGCTCCGGATCAGGCAGATCATCGAGATCATGCGCGTTAAATGTGATGAGTGTCTCTGGCTCGGGCACAAAGCCAGTATTAATTTGAAATTGACAAATCTTGAGACCCTGTGGTCGCACCATGCCCTTTAAAGCATTGCGCGCATGGTACAATACAATAGTCAAATCCCCACAAACTGTTAAGTTAATTGGCAACACAATTTTACCAGGACCTGCTATATATAAGCTGAAAGAGGGTAAAATGAAAGTGACCTAATTATGAAAACTTATGTAAAGAAAGCTTTAAAATTTACCGCATTTTTTCGTAATCTTGCAGCGTAGTGAGAAGCAGCATCTCGTTGCAGTAAACCTCCATGTAAATGCGGCAGCCATCGCGAGCCTTAGTCATGCGCGGTACCGGCTGACAGCTGAGCGAAACCAGATTGATATTCTTGTAGTGCGGCAGAAGCGGTGTAGGGCGTAGAATATCACCAAAATAATAGAGATATCGAAACTCAGAGGCGCGCAAGTTAATTGTGTGGCGTTTCACAGCAAAGACCTGCACCGCATCTTCCGGTTCCTGTAGTAAATCTGCGTACATAAGCAGAGCGCATATAACAGTCGCCGCTGTACAGCCACCGGAGTCGCCCGTTTGCACAATGACAACAGATTTTGGATCTGCGTTGAGGAAGTTATACATATCCGCAGAAACAGTGAAGAGACCCTGTAATATAGCTGGGTTGTTAAACATGTTACGAGAATAGATATGTCTTCACACATACTTGAAGATTGGGCGCATGTGCTTGAGGACAACCATACACAGAGCCTGCTTCTACAGTGCGCACTGGTGGCGGTAGGCGAGGCACAGTCCGTGCTCCAAAATTATAAATGCTTATCTTTTGCGGTGCAAAACGACTTTCCAATGATAGGCGCACATCTTCAATATTGTTCGTTTTGTAGGTGGATTCAAAGCCATCTGAGGGGCAGGGCATCACCAGAATGCGCGATGTAATGTGACTAATGTCTAAATCGTTTCGTGCAATCGATTGCTGCATTGTTTGCATCACCTTAGTTGAAGTATCCTTTATGTTTTTCAACAATGTACCGGCACCGCCACGCAGTGAGGATAATAAGCTACCGCTAGCATGGTTGGACGTGGAGCTCGACCCAGCAGAGGCTGTTTGTGGCGTATTCACAGATGTTGTTGGCGTAGGCGTAGCCACGGGATTTGGATTGTCGCAATAAAATTCAGAATGGCTCGTTTCGGGCATACTCCTCTCTGGACTTTGGGCTGGCGATGTTTCTATGGGCATGCCACGCAGATCCAATGGTCCCTTCAGCGACCAATTGTTTGTCTCAGCTATGGCTGCCAATCGTTCCAGCACCATCGAAATGTCACACCGTTCTGCTGGGTTCACTTTAAAACAGCCTTTTATAATCTCACGAAAGCAATGATAACGTGAGTCCGGTGGCATAATATAGTTGGCATTGATGATACGCAGCTTTCCCCCATCTTCGTACGGATGCTTTTGATAGCACAGAAAATATAATATACAGCCAAGTGCCCATATATCCGCCTTCGGGCCAATTGGATAATTCGACCACGTATCCAGCATTTCGGGAGCACGATACATAGGTGTGGTCACCGTATTCAGTTGATCCTCAAGCATATTGCGCTGATGAGCGGTCCATTCAAATGTAGGCGCCAACAGCTCATTGGTGGCTGAGCCAAAGTCGCAAAGTTTGATTTGTTTATCATTGCCAATAAGGAAATTTTCAATCTAAAATTAAGACAGTTAAGAATTTAATTTGTTAACAAAATAATAAATACTCTCATCTTGATTGTCTATTAATTTAAATGCAGATATCATTGTTTAACACTTCACATTTTTACTACATACACACATTGAATTTTATTCTCGCTTGCTATAAATTATAGAAGTTACCCTTCATTCAATTTCACTGGATTCATTATTGTTCAATAATAATTATTAAGCTTCACATAAAGCATTGACAATTCCCAATTACCTTTATATCACGATGAGCTATGGGCGGCGATTGTGTATGCATGTGAGCAACGGCGCGTGCCATTTGATAGAATATGCGTAGGATAACAGGTGGATCAAGCGCTGAATTGTCTACCCTAAAACAGTCCACCAAAGAGCCACCTTTCGAAAGTATAATATATCAAATAGTGTTCTACGTGATCATTGGACGCCATCACTTACCCTTGCACAGTTCCGTTAGCAGCAAAAACTGTGCACCATGATGAGACGTAGGAGGAATGCAGCTGGTGCCAATGCAAGTGACAATGTTGCCATGTCCAGATAGTTGCTTATGGACGCTAATCTCATTGTTGATAGTTCGACAGGCCTGCTGATCAGCGGCGATCAAGCGCTTGAGGGCGTATTCTGTGCCATTTTTCACATCTTGTGCGACGTACACAAAAGCATACCCGCCTGCAAATAGAAGGGAAAATGTTGATAACAAATCACACTGATAAGCGGGGGCGTACAATTTCAGTAACGAATCAAACTCATTTATATAATTAAATATATATTATTTATGAATTCAAGTCAGAGAGTTGGTACTCTTTTGTTTCGATTGCGTGTGTGTGGTAAAGTGACTCATGGGTCAAGAGAACTGCTCAAGAACGTTTGAACTCTAATAACAACTTGAGCACCAATACTCATGCACAACTAGCATGACTCTTAGCGTACATCTCATACTCATTAACAAAGCAACAAGTTTTTCATTCTGTTTCAATGCGAAAATCAGAAAGCGGAAACGAAGAGCTCAGATGACGCTGTGGTGTCATTGTCGCCAGTTATAATTGCAATCAAAACATTTCTGAGGAAGACGTCTATATTTAATACTCTATTTCCTATTGATTTTTATGCCCTTGCATGGGGTTAAGTAATTGTTTTTATTTGTATTATCCCCAATTATTCAAACCTTCGGCTATAACACATTTTGTGCGCAGCTTCAGCCCAGCTATTTCCACGTATTGGCCAACGTAATCATTGTCCATGCTGCCACTGTTCACTGTGGTACTAGTGGAACCTCCTCCTCCATTGCCACCTGCATCGACCAAGCTGGATGTGGTGTTAAAGTAATTAAAGTTTAGGGATTTGAAGAAATCGCCCATATTACTCGACAATGGTACGTAATGTATTAAACTTTTTGATTGCTGCAACGCGAACTAATTTTAGAGATTTTGTTTATTTTAACCGAGCTTAAACATTTTCGCTGTGGACACAACAAAAATTGCTGCGTTGGTTTAGTATTTATTACTTCTGTTCTGGTATTTTTTTTGCTGACTTGGACGGACAAATATGGTCAGCTGTTGGCTTAACAGTGACCCAATTTAACATTTGCTGAGTAGATATTAATACCAGCTACATTATTACGGTCGTTACTTGATCTTAACCTAAAAAAGAGCACTTAATTTTAAATTTCTAAATTTAAATTTTATTAAATTGTGTTAAGCTATTCAACACTGATGGGAGAATTGTTGTACTTATTAACATAAGACGTCTGTTACTTCTGCAGAGCTTATAATAATAGTTAAATTCTGTAAAGTGGAGTAGTATGTAAAGTGTGGAGTAATTATGTTATGTAAAAATATGCATGTGTTTAAATTTTAATAATAATAATTCAATAATTAATTTTTTTAAGTTGAAGGAGAAGTAGCGTATGTTTGATAGCTTAGTTATAGTACAGTAAATATAGGAATTGTTTTTTGAAGATAATAATATAACATAATTACACTATGCTACATGTATCGTTTTTTGCAACAAGGCATTTTGATATTAAAGAAAATTTCAAGCTCGAAAATAATTCTAATTTCTTCAGTAATTAATAATTAAAGATAATTTTGGAGTATATATTGAAATTATGTTACCATAGATTAGAAATATCTCAAATGATTTTTTTATTATTGATTTTGTTTTAAAAAAAATTTTTCAAATATGAATGTAAATAATTTGCATATGAGCTCAGATGTCATTACCTTATAGATTTTAACAAATAATAACTACATTCAATGGCATTCGGTGCAATTATATTTATCCATTGGAATTTTAAGTTATATTTTCAAAATTAAAAATTTGTATTTGTATGTAATAAAAAATGTGAATATTTAATAAATCCAACAATTGTATATGTGAGTTATCCTAATCATGAATAACTTATTTGTAATCCAGAAATATTAACCTTTGACCTTCAAATAACAATTACCGTCAAAAATTGGGATGATTTCGTTGACCTTGCAGGTGGAGTCGCCCGCATCTTTCAGTGCGACCTGTGCAGGTGTGTACATAAATATAAATATGTATTACTAATTACATAAAGTATAAGCCCCAAAAAAAAAACAAATTTTCCAAACATGATTTCGTGGCTTTGAACTAATACAAGGTCGCCTTAACATTTGTCAATTATAGATATGTACATATTATGCTGTTGTAACGGTTTCGATTTCCGCCGAGACTTATAAAAGACTTAAAACAAATAATTAAGAAATCATCGAAAAAACAATTTTGAGCTTTGTTGTCGTTCGCAAACAAATGTGAAATGCATGACAAAATAAAGAAAGAAAGACCAATTGCGACTTTAAAGCCCCATTTACGGCACTAAGAGTGTCTGTATCTGTTCAAAAGCAAGGTACGTTGCGGATTGCGATACCAATGACAGTTTCATTTTGCTGCTGTTTTCGCTGTGTTTGTTGCCAATTGTTGTTTTGCGTAAATTGAGCGTCTCAGGTAATTTTGACACATTTTAAAGTGTCAAGTGAGCAATTCAGTAACATTTGCATTTCTAGAAAACGTAACAAATACCAAACAATGAAAAACAATAAAAGAAACATTTTTAAAAAATGTATTTGGCTTATCATGTGAGGCACAACAAACAATGCTTCATAATTAACCAAATGAGTGCAGTTATTCTCGAGTTGCGGCTGCAGCCTGTTAGAGTTGAGTTATCATCAGCATTGCGATTTAGCATTGACACATTTTTCGTCAGTTGGAAATAATTGCAGCTAATAAATATTTTTCCACGCCATTTAGCCGGGTAACTAATGTGGTTAGAACTTTTCAAATGTATCGAATTGAGGCTAAATAAAGTACACATTGTGTTTGGACAATTGCACGGGAAAACACGCGCCCACACAAACAAATAAAAGTCCACAACCTATAAGTCGACAAGAATGATGAGTTGCCTTGCACCACTTTGGCTTCTGTCGGCGTTATGTATGCATTACGTATACGCACAGTATTACCAAACGGTACCAAGCGATGTGCTTAACTTTAATCTCTATGATCCTTCGAATGGCAAGCGATTGGTGCCCATACGATATTTACATTCACGCAACATCAACGATAATCTAATTGAGCTGCCCACGATGGGCCGGCCATGTTCCTGCCAGGACTACGCCTGCAAATGCTGCCTGGGCCTGGGCTTTGGCATGATGAGAGAGGGCCTGTGCGTTATGATCGTGTGCAGTCGACGGGACTTAAGTGTGCACTTTGGCGTTGAGTTGAACCACAGATCGGTGGCTAACTTTGACATATCGCCCAGGAATTTGCCGGATTTTTGTACACCCGTAATGCTGCCGATTCCCGTTTTTGCCTGCCTGCGACTTTATAACATACATATCATCGATCGGAGCTTGTACGTATGCATTTCGATGGTATTTAAGATACTTTTCCAGCAGATGTTTGAATACAAACTGAATTGCTTGGAGTTGAGCTTCAGTGGTGTGGCTGTTGTTGGTGAAATGGATTGGAATAAGGATCGGGTTCAGCTAAGGACGCATCCGAATCAATCGCCTAATAATAAACTTGAAATCTCTGCTGCATAAGTTCATTGTTGCTTATGGCTTATCCATGTACACTCATCCCCCCTCCACTCATTCTGCTAAATATTAAATCTAACAAAAGAAAAAAGTGAAATTTTGTTAATTAAAAAAAGCATTTTATTCAAAAGCCGCACCAACAAGAAACGACACAAAAAAGCGCTATGAAAATTGCGAAAATTGCTAATAAAAAGTTGGCCTAAGTGTGTGGCAGTTGCGTGCGTGTGTGTGTGTGTGTGTATGATGCGACTGCCTTGGATTTGTATCTGTATCGCAGCATCTTAAACAAGGTACACAGCTCATTGGAACACACCTACTTCTGGCCACTTTCGTTTAACCACTACGGCACATGGCAATTATTTTTCGGCCCGCTATCAAACGGCATGCATCTGAAGCCGACAAAACATTATTCGAGTACACAAGCTTAGTGGGACTACGAAGAAGAATTGGGGCTGGGGAGCGCCGTCGGCACTCTAGCTTGATGGGCTGCCAAATGGCAATTTGTCACTTTAAGCATTTAACTAATCGTAGTTAAAGCCTAACTCTTAGACTAAACAAATTTTATTAGCAAAGTTAAAGTTCAAATTACACTGGCCAATACAATTGGATGTAATTGTCTAACAAAGCATAGGAGCATGTTTTTGACGAATATGTACAAAATATCTATCCTTGAGATATCAAGGCATAAATGTTTATTTTTATTGAAAACATATGATGTCCTATCACATTGAATCTTGAAGCTATCTGAAAATAAGTCCTTAATTAAAATCTTCTTTAAGTCTTCGTCTGTTGAAAGAGATTTTCCGAAAAGAGTATGGGAAAATGAGTGTAGGGTAAATGCTCAGTAAATTCAAATAACAAATTCTAAGTTTAATTCTGATACTTGAGCAATAAGCTTGTTGGTCTGTGTAATTAAGAACTGCCTTTGTTGAGCACTGTTTGAAATTAAGTATATTTATTCGATTTTAATTTAAAATATAAATAAATTGCTTTAACTGCTTTTGCTTTGAACTGGTGTATGAAAATCTATTAAATACAGTTGAGTACATAATGCAGTGTAGATGGACATTAAAATATCAAAGGTCCGGTTAAACGATTTATTTGACGAAGAAACAGTCTGGCATTTTAAATAGAGCGAGGATATTTCGTTTAGTACTCTAAATTATTAATAAAAAAATTAAAACAATAAATTATTATTTAATTGAAATTAATAAAACTACATTGAACTCTCAATTATTTATTATTTTTAATTATAGTCGTTAGACTTCGAAAATTTATGAAAATATGCGAAAAAAATATATATTTAGAAATGTATTTTGCACTCATATCAACTTTGTATTTATATCCGAAGCAATTACTCACAACTAACTAATGTTATAACATTTGAAGATTATTTTTGGAGATATTTTAAAGCATTTTGTACCGCAGATTTTGTATATAATATTTAAAATCAGAGATAAATTATAGTTACTTAATTATCAAATCAACTGCAGTGATGCGAAACAAACGTCGTTGACTAGTGGATCGCCAAAAAAAAATGAAATATTGTGAATAAAATTTGAATCTCTGCATTCGCTCTCTTTGCTGCTGTTGTTGTTGTTGTGTGAGTTGTTGTAATTGCGCAATTGTTCGCAGATTTTTTGCCGCATTGTTGTTGCTTCGGTTTTTATTTGGCATGCTTTGCTTGAATTTTCGTCTGCTGCAGCCCCTTCGATCCACATTTTGTGCTTTTTCTCAGCTCTTGTATTTGTTTAGCTGTCTGACACTCAAGCTTCAACTCCAGCTCTAGCTACAGCTCGGTCTGGGTCTCTGTCTGAGTCCCAATCTAAGTCTCTTTGGCCAGCTGTTGCCGCTGCCGACATCGCCTCGGCGCTGTTGTATGTGTGAGTGTGTGCGTGTGTTAGTGGTTGTTACCGTTGCCAACAGCGCAGTTACCTTCGCTGCGTTTGTTGGCTGCGGCTGCTGTTGTTAAGTCGTTGTTGGTGTCGGCCTCCAAACACACATAGATCCATACATGTGCACATACACATGTGTGTTTGTATGCATAATAATTTTTACTTTTTTTCTGTCGTTTTCCAGCTCGATGCTTTTTTACTTGCAAGCAAAAGTTTTTCATTTGCGTTCAGTTGTATTTCGGTTCGCGTTGCGATCTGTCGCTTGGCTTGTTCGCAGATACAATAAAACTACAAAATAAGAGCCGTTTCTTGTTATCGCTGTCAGCAAGGCGTCCAGGAGCAGCAACTATTGGACTACTTAACAAACAGGATTTTAAGTCGAGCGTCAAAATATAATGTGAGTTATTGCTGAGATTTGATGAGGCGAAATGATATATTTTCAATTTAAAAAAATTTAATTTAAATATTCTTTGTAATTTGATAGTATTAAGATATAAAAGCTGTTGATTAGATTAAGCATGTAGAATGCAGCTCATAGAACATAATCTGCTAAGTATTTAGAGTCACATATTTAGTCTCATTCCATATATATTATGAGATTGATATCTTTTAATATAAAAGCGAGTGCTTTACAAAGTCGATAGGTCCACAGCTTGCCACATTTGTGCGTGGGATATAATGAGTTGGGGCAATAGCTATCCGCTTTTGGATAATATTTTAGGTGACAGGCCTTATCCGTCAAACCTACGGACCTTTACCTTGGCTTTCGATTGATGTGTCCGAAAGTAAAAAATTTCACTTTCAGTTGCGACACTTGGGCGCAAAAAAAAACCCAGGCGCCAAAACACATGTATTTACTCTTGTACTCTTGCCGTAAGCCGGAAAGTGCTTGCCAATGCTGACTAACAAGCATGTGTAATTAAAGATGCTGGCAAAAAAAGAAAAATAATAATAAAAAGTAATAATAAAAAAGAAAAAAACACATGAGTAAAAAACATTAATCTTAAGAAGAGACCAGCAAGGGCTACAGCATCTTTAAACTTTACGATCTTTCAAATTTCACATTTCATAGTCACAGCAACACAAAGTACAAATATGTTTAAGTGAAAAAAACAAAAAAATCATGTAAAGTTTCTCACTTTTGGGTGGGAAATGTTAATCATAAAAAGTAAAAGTGAAATTAATACAACGCCGGCAAGCATCAAAACCAACAACAACAACAACAAATTACATTAACCGCGCAGGCACATTTGCATTTTGCACATGACAACAACTGCAGCAACAACAACAGCACACAAACATTACAACAATCGCTGATAACAATAAGCAACGAACGTTCGATTGTTGACCCGACTACCAATGATATCGGACATCGTTAATCGACAACAGCTCCGATTTAGATTCATTAAATGCAGCGCACAACGTGCGAATATCGAAACAAAAGAGAAGAAGCAGAAGAAGAAGGCGCCGCTTGCTGCTGCTGTTGCCCATGTGAGGGGGCGTATACGTAATTTGAATGCACTCTTTGTTTGCCAGATCAATTGGAAATGCTCGCAACGTTGCCCATCGTAGCTGGGAAGTGGCTGTTGCCTTTTGATTGACAAACTGACAAGCGAGCCGACCAAGGGCCCTAGAAGAGCTGCTGATGCAAGAAAAGTGAGAGTTTTGTCTGAGCTGCTAGAAGCTGACACAACTCGAACTCGAACTCGAACTCGAGCTCAAGCTCAAGCTCAAGAGTCAATGTACAAGTCGGTGATTTGTATCACAGTTGCTAGCAATTGTGCTCAATTGTGCTTGTTGCTGTAAACTGTAAACGTAATACCCAATTAATGGCAAGCGGCACGCCTTGAGTGAGCAAGCCCATCATTAAATGTGCGCCGTCTGTCGCGCTTGCTTGTTGTCTGTTGTAGTAGTTTGTAGCAGTATGTAAATGCTGAGCGTTTTAAGTAGTAGCTAAGATAACGCCAGTGAAAAAGTGCAAACGACAATACGAAAAAATCCAAATTGCAAGAGATGAAACTAAGACCTAAACTTAAACTTAAATTGCACACACATAATAATAATTGCAGTTTGCATTTCGACACAGCTATGCTCATAATAGCAAGCCGCAGGGCTATGACTCCGACTCCGACTTCGACTTCGACTCTGACCATGCGCTGATAAAGTGTTTCAGTCGCACTTCCTGTCCCGCTTCGCTTCAAAACTTGAAGTGATGTAATTTTCATTGAACAAAAGTGGCCGAAAAAAGAAAGAAAAAAAGAAACAAAAATGACGCTACCAAGACGCAACGGCGAAGCTTCAAAAGGCGAAACACCAGGTGACGGCTACGAAACAAAGCGTCGACGTCGGCAGCGGCTGTGCCGTGACATTGAAGCTGAGATCGCTGGCATCGACGCAGCTGTTACCGGGCAGCGGCCTAAAAACGTTGGCCGACACTTAAGAAAAGGCTTATAGAAAAAGAGACCAAGCGCTCAATACCAAGCGTTGACTTCTTTTTGACGCTTGGTTTTTTTTTTTTGATTTGTTGTGCAAAAAGTAAAACTTGTTTTTGTTGTTATAGTGCGCGATGATTGCGACGATTTCATAACAACAAACCACACAGCCAGCGGTAGCAGCCAGTTGAACTGGGAGCGCGGCGCACTCAGCCGCGTCGCCGCAAACTCTGAGTTGAAAGTGAAAGTCAGCAAGTCGCGAGTTGCTAGTCGGCAGTCTCAGTTTGAGTTTGGGCCACGAGCACCCAGATTGACCGAGTCGTAGTCGTGCCGTGAACTTTACCGTGCGCATTTATTGAAATTGCAATTCACAATTCACAATTTACAATTCGCTTAATTGTTTTTCTCATTTTGTCGGTGAATTTTCACTCATTAGTGACTTGTTGGTGGCGGTACGCGGCGTATGCGTAATATCGCAGTTCATTCAGCCCAATTATGCAGCCAATCAATAGGCCAGGCTTAAATTGATCTGACGCAAATTGCGATAAATGGTACTGCAACTCGGCCATCAATCTTTGCCGCCACACTTAAATAGTTAGTTACTTATCAGATTGATTGGCGTGGGTAACGCCCTCGAGGCGTGATTGCAAATCAAGATTAATCAGACTGAAGCAGTCGTGAGTTAGAGTTCGGATACCAAAATAAGTTAAGAGCGCTGATAATGATTCTTATATGGATAAACCTGAAATGAACGTATACAATTTTGGTGCTCTTAGATTTTTAAGAATTTCCTCAGCATTTTATAGTATTGCGTGCATCGAAGAAGAGGCGAATATCGATTTCATATTTTTTCTAAATCCAATTAGTGGGGAAATATAAATATAGCTCGTAGGTTGACATTATATGTAAACAAGTTGAATTATGACCCCGTGTTATCAGACACAGTAATAATTATCTCTCAATCTAATATGTTATCTTTTTTTAGTAAATGCAATTTCAATATTTGTTGTAGACAATCTAAAAATATTAAATATTTTCTGATTACTTTGTGTTTATATATAGATAATAATTGTTTTCTTTAGACATGAAGACAACAAGAATTAGTTAAAGTATATTCTGTAAAATTCCAAGCTGCACTCCTTCATGAAATATTTTTAGAGATAGATCAATAATATGAACAGCGTTTGTTGAATATAGTATGTAGTATAGTATGAGCATATTAGATCATATCAATAAATAGTAAGATATTTTTAGATGCGACACCTCTGAGTGAATTTAAAACAGTGGACATCCCCTTTTAGATAAGAGCTTGAGAAACTTGAACTTGCTGTGAAAATTGTATCAGTGAAGTGTGCGCCAGGTGCATAAGCCTAAGATGGTCAAACATGTTGTTGTTGTCAAAGGCAATGCATTGACTTTGACGGGAATGCAGCTGCTCAGCTGTTGAAAATCAGCTCTAGTCTACTAGGGCTTAACAGCTTAACGCAATTGCAATGTTTGAACACTATGAAAAGAGCGTGGCACTGGCAATTTAACGCCCAAGCTGCTAGGAGTTGTCACATTGCCATTGAGTGGAAAAAATGTTGGTGCCGGCAATCGACAATCGACAACCGACAATTTCCTCATGCCACAGCGGCAAACGAAAGTTAGGCATTGCATTTTTTAATTGCTGTTTCGCTTTCTGAGCCCAGCTCACCAACAACAGCAACACAGACACACACACACACATAGACACGCAGATGCAATAAAAAAAAGTTTGCAGATGCACTCGGGTTGTTTGGCTGCTTGACTGGTTGTCAATAATTAAATAAAGAGCACCACAAGCGCCAATAATGAGCTGAAATCCAACGAGGTGTTGAAAAGTATAACAACACGAGTCAAGCCAAGGCTAATTAACCGGTGTGAAAACAGGAACAAATAACATTTGAAGATCCGCATAAAGCCGTAACTAGATGTATTGAAAAGCTAGTTGATTATCATTTGATATAAAAATCAAAGTAATAAAGGAGAAGCTTATTCATTTTATCTCAGTGCTTCAAGTTCTTTCACAAAAAAATATTTGTGTTTAAAAGTGATTTCAGAATAGAAAAATAATAAATATAAGTTCTAAGTTTTTCTTATAAATCTTTGGATTGCATTTATTTATTATTTATCAACTTTTAATTTCGATTTGTTCATTGATATTCTTGACACCAACTCAAAATATTATTCCAACCAGAGAGCTCTTCCAGAGTGTTATCACAGTGCTTCGTGAATAAAGTCTACTTCTTTATTTATGTTATTTTGAGCTAAAAAGCAATTAATTGGAAATTAATATCAGACACATTTGAATAACAGCATTTTTCTCACGATACAAAAATTATCTTTCACACAACGCCTTTTTGGATTTGTTGCGAAAGAAATAGTCAAATGTAACAAACTTAAAAACATAATTTATCTTTATCAAAGTTCATTAATTAACCTTTAAAAAGGTAGAAAGCTGTGTTAAACCAAACGGCAATCATAATTTACGTAAGGCAACGATGCGTCTTAGTAAGGCTTAAGATGCGTTCCATGGGAACGAAAAACTTTACTTTAAGGTGTTACCCATGAAAAGGTATACTAAACGCTATATATATATAGCAAATTTTATGATACATGTACTCGTTTATAGTCAGCGCACAGTTGAGTTGAAGCTGTTGGAATGTTGCAATAAGAAGTTGTTGCGGAATTGAAGATTGTTCACCCAGTCAAAACACATATATAATATAATGGTGGCGAAATTAACTCTCACTAATTTGTAACAATTTTGCATCAATTTCACAGCGTGCGCACCAAAAGATGGCGACAGTAACGACTGCAAGGGCAACCTCGGCAACTGGGCGTATGAGTGTTGTAGCCTTAATTATTTTTGCTGCGCTGCTGATGGGCGTAACTGATGGCAGCAATGGCTACGTTAGCGGTGGCAGTCCCGCCACCGGTAGACCTTCACTACTACGCACCGAATTACGCTTTGGGCGCAATCTGGATCCATCAAAGGTGCGCGTGGTGAACGTGAAGTCGAGCCAAGGGGAAGATGTAGAGATTCTCGTAGGCAAGAACAGCCGTAAAGCTCGTGCCGAGGAGGCAGCTGGTTCATTCTTTGTGCGCAGCTCGGATGTCAAGCGGCCAGCGGATCAAGCCAGGAGCGCCAATGCCAATCCCAGTGGCCGTCAGCTAGTTTTCGAACATACACCAGCACTGCTGAAGCAGAGTGAACTGGCACTGCAGCAGCAGGACTATCGTCAACGCAAGGCCGAGGCAGAACAGCGACAGGCTAAGTTTATACAGCTGCAGCTGGCCAAGGCGCAAAGCAAAGCATTGGAGCAGCGGGCACTAGACATCGGGAGCAGTTCGCGAAATGGACGTCAGCTCGGCAGTAACGCTGCCTGGCAGCCAATGTATTTCCAAGCACAGCCCACGGCATTTAACAACAACTTCTCGCTTGGCATTGAGCGCCAGTGGCAGCCGTACACCTACGCTGCTCCAGTGGAAGCACAGCCACGCGTACTGCGTCAGGCGCAAGATACACCAATCAGTTTTCCCGGTGACCAGCAGTATGCGGCCTCTGAGCCGCTGGAATATTTTAGCCGAGATGCACGCGCTTATCCTAACCACAGATCACGTCCACCACAGAATCTGATCACCAAGCACAACTACAACGCCTTGCCTCAGAAATCGAAATTTGTCAGCTACATGCCACATTCTGTGGTGGTAACGGCCAGTGCAGGCGTGGCTGCACCTTCAGCCACACCTTCACGCCGACCTGCTCAGGCCAGTCCGCATCGCAACCCCATTGGCCAGAGCACGCACAACGTCGTCGATGGCCCCGCAGTCACCCTCATCGAAGGTGTCCGCGTCCCAGACACTCCCGAGGACAAGGTGAAGACCTGGCGCAACGCGCGTGTGCTCAACAATCAGCTGGTGCCATATCCCGAGGGCTACACGCCGCCACGTGTCCAAATGCCCAGCTTTGACAGATAGGCGAGAACAGCGTGTGCTTCAACACAGGCGCACTTAAAATATTTCTATTATATTTATTGATTTGTTTTATTGTTAAGTTATTTATAAATGTTACATTCAACTTGAAAAGTATATGCCCACAGCTAATGCATAAACTGATTTACGGTCCAGATATTAAAGTTGTTCTTGCGCCATATGCGCAAGCAGGAGTTGGTTTCTATGGTCGCATGCACCACATGAACGGGCGTTGTTTGCATGTAACCATTCTCAGACAGTTTGTAGCGATAAGGTAGCTGTAGCTCAATGTAAACAAAGACCGCAGGATACTTCACCTTGATTGTGAGGCTGATACTGTTCCGTTTGATAGTAGGGGTTTCTACGCACATTTTCGAGGTGATCTCGTACTGCGAAAAGAATTTTATAATTTTTGAATTCTCAAAGAAAAGACTGATTTTATCTAATTTATAAACTTCTGGGGGGAAAAGAAATATTAATTAATTTAATATATATCTACCCCAGAAAAAAGGGATTACAAAAAGAATTGGAATAGTTATAAACTTTTCTGGTTCTTCTGTAAGGCAATCAGTATGAGAGAGAATGGGAATAATGCGCATCAGGAATATAAGAATCCGAGGGTTTTGCTTCTGCCATATTCTTGCTACTCGTGATCGATGTAGATAGTAAAGTACAGTATTCACTGTAACAGGGCGTACTCACCTCTAGCTCCGGATCAGTAATGCCCTCAGCACTGGCAATGTTACTAGGAAAGTAGTAGGTGCGAGAGATTGGCTTTTGACCGCGTCTCAGCTGAAACTCCAGATAGGCATTGTGCTCGTTGAAATCACCCTTTAACAACTCATTTACTGGTATGACCTTATCATATTGTACACCATTGGGGCGTAGGGTAACCGACCAGTTGGTGGAGTTGCGTGGCATTAGCTGCGACCATAGATGAATGTTGGCAACGACATTCAAATTTTCAGTGTTGATAGTTGGTTTGTCACAAACCAATGAGATGTTTAGAGATTTTGTGGGCTTGTCATAGAGCGCCATAATGGCAACTGGAGCAAGAAAGTCACGGGCCCAATAGTGTAGCAGCTTTATAAGGAGTAAGAAAAACTGGCGTTAATAGCCATATATAAAATATAATAACTGTAACTCACTTTCCAGTTTCCATAGAAATCGATGCCAGACCACGATGGAGCTACCCAGACATCGTTTAGCTGCCAGTAGAGTGCACCCATTGTATTGTGCTCTGTATCGCGCATAGTGCGATACAGCTCCGTCTCCACCTTAGTGGCCATGGCATGCGATATTTGACTGAAGTAGATAAGCGCCTGATTATAGTCCTTGTCCTCGGGCAATGGCAGCGGCAAATGACGATGCACCTGTGTGGTGATGGGCACCATAGCAAGAGGGTGGTGCTGTCGATGTCCCATTAGTTTGGTCAGATCAATTTCATCACCTTTGATGCGATCCCAAGCATATGATCCAGGAAGCGATTGAACGCCATACTCGCTAGCGAATCGCGGTCGTGGGTAAATACTTGGATCCCAAGCATCCTTTAAGTAGTCATAGAAGTGAACTGCAGGCAAAAAGATGTGTTAGATGAGTTCATTAAGCTTATTGTGATATTCATCAGAATATACCATCCCCATTGTGATTATCCTGTGGATTCTCTGATATGTAGTTGTCCCTCTCACTTGCCTTGCCATTGGACGGCGACGATACCAACGGCTCGGGGCGGTTGTTGTGGGAAACAATTTTCAGCTCGTGTAGGACAGTGCCCAGGTACAACTCGCGGTATTCGGCCTTAAAGCGATCGAGATCCTGATACGTATGATACCAGTTCTGCACGAGCGCCGCCTCATTCTCATTATTGCCAGCAAAAATAGCAATACTTGCGTGGTGGGACAGACGCTTGGCATTCTGTCGCACCTCTTCGCTCACTGAGGCAAGAAATTCGGGTGTTGTTGGGTACATGGCGCAGGCGAACATCATATCCTGCCAAATAAGTATGCCCAGACTGTCGGCCATATCGTAGAAATAGTCCGATTCATAAATACCTCCACCCCAAACACGTATCATATTCATGTGAGCTTCCTTGGCTGATTCCAGCAAATAAGCAACTGAAAGGATGTAAGCGTTATTCATATATTTATTCCTGAGCATATAGAAAATGGATAAATAAAATAAATAAGATTTATTCCAAACTATATATAAAATTTGGAAGTAAGAATATCCATTCTACTCAAACGCTTTTATTTTGACCAAAGCTTTATTGCAATCTCTCTATGGTATTGCTATTACCTATTGGTTACTTTCTGTCCCCAATATCGATAAGTATAGATTTTCAGATAATATGACAAATGTCAGAGAACATACAGTATGCAGGGCAAAAATAACCATATCGACAGAATAATTTTTACAACAGCCGCAGATGCTTGGCTAATGGGTATCTGCTTGTCATGCTCTTGACATATTTACAAAAATTCTAAGTAAATATTTTTATAACAGAAATGCAATTCAGTTTCAGTATCAGTATCAGTAACATCAGTTAATTCAATTCAATTCAAAATAATGGGGTAAACCCAATCTTACATATTACTTGTTTAAATTAATTAAAATGGGCTTTTCCATGTGGTAATCAATTTATAATTAGTTCGTATTTTCAATTGTAATTGGTTCGTCTATAACATATTTGAATTGATATACTTACTTCTTTCTGGAGTTTGTTGCTCTGGCAATATATGGGATGGTATGTAGTTGCTGCCCTTCATGAACATCTCCAGGCCGTTGACACGAAAGAGAAAAGTGTTTCCTCGACCATCCGGCGCTGGACGCTCAATTAGCTCCAATGTACGAAAGCCAACGCGCAGCGACTTATGTGACTCGGTCTTGGCACGCGGCTCTAGTCCAGATGCGCTCAGGTAGGCGTTCAGTGTAAAGTGCAGCGGATAGAGCTTCTGTTCACCATAGCCGTTGGGCCACCAGACAACGACATCCTCCTGCACAAACAACAAATGCACTTGACACAGTTGCCAATGAGCTGAATTGACGGCCAAACAATTAGCAGGCGGTACTCACAATTGGCACAGCCTGATCAAAGACAATTACGGGTGCCAAGTAGCTGATCGGCTTAGTGGTGTATGTGTCTATGATCACCGTCCGGTTCAGTAGCTCGCTGCAAGCGTTCAACCGTTTCATGTTTAGCAGATCGCCAGCTTTATAAAGTGATTGAGGGAAATTTTCAAGGTCTACTTACACGGCATAGAAGACTATCTGAGCATAAAAGTTATCTTTCACGTTGGTGTCCATATAGCAGCTAATGTGCATGTTCCAGTGCGTTGCGTTGCGACTGATGTCCACGTCGACGTCACGTAGCAGCGCCACTTCATACATCTCTAGCTGCACACTCTTCCACAGACCCATTGAAGGCACCGCCGGCCCCCAGTCCCATGCAAAGCTGGCCTGCATCTTGCGCAGCATATTCACGTGGCATTCACCATGATAGCGTTCTGGTGGACATGCTGGCGGCACACTGAGCTTTTCAGAGTCCAGGGCCCGCGCCTTGGCTAGAGCTGCCCACACTGGCGATTTGATTTCCACCTCCAGTACATTGTCCCTCTCCAGAAGTTTGGTCACATCATACGAGTAGCGCACAAACATATTGTCCGTGCGTCCCAAGAGTCGGCGATTCAGTCGAATCTCGGCTACTGTGTCGATTCCATGGAAGGTCAGATTAAAGCAGCGCACACGCTTATAGTGCTCCACATCAACTGAACATGTTTGAGTTTAAGTGATTATAATACATCTGCAGTGGATGCTCATGCTGCACTCACACTTAAATTCATTTATATATGTCCAATTGTCGTAGGCCAGCCAACGAAGATTCACATCGTTGTACGCATCCAGCACATTGGGCGATCCGGGATAAAAGGCACTGTATATGCCTGAGGGGAGTGTCTGATTTTTGAATAGGGTAAGAGCTGCAACAGAAATTCACACACTTTAAACAATACTCAAAGAATGTCTTTCATCTATTTGATGCAAGTAATAAACTAAACACACACAAAAAAGTCTCGATAAGCAACAATCACTCAATGCTGATTGTGTGGTCATTCATGGAGTGTGCTGTTGTTGTTTTAATTTCGGTTAATTCGATTAATAGAATTATGACTGACAGCTGCTTAAAATTTGACTACTACTTACACGCGTTTTGATTAGATATACTCCAATTAGTGCTCAGCTCGATAACTTCGACGGCGTCGCCTTTGACCCGCGTCCCCATCAACAGGTAGAGCAACAGTCCAAGCCTAAATAATTGACGGTCATAAAGCTGACTAGATAGCCAACACCTCATTTTTGTATTTGCACAGCAGCGGGTACAAAGTTATTTCAGAATTTGGCAAACTTCTTTAAGTTTCCGGAGGCTGTTTCGTTGCTAAAAAAGCAACAACCTAAATTACTTATTGTATTTATATACAGTTTTTTGTTTAAACTTTGATTTCTTTACGCTGCTTCCCGAAGTGCAAATATGTGTACGTCTGTCACCGGGAAAGGCTACTAATAGACTGCTGAGTACTGACAGCAGTCGGCCGATACTTGACGATCGCCGATCGTCAGCTTCTAGAGAGAGTAGCACCACTGAGAGCCAGAGAGAAAGAGGGAGTGGGAGAGAGGGAGAGAAATATTATTTGTGTTGATAACACAAGCTAACAAAATTGTAGCTTCATAATGCCACACGAATGTTTTCTTTCATTTATTTTTATTTTTGGTTTGATTGTATTTATATTAGATATATATAAAATATTTATTAATATAAAGACACAATTATTATATCATATCATACACATATACATAAACGTACATATACGTATATCTCAACCTGACCATAAAAACGTTAACGTTGCACAGTAAAAGTTAAAATATATAACTCAGTTTAAGCAGAGACAAATTTGCTTACTACAAAAAAAAAAAAAAACACTTTCCTTAGTAGCTATTATTTTTAGCGTGTCAATCTTAAATTTAAATATAACAATAGAAAAATATTTAACGATTGGAAAAGTCCATTTAATAGTCAAAGAAAGAGTTGCGAATGCTCAACCAGGAGATATCCAGCACAGTGAGAGGACAAAACTAACTCTATCTAATTTTATTAGTATTTAAGTTAAATTTATTTATATATGATTTATGAACTTCAACATTAAAGCCTAAATTCCCATTTCAATGTATAATTGGATTAAATAATAATTGCAATATTAGATAACCTATATCTTGGTTTGTTGTGTCCCAAAATACAATCGCTACACATTTTATATTCAGAATCATCGCTATCTATAGATTGGGATTTGAGCACAAAGATTGAGAAGCTTCTTGGGGTAAATTTAGGCATTGCATTTTGGATCAAATTCATGAATAAGAGTTCAAAATCATTTTCTAATATTGCCTGAGTAATATGTTTATTTTAAAGTGTATTATTTAAATATATATTTTAGGCAATATAATACTCAAAGCATATATTGATTCATAGTCTTTACACTGATGTGCTCAGAATTGAGTGTTATGCAAGACAAATCATTTTTTATCTCCAGGTAGATATTTTGCAGCGGCACCGTCTGCGTAAACCCATTCATGGAGAAAGTGTGCATTTGATTTGCATATTCAGGATCAGTCAGCTCCAAGTAAACGAACAGCGCTGGGTATTTAATCGTAATACGCAAAGTAAACTTGTTTGTGTAGTGCGAGTTCGTGTTGCTGCATTCAACATCGATAACATCGATCTATTTAAAAAAGATACTTAAAAGAGAATCCAACACTTATGTCTAAATACTTACATTCAGTTTCGGATCTTTTATGCCAATAATATCCTTAATGGGTACCGGGTAGAAAAAGTTCTTTGCCACTACCCGATCCTCCTCATCCTTTAATAGAATTTCCAAGAAAATTTCCTCCTTGGAATGGTGTTCGTATAGTACAGACTCCAGAGGTATGACCAGCTGATCTATCGAACTTGAGCGCTGCATAAAAGCCAAAGTTAATTTCATAATCATCGATGGGTATAACTGTACTTATGACTCCTACCAGACCAATGGCTCGAGCGATGGCCTTTTTGGAAAATATATCCTTCCAGAGAAATGTATTAATGAAAATATTATACAGTTTCACATCGGGACTTTCCATGTAGTCTTCACGCGTAATAGTTATATTCAGCTGATCTCGTTCATCGTTATATAGTGCAATGATATTGGTGGCCGCCAGGAAATCTTTGGCCCAGTAGTAGACCATCTTGTAGTTGCCAAAGAAATCAATGCATGACCAGGTGGGCGCCAACCAAACATCGTTCAATTGCCAGATAAGAGCTCCCATTGTCTGATAATCGCCACGCCTGCTCCGAAACACATCTATTGCCAACTTGGTGGTAAGGGCCTGTGACACCTGACTAAAGTAGATAAATTCGTCGATGTTGTCCTCCCAGTTTTGCAGTGTAAATGGAAGCTGGTAAGCTATTTGCTGCAATAGCGGTATAAAGCCTTTGGGATCATGCTGACGCTGGCGTATTAAAGCCGCCAGGCTTGCATCACTCTTATCCTCGCCAAGGACGCGTTGCCAGGATGAGCGCATCGGCAGACTCGCATAACCGAATTCAGTGACGAAGCGAGCCTGTGGATAAATATTCTGCGCGAGCGCATCTCTTTCATCCTCATAGATATGAACTGAATTCATAAAATGAATTTTGATATTTAATTGAATTTAGCATAAAATCGGTGATATTTACCATCGCCATAGTCTGGACTCTGCGGATCCTTGGCTAGTTCTTTGCCAGGCTCTATTATGCCCAGCGAAGGCGTGGAAATCATGGGACCTGGTCGCGGATTAAAATCGTTCCGGGAGATAATGTCTAGTTCAGCACACAAATTTCCCACGAAGAGCAGCTTGTATTCGTCCTCCAGTCGCTTCGCTTCCGCGCCAAAGTCCGATCGATTTTTCACCAAATATAATTCGATCTCATTGTTGGTCACAATCAGGGCTAGGCTAGCATGGTAGGCGAGTCGTTGGGCGTTTTGCACTGTCTCTTGACGCATAGAAGCCATGAGTTCACCATCGATGGGATAGGTTGCCTTTGTAAAGGTCATGTCCTGCCATACCAATAGCCCATAGGTATCAGCCAGGCTGTAGAAGCTGTCCGACTCATAGAGGCCACCGCCCCAGACTCGAATCATATTCATATTTGCATCATGGGCCGAATTCAAAAGGTGTTTCACTGTTAATATACAGATTTATTAGAGAATACCATTTATTTAGATGGATGTCAATCTCTTACATGTTTCCGTTTCGGCCGATAACTCAGGTAACGTCTGCGCCGGCACATAGTTCACACCCTTCATAAAGATGGGATGACCGTTAACGCGGAAATAAAAGGTTCGTCCCCTTGCTGAAATAACACAAATGTATTTAGTAACATATTGAAATGCCATGCCTTCACTTATTTCCCCACCATCTTTATCCTCCACCAACTCGATGGTACGAAATCCAATATGCAGCAGCTTTTGCGAATCAGTTCGTGAGCTTAGCCTGGGCTCCCCACTGCTGCGATAGGTTTTTATGCTGAACATTACTGGATAGAGCTGCTGTGTGCCATAGCCATTCGGCCACCAGAGCTTGACTTTCTCCTAACCATTATTAGTGATAAAATAAGGCATGTCTAGGGCAAATAGTACGTACTTTTGGTATATGAATCTGAAACTCCAGAGTGGGTGAAGCATAGCTTAGCTGCTTCTCTTCTATGATAAATGGTTCATCCAATAGCTGGCTAGAGATACGTATAACAAATATATTATATATATATATATATATATGACTGCGAGAAAAATTCTTCAAATTAAGTTAAATTGATCTTCAAATTTCTAGCTGTTATACATGTAGCCAGGTCCAGGTCGGTATAGGTAATATATTCACTTAATCTATGCTTACCTGGCATACACGAAAAGTTGCACATAGAATTTTTCGGAATCAGGCGTATTTAGAATAGCACGACAGTCCATTATCCAGTGGGTATCGGTGCGTTTGATGGCCACATCCACATCTCGTAATATTGCGACTGTATAGTACTCAATGGTAACCGGTTTCCAGATGCCGGATGACAGGGCTGCAGGATTCCACGCGCCACCAAAACTCATTTGCATCTTGCGCAACATGTTACGATGGCATTCAACATCACCACGAGATTCCGGACAGCTGGGTGGAGCACTATTGCCCTTTTGCTCCAGTTCCTGGACACGTGCATTTGCCTCCACCAGCGGAGAGAGTATCTCGATCTCTAGATTATTTTGATTGGGACTAAAGTTCAGTAAATGACCCACGGAATAGGAGTAACGGATGAACATGTTGTCTGTTTCGCCCAGAAGCTCGCCATTTAACCAGATCTTGGCCACTGTATCAATGCCATGGAATGTCAGATTGACCAAACTGTCTTGACCTAATTCATTGGCTAAAGAATTCTTTATGTAGAGAAAATTGGGAATATAAAAAATTTGAAAAGATGTGCAAACCCGTTTCAAATTTTCTGCTGTAGATCCAAGTCTTGTTCGCAATCCAACGAAGCTTAACATCGTTGTCCGGTGCAAGCAGATCTCCGTATTTATCCTTAACAGCTGTATAAACGCCGGAAGGTATTTTTGCCACACTGAATTGCATCGCTGAAAATACAATAAAAATATGTTATTAAACATTCCCAAATCACTGAAGTTGCATTTCATAAATTTTACAACCAATTAATAGCCACAAGCGTTGATAGCTACAAATCGAAGTCGACGTCAGATACTTTATCTTATCGCAGATATACAACCGTTTGTGTATTTCTGGGGAGGCCGGGGACTATGCGAAATTCAATATTTGACACTGAATCAAATCAATTTGGTATTACTCAGCGCAGTCATGCAGTCGAGAAATAACACTGATTAAGGTAAATTTATAAATACTTACTGGAGTCTCCGTCCCTCAAGGTCCAGCCCTTGGTTAACTCATCGACTTGCACATTCTTCGCCTCTAATGGTATAAGTACGAGTGTAGAAAGACATAAAAAGTTTATTATTTTTAACATGATTTCTTTGTTTTCAATCAGTGTCGCAGTCAGTTAATTGACATCTTTTAGAAAGCTCTTTGTTATTGTTTGAATCTTATCACTGATGTAGACGTTTCTTGTATTAATTTTCCACGATTTTTAGAACACAATGTATCGAGTCGGAATCACGTTAATAACTGAACAATTGGCAAAGTCTACAAAACTTTGGGACCCACTTATGGCTAGGCTTATCAGACTGATTGGCTGTGGTGAGATTGCCTCAGCACAGCATATACGTAGCGTAGCACAATCATCTAACCATAGTGTAAGCTATGGGCATCTGGTGAAGTTGAGTTGGATAACATATACATAAATTCTCTTTTGATAACTGAAAGTATCATAAGTTAGTAGAAGCGAACTGAGACTGAGACCAAGAAATTAATTAAAGCTAGTTAAAGGTAAGCAGTCACATCCCCTGTAAGACTTAAGGATTAGGAATATTTGAAATACTTTGCTTTGCTTTAGTCCGTTTGATATATGCACATACAAATATATCTTAAAACTTCATATACTTTTCTTGAATATGTTTTTTATTTGTCATTTTCATAGTTTGAAAACATTAAGTACACAATTTTCGCAAGTTTTCCATACATTTTACGTTTAATCACATTTAGAAAATATACAGCATTATTTCTAAGCTAAGATAGAAATTTTTCAATTTTATTATAATATAAAAAAGTTCAACTAATATTTTCGCGAAATTATTTTAGTTAAGTATTTCGATCTTTTGGTTTAAGTATGTTAAGTTCATAGCGATTGACTGCCTGATGCGCATGGAATTTGAGGATCAAGCCAAGCAACTTAAATATATTCTAACAGTTAATATTAGTATTTCCTTATTGTTAGTCCCAGATTCTCTCTTCAATTGGCATAGCTAACTAAATCTATATAATTACACCCGAATACATACACAAGCACACACACGCCCACACACACACTGCTATCTAGATCGCATCTATAGATGCCACTTTGAGTGAATGAATGCCAACAGGATCATCAGAACCACCGTCAGTGCCAGCAACGGAAGATGGGCATGGTTGTGGCTGTGGCAGCCACCGCCCATTGCTGCCAAGTACTCATCCTCGGTCAAGTACTCTCGTATATGTCGCGTCTTGTTCATCATCCAGTAGAAGGCCTTCATGTTGCCAAGTCTTTTAAGTTCGCCGCCAATATATTTGCGTATTTTGGCATTGTATCTATTAAGCATACGCTTCTCGTCCGAGCTCAACATGGAGCCATCGATAAGCTTCGGCTCGTAGGGCACCAGGGTGACAGATTGGAATGCTAAAAAGTGTTCGGCGCTGGTCGTCGTTTTGCCCGTGTCCAACACCTCTAGAACATTCTTGATGCGGACGCCATAATCATCGCGCTTATAGTAGCCAGACTCTAAATGAATAAATGATATTTTATGAAGACCTCCAAGTCTACTGCATGCCTGCTACTTACCACTGGAGAAAAAGTAGCCTTGCTTGAAATGGAAACTGCTATTCTGTCCGTAGGCCACGGAGATAGGAGCTATAGAAGCCGAATATATGAAATAGTCAAATTAGAGACAAAAAGTGGACGAACTTCACACTTACGCTCTTCGACTGAACCGTAGGCCCCAATTCCATGACCAGTTGCCTGTGGATAGTCGGTCATCTCATGCCACACCTTGGCGCGCACAACGCTGTCTAGACCGGATGGCTTCACCGACGCGGGAAATATTAGATCTGATATGTGAAGAATACCCGCCAGCACAGCCGTATAAGCTCTCTTCATATCGCGCGTAGGCTCGCCGAAAATAAAGGTCCTTGACACATCCGTTGTGCCCTCCAAGTACTGAACACCGGATTCGATGACCAGCAGACTCTGATCGGAGACTTCAATGTCTGTCAGGTTGTTGGATATATAGTAGGGCAGGGCTGAATGCTCGCCGTAAGCGATCACGGTGCGCAACGAAAGGCCCTTGGCATGCGTCTGCGAGAGCAACCACAGTTCAACTTCGTACTTAATCTTCTCCTCAGTCCACTGTTCCATATCAAATCGGGCTTCTAAGTTACTCATTGCCTCGCAAATAGCAGCGCCATCGCGGATATGTGCCATGCGCATGCCTTCCTGTTCCTCAGAGTTCTTCTGCGCACGCATAAAAATTATTGGCGAAATATGCTCCACCACAATGTTAGCTGGCACAGCCGAGTAGATGGCCTCCGATGCACCCGGCTCTTGAACACAAGGTGCTGGCACAAGAACACGCTTCCAGATTTGTACATAAGTTCGTATATCGCTCCATATTTGTTTGTACTCCTTAATCCTGCAGAGAAGAAGGACAGCTTTAGTTTAAAACGTATTCTGCCTAGCGTACTTAAAGGCCTTTATTGATTTTTCATTATGTAACCTACCTGACACAGTTGTCGTTGTAGCAATCGGTGCGCAGATGCAGATCAATGCCAAGACTGATCTTTCCATGATCAACATAGAAGAAAATATCCTTCTGGCTGATAATAGCAAATGACTAAAGAGAAACAAATGTTAGGTACTCCTGGGTAGATGATATCTAGTTGTCAAGGCATACCTTCACTACAGGTGTAAAGGGAATATCTGTGCCCCGAATGTTAAATAAATACGCGATTTCCGTCAGCGAGGTAACGATCATAGCATCGCAGTTCAGATGGGCCAGACGTCGACGCAGCTCGTTCACTTTATCCTCCCACTTCTCGCCAGCAAAGTCACGTGCCTGCACTTGAATCACATGATGCTTGGGTGTCTCTGGACGCTCGGAGTCCCAAATCATATCCACCAGATTGCTATTGATTTTGATCAGCTTCAAAAACTTGTCAGCCAGCTCTCGTTCCCAACTCATCCATAGATGATGCGGCACCAGCTGTGGATCGGCGCCAATGCGTTTATTCATGCGCAACTGGCTGCTTAGCCAGTTGGCAATGCTGACATTGCCGCTAGCTAGATAAATCTGCCAATCGCAGTCCAGCTCCCCGTCAGCCTGCTGTACAAACCGATTTTCTAGCCAAATGGCGGCGCCACCCTGCGTAACGGCGGCAACGGCTCGATTGCCCGTATACCCGCTGAGATAATGCAGACGCTGATCACGGGTCGCCACCTCCTGATTCAGATGCTCATCTGTGGAGGGCAATATATAGCCATAGATCTCTGGCCCTTCAAGCGTGGCGCGTATCAACATTTGCTCCCGCATAGCCAGCAAACGACTCCGATACACATTGGTGGGCTGCATCTGCAAATAAAAGGTGAAGCTCGTTAATATTGACAGACATATGATCTAGCTATCGGTTCATACACACCGGCCTGCCCTTGCGATGTTCACAAATCTCACGCCGATAGCCGACGGGTGCCTCTGCAGTAGCGGCGCACAAAACTATCAAAAAAGCAATAAAAACATTGTTAAATACGTTAAAGGAATGTAAATAAATACCGTTAAAATTATTGCCATTTGTTTGAAATATGTTTGCATATCTCTTAAGTGCCCCACTAGACCAACTGTAAATGCCTAAGAATAGCAACAAGTGCGTCACAATATTTTATTTATATATATTTTTTTACGATCCAAACAAATTTCCCACGCTCGCTAAAAATTCGCATGGCCGAGTCGGCGTATGTTTATTTTTGGACGAGAGTGAAATGTCGAGGACTGCGTAATGGTTTTAATACAGCGTTAAATATACATATACTTAAATTAATTGCAATTTCAATTTCGCTTTCAACACAACATATATGCGCTTCGTCCAGTTGAGTCACCTAGCGGCCACGCTGCGTATGCGTAATATGAAGTGCTCGCCGTGTGGGCCCCAACAATTGCCCAGCGAGACTTCCGCTGTGACAAGTGAATGACGGCCATTCCATTGCCAAAATATTGTCCAAACGCTGACGTGCGATTTGTCAAAGCAACTGAACAGTTCTTCATGAATTGTGCCTAGTCCATATCATACTTATATGTATGTAGCGCATGTATAATGGATTGATTTATGGTCCCTCCCACAGACAGACTGGACCTCAATTTCTATTATTAAACTTTTGTTCGTGAGGTCTAGGAACTTGGTGATTATGTTTTCACTATGCCTGAACGTGTTAGCTTGTTATTTCTAGCTGAGTTCAATTGGCGAGTCAAACGTCTCTTAATCGTCGTTCTATTAAAATATTAGCAATTGTTTGAAATTTCTCAAATAAATAAATGCATCTTATATAATAAATGAACATTTTTTATGTTTCTAAAGAAACACCAAAGAAAGTGTATTTATGTTTCATCGTGATTTCACAATTTTAGGACTTTTTACATTTTGTTTAAGTGGAAATATTTGAATTTAATTTTCTTGTTAATAGTCGCATATTCATATGTACCGAATTAGTTTTTGCGATTGAAGAGAATTATGTGGAATATATATATGATGTATATATGAACTCAGTTATGTTCATGGGTTGGATTCGTTTTGGATGTTTAAATTTAGAAATTATGCCTCAATTGACGAACCATCTGTAGTTCTAAAATCATGAAATTTTTCTTTTGCACGTCGAAGGTCGCCGCTGGCATTACGAATTTTCAAGTTTAAATAGTCATAGTCAGAGCCATGTGCAAAACGAAAAAACATAAAATAATGTAAAGACCATAAAATAGTACAAGTACTTACCCAGCAAGATGCTCAGTGCCAAGCGGCAGATCCGAATCCAAATCCAATTCCATTTGGCTGTCGTCATTGTTGTTTGTATTTGCACTTAAGATTCTCCAAAGCATAAAACTTGTGCTCCGACGCTCGAGAATTGTTTGTTTTTGGCCAGCAAAAATTAATAGTGTTCTTTCGCTTTTTTTTTGGTGTAAACAAATCAAATGGTTGCAATTAATGAGCATGAACTATGGTCTAAGGAAATGGAATGCAGTGGAAGCTTGCCATCTTTAATGGCCATTTGTCAGTGCGCTGCACTTTTCCGGTTAATGACCGGAAAGTGTATGTGTGTGTGTGCCTGTGTATGCTCTCTTTTCACTTTCATTTAATTACTTGGCTTTTTCTCCTCGTTCTAGTTTCTTCGTTTAAGTTGTGGTGGGCGTGGCGCACTACACTACAATGTCACTTATTGCTAGCCATCTGGGTGTTGGCTCTGGCGCTTTCTACTAATTGATATGCGAGTCGTTGGACATTGCAACTTCTAACAATTCCCTCAACGGCGGCTATAACTCATTCAGCTATGCATATGAGTAGTCGAACGTGTATTATACATATATGCAAAAATAACTATGATATCAGACCATTTTTGTATTTATAACTTCCGTTCTTTTTCGATATGTTGGAATGCCTTCTCTTCGGTGTGTGGTGCGTATCATTTTACATTTTTGGAAAACCGAAAATTTGGCTACTAGTTGTGTTTCTTTTTGGTTTTTTCTTTTCTGTTTAGTTCTAGTTTTGGTAGTTTTGACGAAACTTTTAATTGTTTTTCCAAATTGATCATGCGTAAAGACAAAAATAAAAATAACTTGCTACTCATGCTGGAAATGAATCAAGCTCTATGTCTCTATGTTTACATATGTTATATTTTTGCTTTTAATTCATTCATTTGGAACTGAAATAGGCAAGTTCCATGTGCCATATAAAGCAGCTCAAAGGGTAGCGCAACGATCGGCTGCCGATCGGCCTGCCAATCAGAAACGGCAAGCAAGTTGATTGATAGTGATTGATGGCGATTAATGACTATTGATGCTCATCAAATTCAATTCAAATACTGCGTGCTATGCATTTCAAACTGAACAAATCGACAATCAAATTATTTTGTATTTAATTTTTGCAATATTTGACAATTTGATAAGCTCAATCGTAGAATGGATCAGATAATTCCATGCGTGTTTTGCATTTCAAATTAGTTTGAATTGATTGCCTGGGCGTTGTAACATAGTCATATTTTTGCCATTATTGTGGTTGCCCTTGTTGTTACACAATTGGCACGCCTCACAGCAAATGCTGCCCACAAACGACAACAATTCCAGCAATTGCATTGAAGGCAAAATGCCATAGTGAAAATAGCTATTAATTATAAATAAAAAAAATTGTGGGCGCTCACTTCATAAGTACTTAAATGTGAAAGCCCCAACATTTGTTTTTGTCTCATCGCCCCCGCCTAACAATTATGTGCTTGACTTTGGCAGCCAAGCCAAGACGAAAAGCAAGAGCTAAATACATTTATACGATATGTATATGATTTTATATAACTCTTATATGTAAGCATATCCTCGAGCACATGCTAAACAGTTGCCAGCTTAACAATAATATACACAATTGCCTTGATAAATGCTCTCATATTGCATCTCATACTGCCAACTGCAAACTGCCAACCGCCAACTAGGAACTAGGAACTGAGAGCTGGCTAGTTGCCTGCCCTTTAAAGTCCACTGTGGTTAGTTGTTAAGAAAAATATACATTACAAATAAAACATAGCAAGTAAAACAAAACAAAAACAAGAATTACAACTTGCAATTGGTAAGCCAAAGATCAAATACTCTTTCCCACAGCATTGGATTAGCTCTTGCTAGTCTGCATATATTAATAATTTTTTTAATTGCTCGTATGAAAGATTGAACTTTATTATAAAACAATTTTCTATGCTGTAGTAAATTATGATACTATATTTATATATATGAAGAGAACAGTAATTGCGCTAACATTACATTGTTATAATCCAAACCAGATCTATGTACTCGGCTAGGACAACTCGGTAGTTTGTTGATAACGAATCTGGACATATTTAAAAACATAATCATATTACTCCACTAAAATAACAAGAGCAATACACCTGCACTACAAATAGGCCAAACCAAAAACAAGGCAGACAATTTATGACGCTCTCTGTTTATGTAGAACAGGGGAACAGTATTAAAGAGGCTGCATGTTCTGTTTATTTTATGCTTTGTTTTGTTTAGTTGTTGATCCACTGCATTTCGTTTCAATTTCAATTTCAATTTCATTGCAATGCCACGACCGCGACCAACAACCAAGAACACACTCACAGGTGACTCACGCACATAAAGCTAAGAAAACATTGTGCCAAAAACAAAATAAAGTATATATAGGATCTATGTATATACAACATAAACATATATTTACTTATTTAATTTTACAAATTCTTTTATGAATTCAGATTTGTATACAATCCAGAGTGTTTGCAGTTTTTGTTTGGATAAAAGGTATACATAAATAAATAAATGGATTTGAATCCAACTTTCAGCAACATTAGATAATGTAAAACTGAATTAGTTTATTAGCCTGAATGTTTGATAGGCTTAAATATGAGATTAAGTTTATACCAATTTTATATTGAAACACTAATCAAATTAATTTTTTCATACCAAATTGAAAAGAATTAACAAATAATATTAATACTGTCAAAGTAACTTCTAAAGATCACAATTACGACTGGGATCATCACTTAAAGTATCTTGTCATATTTAATTTAACTTCATCAACTATATTCCATTTTCTTTATAGCTTTTAGATTTTTTTACAGATTTCATTTGCTCTTTATATTTTTTGTAAGAAATTTAATTTTGCTTCTTTAATACTTCAACTTTTTCAATTTATATAAAATTTGGTAACCCTTGGTGAAATTTTAAATTTCTATTTAGGCTTAGGCACAATCACACTGTACATTTTATATGCTAAATTGTAATGTGGGAGAGTACGTATACGACGCGTATGCCACCAACTTTGCACAGCTGTTTAAAATAGCAACCGCATTTCAGAATTTATATGTACAAATGTAATATTCTACCTTTTGTAGATTTTACTGAATATGCTCGCCCGACTCGCTAGAAGAATGAGCAGACAGAAAGCGAGAGAAAGAGATAGGGAGAGCGAAAAGCCAAATGCGAACCGCACGCGTGCAGAGCAACAAGCAAACTGAACAACATGTTTCATGTTTGCTATTTTCTGTGCTTTCAAATGTGAAAGATGAAAAAACGCTCACACAAGCGCACGCATACACTACTCACACATACACGCACACACACACACGCTCATGCATGCATGCATACCACTATTTAATTCGTTTCAAATAGAATTTATTTTGAACGCACGCAACAGTGGGAGAGAGATATAGCAAAAGCAACAGCAACAACAACGAGTCTAGCGAGAGGCGCGTGAGCGTGAGCTTTGGCTAGCGGCAGACGCGCATTAGACGAGCAAATGACAATGCCGCTGGCGTCGACGCCGCCGCCTGGATATGGGTTAAAAAGCAAATTGTAAAAAAAACACGTCTCTTCTTGGCTGCAGTACAGTGGTTGCATTTCTTCCCTTTTGTTTGTGTAACTTAATCTTGACTATTATTGTATGTGCTTATAACTTTTTTATGTGGCTTACATTTCGCCTTTGACAGACAATCCACATTGGCGTATCGTCTGTCTGTTGGGCTACAAACTATTTTCAACAATTTTGCAATTGCCAGCGTCAGAATTAAAGTTGTGAAAATTATGCTGTCAATTGACATTTTATTGCTTTTAAATTGACAATGATCGAGGAAATTGTAGAGAAATCGAAAGTTTTTTAGGTTTTTGCAATTAAATAATTCATCAACCACTGTGCAGGCGATTGCATAAGTTCATATAAACAAATATTTACCACAAAAACACTTTGCCATCAGAAGACTCTTAATCTCAAAATGAATTTGTTTATTTCACTTCAGTCACGATCCCGACGCCGACGCTGATGCGAGCGCCTCTTTGTTTCGCCTATTATGCTCATTAAGCTCATCGGATAACTACAACACAGAAGACTCAATCAAAAAACATTGTAAGTGATCCCTTCCCCTCCAGTCATCGGCTCCCTCTCGTTGCTGTCAATATTTATGGTGCATGGAAATGTTCCATACGTTCCTTATGAATAGAATAGCAATTGTTGTTGCCCTCGAGCTTTCTCTCTCTCTTTTTTGATTCTCTATAGAATCGTTGAATAGATCGTGCTCTCATTTGTTAGTTAATTAAAACACGCCTTTGATGCACCGCTGTGGCAAAGCTTTTAATCCAATGCAATTAGTTGCTGTAGTGCGTTGGCGGATTTTTGAATGTGGCGAACTTCTCAATCGTTTCTGGTTGACCTCTGTAAGTTTTTATTGGGGCAGACGTTGATTTTCCTTTTGTGGCATAATTGAATTGTTTATTAAAGCTGTTGACCAATTTAAAGTATTGGGCAAAGTACACTATTGAAATCGGAATTGTTATTATAAATATAAAGATATGAATATATATAGAAATATCTTTTTGAAATACTATATTTTATTAAATTACACATAATCTATATTTCATTACATATATTCCTATTTCTTCCATCTCAGGATCCTTACAAAATAGTTGAGTACTTATGTATGTGTGACATGACTCATAAAAATATAGTCTATTATTGATTTATATTGGATTTTGTAAATTTAACAAAGAAAATATTCTTTAACTTTTCTTTTTACACAAATCAAGTAGCTAATTGTCAGACGTGTCATTTAAAAACCAAAAGTGCTGCATACTTTCAGGCTGCGCGTTAAAATTTTGCTGGCCCTCCATCTACATTCATTTTGATAAGCAAAAGATTTTATAATTTTCAAGCATATTTATATAAAATGCATGTTCAAAACGAATTTAAAGAAGTTTAACTGTGAGTTTTCATAAATCGAAAATATTTATTCTGACTTTTTATCAGAGTCGCAATAAAAGTGTTCTTAAGTCTAGATCAAAGTGCTAAAGATAAATAATTTTGTATTGTCTTGAATAGATAAAAGCTTATTGAATAGTTTGAAATTATAATTAAACAATATGGCAATTTATTTATTTTTTTCTTTTCTTTTTGTTTTCGTTTTGTTTCATGCGTTTGTCGCCAAATGTTGCAACGAGTTGAAGGAGCTGGCTCAAATTTGGGGTGCTGCTCAATTTAATAAAAAAAAAGCTAAATTTCAAATTTGAAAATATTTACAATGCACCACAAGCAGTCTGTGTTGGAGACTTAGAGGCATTCATCAGTTTCCTCATTGCCCATGGCAATTATTACTGGTGGAGATAGCTCTACATCGAGTAGCTTCATCTGTGCATCCTCCTGGTCCAGATCATCCTTGCCTAAACGCTGCTCTTGCATTTCAATGTCCAGTGTGCCATGTTGACGTTGGAACGACAACACAAATATTACCAACGAGATGACAATGAATAAGACGGCGGTGCCAGAACAAAGGGCAATGATTAAAGTGGAGCGGTTTGTGGATGCCAGTGAGAGATGAGCGCTGCGCTCATCAGCCAAATTGCTGTCAAATGTTTGACCTGCATTGTGCGGTGGATAAGAGACGAGGGGCGTTGCAGTACTATCTTCTGCTTTGGCCTTGGGCTCTTCTTCCGACAGCTCGTCAGATTCCTCGGATGAATCTTTTTCAACTGGCTCGACAGCGACTCGCTCTGTTCCCGATTTATTTTGATCGGCATTGCTCTCATCTCTGCTCTCATCTTCGATAGATTCATCAATTGTTTCAGCTTTAGGCTCTACTGGAGAAGCTGTTGAGCTGGGTTCACTTGGTTGCACGGAATTTGTTGAGCTGGGCTCAACAGGTTGCACAAGCTCTGGTTTTACATCAGTTGCATCCGGTTGATCTTTGTTAGATTCCTTGGGTTCGACCGAATCTTCAACTGATTCCTCAGCTGGTTCTTCAACCGATTCTTCAACTGATTCCTGAACTGATTCTTCGACTGATTTCTCAACTGCTGCCTCCGTTGACAATACATGATCGGGTTCAACAGTGCTTGAAGCTGCAGGCTGTACGATCGATCCTTTTTCTTCACTTTCAATTTCCTTCTGATCAACTGATTGAACTGGTTCAACTGCCTGAACTGGTTCAACTGGCTGAACTGGTTCAACTGGCTGAACTGGTTCAACTGGCTGAACTGGCTCAACAGACTGAGCTGCTTCAACTGACTGAACTGGTTGAACTGATTGAACAGATTGCACTGGTTGAACTGACTGAACAGATTGAACTAGTTCAACGGACTGAACTGCTTCAACTGGTTGAGCTGATGTTTCAGAAGTACTATCCACAACATTCTCCAGATTGTGCTGATCTTTATCTTCTGACTGTACTGCCTGTGGCTCCTCTTGGTCTTCTGAATTCACCTTGGGAACCTCGATGGGCAGCAAGTCTTCAACACCTTGTTTTTTGGTCACCTGATGCTTGGGCACTTCAATGTTGGACTGCGGTGTGGTCACCACCTTGTGGAGTAATTCGTGTTCCTTTTCGAAGGCTAACAAATTGGTTTTCGTTATGGGCTGTTCGGTAATCGCACGATTCTCATCAAATATGACGGCCACCAAATCGCTGGTTACACTGGGCAGCGGCCTGCTCTCTGATTCCACCAAATCGCTCTCAATTTCCGTCTGTGAATCGCTTGCCTTATGAACTAGTTCAGCTTGTTTTTCTGTCAAAGCTTGCCCATTCTGTTCCTGTTCATTTTCTGTCTCAACATTTTCCTCATCCTTAGCTTGCTCAGCCTCTGAAGCTATCTCTTCCTTTGCGGGTTGCTCCACGTTTTCAGTATGCTTTACTACTTCGACCTCTTTAGGCTTATCGTTGGCATCAGCAGCTAGAGTTTTGGGCTCGCGTACACCTTGAGCTGCTTCTGAAATAAGGAACCCATTTTATATTTGTTGTGCAAAGGTTTTTTTTAGAGTAAGCTCACCTGTTTGCTCATTATTGTTGCTTGATGTTTGTGATTGAATTTCTTCATTGTTAACCTGTAATGTTTCCACCAGAACAGAGGAGTCTGCTTCGATTTCCGACTCCACTTCACTCTTCACCGCGTTTCGTATGCTCTGCTCCAGGCCTTCGTCACCAGCAGAAACCGCAGCGGCATCGGTTTCGTCGGCCTCGAGCCGAGTGCTCGACTCGTTGATAGCGGCAACAACTGTCGGATTTAGATCAACATTGGCTAAGTTCGTCAGCTGCAGTGGTGAGTTTGCCGTGGTGACTTCATCAATGTCAACAGACGGCAGGGTTGTTGACTCGGCTAAACCAAAAAGAAAATAAATAAATAAAACTTGCTAATATTTGTTGTGTGAACATGATATTTATAATTAAAACGTTATCATAATAAATTCATATTGGAATAGTTTCAAGAACTGCTTTTCACCAGCTGAACTTTCTCTTTGCTCCAATCAATTCAAGATTCAAAAATATTATAAATAATAGAAATGCACCAAATGCATTCTCATATACGTTTCATTAATAGCTGAGACGCTACAAACTTGATAAACATGCCATTTAACCAAATCGTAAACTAATATAACTGCCATCACATACGCACATCGATTGTTATTTTATGGTTCACGACAACCCAACCCAATCCATTCAGACGAATACAAATACATAAATATATATATATATACATATATATATATATATATATATATATATATATATATATATATTGTGTATACATCCACATAGCCTATAATCGCCGTCATCAGCAGCTCACATTTTCTCACACACTTCCATTCAGAAAATGTTTTGGCTGACGCTCCCCATTCCATTGCAGTCGCTATCTAGATACATATGTCCATGTCCATGTCGACGTCACGATCCACGAAGTCCAGAAAAACGCCCGCGCCTCATAATTCAAAATGCGTCCAATTGTCCGCGATGCAGTGATTAAAATTCCAAACACACATTTGACAACAACAACCACAGAAAAAATCGAGGAATCCCAAATTAGTAACACAATAAACAAACCAACGAGACCAGGCAGACCGCCCCATCCAACAGGCAGTCGCCCAAAGTAGCTGCTTTATTTATGATTCGATTGTTCTTCCCCGACGCACACATACACTAACACATGCCTCACATGGATGCAACTGCATTCGTGGAAATTGAAAATTAGTTATCTACTACCCTGCACGAGATACGCATCTACGTTGGGCTCAATGACCATTTCTCTGCCACATTCACATCCACTCAAATCCCTTTGGGAACGCCTCGTAACAAAAATAACAAGAACAACGGCAGCGACCAAGTGTCTAAATGTCTTAAAATGGGACAAACCATGCGGCACAAACAAAAACAAAGACAAAAAGAATCCAAATGAAATGGCATTTACACAAAATAAAAGAAATCGATTTTCCTCTCAGTTTTCGGTGCCTGCTGCACCGCCCGCTGATGCTGCTGCAACGACTGCGGCGGCTGCTGCAGTTGCCCAAACCGGAGCAGTGTCATCTGCCAGTTCCAGTCTAGTCTTTTATAAATGCATCTGTGTGTGTATGTGTGTTAGAAAATTATCGTTGTGAATGCATTGAAATGGCCTCACGTTGTGTGGCATGTTTTATAGGTGGGAAAACATTCGTACATACATGTGTTTCACTGTTGAAATGAAGTGTGTTAAAAGGAATACTACATGGATATGTCCTATATTCTATATAGCTCATACAAATCATTTCATTATGTATGACAATCATGGTTATTGATACAGGAAGTTATTTCCTGCTCGCACATCTTACTTTTTATTGATATGAATATTTTTAAAACTCAAATTTCTTCAGTTGTCAATTCTCTACTCTATGAATTATAAAAGCTAAATGTATAGCTGGAATTTTTCATGATTGCGCTTAAGTCGTCTTACTTTAGTCTGTCTGCTTAAAAATACATCGAAGCATAACAAATAAGGAACCAAAATTCGAATGGAAAGTTTTGGGATCTTTTTTTCAATTCCGCTAAAGCTCCGTTAGTTCTTGTCTTGATTAAAATTTTTAAGCATGGAAGCGGAAATAAGCTGCAAAAAGTTTGCAGTTTGCAAACTGCATATCAATCAAAAAGCATATCTGTAACTGCGCTTAACTTCCGGAATATGCAAGTAAGTGTATATAAATATTGAATTATATATATAGCTAAATGCATATAAATATATGTTGTCTGATAACGGCTTGGGATGCCAGAACAAATATTAAGAAATCGTATATTTAGTATAACCTTAGCTGAAGATCATGTCGCTGAGTTAACTGAGTAATAATAATAACAAAAGAACAATTTATAATTTATACGAATTCTTAGAGTAATAAGCAAATTTCAGTGACGAATATAGATAATCTAATAATATTCATATTTATATACATCTGCCTGTACATGAGTTCATAGACATCTGTCCTTTAAGAGTGCGGCTAGCAGCTAAATCGTTTTATTGCGTTTGATTCTATTGTTCAGGCTGCTGGCTGCCAGAAGCTTCTTTATACAATGGGACTGCCTTCTTTTGTATAGCGTTTTTTTTTTTATTTTTTTAGATGCCCACTAAACATTACAATAACAGCATAGAGTCTAAATGTAATGTGAAAAACTAAATATAGTATTCAACATAAAATTAATCTTTTCTACGAATTTGGTTTCTGCTCATGAGAGTGCATGAGTGCTTATGTGCTGACCCTTACACACATGGAGTTAATCAAACTCAATTATCTGAACGGCTCCGCTTATCTGCGTTTTATCGGACAACTTGAACCCGCGTCAATCGTCTCAATAGCCATGTTACTAAACATTATTGAACTTTCGCACGGTGCTTGGGCTTAGGGATTGGATTCGATTGGATTGGGTTGGATTGTGGTTACCAAGGGGGCATCTATGACACCCAAAAGCTATCGGAGTTTTGTTGTGGCTTTGGCGGCGCCTCTTCCGTGGCATAATTACACGAACAGCACAGGCAGCGCGACTCTTTTGAATTATGCCCCCAACAAAAGCCAAAAGGAGGAAAATGCCAATGATGCCACTGCGGCGGCTACTGATGCGGCTGCTACAAAATAAGTCAAAGGCCTATAGCGATTCCAGCAATAACAACAAAGACAACAAACACCAACATCAACCACTAACAACTACAACAACAAGTTTATTACGCCAACCATAATAATGACGATCAAGATGAAGTAGCTGCGAAGTAAAGATGCAGGCGCAGCTGATGAAGTTGGCGTGTCTGATACGAGTACTTACAAGTCAGTGCCAAGCACGAAGTGGGCATCGCAGCCAGCATCATGAAGAGCAGCGAGAGCGGCAGCAGCAGGAGCAGCTGAGACGACGACGCATGTGCGGGGGCATGTGGCCTGTTCCTGTTGTAGCATCTGTCAGGAACGGCTTTGCAGCTGTCCAGTGGATGGCTCTCCGAAATGGCCATGTTGAATGGGTGATTGATTAGTCTGTCGTTTCTTGTTGCAACGTCGTCCGAATAAAACTGGCCCAAAGCCCGACCGACACACACACACTCGTTATAGAACTAATATCAGACTGGGAGCGAAAGAGAAAGATTTTGTTCTTTTTCTCGTTTTATTCAGCTGTCACTTTCACGTTTTCTTCAACTTCGACTCAGGCCACGCTGCGAACCGAACGCGTTGGCCACTCACAAAGAACTAAAGTTGAGAACGCGTGCGCTCTGGAATTTTGTTGCCTCTGCCTGTGTGCTGCCAGGCAATGCACACCACACACAAGAGTCCGTCGCTTATTGATGACGCTGACGTTGTCGTGTAGGTCTCTGTCTCTGTCAGATTCTCTGCCTCTGCCTCTGCCTCTAACTCTGTCTCTGTCTTTGCCTCGGCCTCTGCTTATGCCTCTGCCACTGTCATTGCCTCTGTCGACTGCCGACTGCTGACTGCCGGCTGCTTGTTGGCCCCTATACCCGTCTGCCTGCCAGATCCATCAACATGCGACCATTTGGGCGAAGCTGCCTTGCATTTATTTGCTTTTGGATAATAATAGGGCAGAGGCTTCTGCTTCTACTGAGTGGGCCTACTCTGTGAGTGGCTTGTGTTGGTCTGATAAGTGCCTATAAGCGCCACCGAACTGTTTGAACCCCTCCGATCAGGCTTCTGCGTGGGGTGTACCGATGTATGTATACCAACATTTTACTGTGCTCGAGCTGTTATACATCATCATAATCTTGAACTTTGTAGGTAGCCAATTCGCTGTTACGCACTTCGTGCTGGACACGTAGGTCGTCGTGCCGCAGTTTCAGTTTCAGGTCCCAGCCTCTTCGCTGTACTTGTATTGTTTATTGGACACAATGCAATATCCCGCCATACAAAGCAGAGCAGGAACAATGAAAAAAACAGCTTCGGACCAGCCACCGCATTGAGCATCAACTGTAGAACGCAATGAACCAGGAATGGAACGGTAAACGCATGAGCCACAAGATACACTTGAGTAGCATAAATATGAATTTATATATAAATATATATATATATTTATACATATATATATTTGTCTGTATGTAGTGTGTATCTGTTAATTCAAATTGATTAAACCTATTATTTCGACTTAACTATATTTTATTTAATGCTCAGTGACCAGGCATTACATAAATTTTCAAAATAATTTTTTTATTATCTAGCTCTGTGCTATTTTGATGCCCTTGTGGAGAGTATGTTAATAAGGCATTAAAGTGTGCTCTATATACATATTTGAATGACCCAATAAAGCCAAATCTAGCTATTTGTCTGCCCATTTGCCATTGAAATACGTTTTTTTTTTCAATTCTAACTAAAAGCATAATATGAATAGATATATTCTGAAATAAGTATACAATTTATTTAATCTTACTGCTGGATAAGCTATTCATTCAATGATTCCTGATTATAGTGTAAGTGGAAAATAAGTCAAGAATTTAAGTAAAATATTCGAATATACCCAATATATTTTAATTTCATTCAGCAGATTAACCACAAGATAGTTTTGTCGTGAATCCACTTGAATTATCAACAAGACATTTACTCAGTAGCGAATAACGTGCAACATGCAACATGCAACATGCAACATGTGAACTACAACCGCAAAATGACAAACATCGCAAAAACCACACTTCATATAACTGGCAGATGTCCAATTGTGGGATTGTCAAAGCTACATACATGTCATATAGAAATATGTTAAAACAATGTCAAAAACAATTTTTGTTTTACTAAAATAAGTGTCTTTTGAACATTTTCCAATTACATGAGCTAAAATCTACTGGTTAAAATCTGGCACGTGCAAACATTGCAATTGAATGCATAATAGATGACATGCTCATAAAATGATGAACTTTAGATTGCAAACGGAGAGCTCCATCCCAAGCAACTGCAGCTCGAACCTCTATCAATGATCTGATTCAAGTTGTCCGCTCAGACCCAACAAATCAACCAACCCAACGTTGGTTCAAGTGCGCTCAACCCGCCTGCAAGCTGTGGTCCATGGGGGTCTTGCACTGAAAGTTGACTGAAAGACCGGTCCATTGACTGACTGACTGACTGACTGACTGACTGACTGACTGCCTAACTGACAGACTGACAGACTGACTGGCCTGTCAGAATGCCAAAACAAAACTTCTCGATAAGCTGTCGACAATGACGACAAAGACGTTGATGACGTTGACTACGCAATGTATGGAACTATTCACATATACTCCAGTACACTTAAAAAAATACATTATAAAATAAGCATAAATAAAAATGTGTTAATAATTTCTTGAAATATTTTATTCAGTATGATGCTAAAAGTTGTTCATTATAAAATGGAAGACTGAATATGTAAGATGTAGGATTGAAGATAGTAGAAAGTTCTTATTTTTGTTCGAGTGTATTCTGAAATATATTTACATACATTTGTAGTAGTTGTATTGTGTTTCTTTTTGTGTGTCTGCTGATGTTGTTGTTTGAGTAGGTTTTCCTTGTAACATTTGCCGTTACGTGATGCGGCCAGTTCAATGGGACTCGGGGACTCGGAGTCGCAGTCGGGAGGTCTGCTTCTGCCTCGACTTAACTCGACTCGACACAACTTGTCGGCCCACTGTTTATGTTTTATTGATTATGGCAGCAGCAGCAGCGGCAGCAGGTAAGCCCGGGTCGTGGCATGAAAAATTTGACTAATGTGAGCGCGGCTTCAGATTCAATTTAGTCGTTAAATATTTAGATTTCGTGTGTTTTTTCTTTTAGATCTCTTATTGTAGCTCGGCCAAGCAACAGGAAGGAATCAATTGGTTTTCCTTAGTCACGGCGATGAGACGGAGATGGAAACGACTGTCGACCGTTGGCCACTTCCTCCTAAGGCCTTACAGTGTTCCTTTTGTTGTTGTCTATGGCGACGACGGTGGCAAGCGCGAGTTGTTGTTGTTTATCTTTTTTATTGTTTACTTTTTGCTTGCCGCAGTGCTCACAACATTTTACGATCGGCAATTGCCCAGCTAGACGATGCCGTGCCTTATGAGTCAGACAGATGCGGGTAATACCTCGAGAGCTCAAGTTGCTCATATGTAATTAGAGACGCGAATGAACCGGCCGAGATGGACAATAATTAAATGGTTCTTGGCAATTGCTGTCTGCTACCTGGTCTTACCAAGTGACTTCGACTCATAAACACATTAAGAAACAATTAGCGGCAGATTAGCGCAGAGCTAAGCCATTTTGCTGATTATTTGCTACAGCCAAGGCCTGGATCGGGTCTTTTCCCAAGCGGCATCAATCACTTTCGTTTTATGACCGGCGGCAGCTATATGGCCCCTGCTGCCCTTGCTGCAGCTGATAAGCTGCATGGGATTATGTATGTATGCATATATGTATGCACATAAAAATGCAGTTACATATACATATGTAAATGTATGTATATACATAAAGGCAGCTCTTTAGTTGGATGCGATAACCAAGTAGAAGGGCTAACCCCGGCCGGAAATGCAGTGCGTAAAGCCAGAGTCGATTCGTATGAAAATGACCAAAGTAAATATTGAAAGAAAAAAACAGAAAAATTAAAGAAATGGTTAAGTTTATCAGACAACAAGAGCGAGCACTCGCAGTGAAAAGTGAAATGTCAATTCATTGTCCCAGGGAAAAGTTGAATCGGCCTTTGATTTGTGGCCGATATTTCGGGTTGTGTGCGCGCACATTATGCAGATGTACTGTATTTCGAGTTTCGATTTTCAAGTTCAAAGCAAAGCTTACCAAACCAATTAAAAAGCGAAAGCATATCCGCGCCTCACTGTACACTGCAGCCAAAATAAATAAGATGAAGAGACTGGCCACATGTATAGAAACTCGAACATTACAGTACTTCCATTTTCCATAAACTTTAAACTAAGTTTTGAAATATTTCACTTGCAATGAAGACCTAGTAAGTCAACGAGGATCGGTATCATAACCCAGACTATTGATGAAAGATCGCCAAGATTGCCAAGACTATTTCAAACTAAGTTTATTTTTTATGCATAATAAGCTTACACTTTTGGCCAAGTTATGGTTCACACACATTTAATTAATTGATAAAAACATACCTGCATCAATTGTTTTACTTTTTAGGGCTGTAAACCTTAAGCACAATACACTCGTCAGGCAGTGCATGAAAGTGGCCCGAGCAGGCCAAGTTCCATTACATAAGTATCATACGTAAATATATGCATACTACATGTAGAAAGAGCAAAGTAAATATGTTGGACAATCCAGTGAGGTATAAGAGTGCAAGTGCCTATTGCATAGAATCCATTAGGCGACAGCGAAAGAAAGCTAACAAGGTGATAAATGGTTGGCCTTAAGCTAAAGCCGGCGCCTTGGTTGACGGAGTTTTTGACTAGCTATGCCCGTGGCCTCAATCCCTTTTAATTACCGGCACTCGTAGGTTTAATTGTCAAACCTTGTTGTCAACTGTTTACCGAGTCGGACGCTGGCAGCACGCGTCAAACTTAACGGATGTGTCACAATATTTAAATTAGCGTAAACTGTTTTAACGCCAAAAAGCCGCAGTCTGGGCAGTGGGCTTGCCCAATGCAATGTAAAGTACATACTATATTTATCGTACGTGAATATATGGCCAGCCAGACAGCCAGATAGCCAACCAACCTGCCAACAGCCAGCAGCCAGTTGACATGAGGGTCAGCTGTGGGCCAGTGGGTCGGTCGGTAAATTTGACCGGGAACGGAACGGAACAGAAATCGAAATTGAGTTGGTCTGAGCACACTTGTACGCGTGAGTGTATGAGTGTATGCACAGCATTTTACAACCCCTTGCCAACTTTTTGACGCGTTATTAAAAAGCCATATAAACAAACAAGCTTGTCGTAATGAAAGCTTTTGAGCCAACTGTTGTGATGGCGATGAAGACGGCGGTGCACGTGGGACGTGCTGTCAATTGTTTTCAAGTATTTAAGTACACACACTCACACACACAGCCATGCATATGAGTAGCCGTAGAAATCTGGGCTTGGGCTGGCTGACTGGCTGGCTGGTTTGGCCTAGAGTACAGATCCTAAATAAGCAGACGCTCTGCCGCTGCCACGGCGCAGTCGGCGCAGTTGGAACTCAGCCACTGCGATCAGCGCTTACATTAGGCAACAGGTTATTGCAATTCAGCGAAAATAACGGAGATGGAGACAAAGGTGGAGGCGGAGACGAAGACGACAATGGAACGTGGTGGAAGCCGCGCCAACTCAAGACGACAAAAAATAAAACAAAAAAACAAATATGTAAGTAGCTCCCAAAAATTAATACACTGCGCCAAAAATTTGTTGCATGCGCACAAAATATGCAAGGTGTGTGCTAAAACATATACACGGCATACTATTGAATGAAATTTTCATAAAATTTCCCAGACAGCAACGAAAGCTCTATTGTCCGCTCTTCAAAGAAGCTAAATAAGTAATATTACAATATTGAATAAGAAATAATTTAATAATTATAACAATTTTGGGTAATGCTTGGTCAAGCATCCCAATACTTCAAAATATTTCAATTATCTTCATAAAATGCAAAAGTTAATAGAAACTCGGACATTCATATTTCATTTTTCATATTTACAGCTTTTATCTTACTTGCGAAAATTATACAAAAAATAAGTTTTAATAATTAATAAATAAATATTCGCAAAATAAAACAAGGAACTTCAAATTTATTGTATTTGTATTTGTATTTGTTCTGTGGGTTCTTGCAGTTGAGCACGTTTTGTAACCACTGTAGCCGAGGCGTTGACAGTTTTTTGGTCATAGGCTCTCTTTCAGCAGTGGATTGCTATAATTAAAAAACTACCGTGGCATTTAGCCAAGTCATTGGCCAGAAGCGTAGTGAAAATAGGTGCGGCTGGGGGGCGAGCAGGAGGGGGCCAATTGGATACAACTATTAAAGTATTAAGCGCAGTGTAGAAAACTGACGCTCACTTGAAGGTAGCGGCGTCCGGATGCGCCGCAGCTTGGGCGCACAGGTAAGGCACACGACATGCAGGTGGCTTGGCTGGCTGCGCTCAGTGGCTCAGCCGATTGGAGCTTGGAGCGGCGTGAGTAACAAGCCCTGCGACTCGACGATTGTCGCTCGGTGCGGCCCAAAGCCGCAAACGCGTGCACAGTCGATAAAGCACACTCGAATCGAACGTAAGCAGCGAGCGCTGGCCACGATCGTGATCGCGACGACGACGACGACGACGACGACGAAGAAGGCGACGGTGACGGCACTTTGATTGCAATTTTCATTCATATCCATTCATGCGAACATATTGCGACTGCTTCTTGGCGCTGGTCTCTGTGCCTCGGCCGTTGTTTATGAAAGCTCCGGCGGCACTTTCTTCTTTCATTGTGCGCTCGATCCTTTTGGCTGGCAAACAAACGCGTGGCAGCTTTCATTTTCGATCGATAGCGAACCGGTTCGGGCTAAACGGTTAGCATTACTTAATCCAGCTTTCATGCAATCGCCATCCTGCCAGCATGAGATCGTTGCGCCTGGGCCTGGATTTCGTCATGCTGGCATTGCTGCTGCGCCAGGTGCTGGCCACCATACGCCATTCGCGCGAAATTATTATCACAGACGCGGTAGGTGTGGTGGTACCAGGGCTACCTGGGGAGGGGACCGCTCCAAGCTCTGACGTGTGCGCGCCACTGGAATTCCTAATTACTTGAATGTCACAACGCACGCGTCGCTTGGCCTCCAAATGTCAAGCAATAAATGTGCCAACTGAGAGTGTGTGTGTGTGCGTGCGTGTGTGTATTTATGTTTGTGTTAGCCAAGTAAATACCTAAGTGTGACTTCCTGCCAATGTTTGCTCGGTTTTTGTGCTCGTTGCAGGTGCGTCGCATACAGCACGACGGCTACAATGTGGAGCAGCATACGGTGATAACGAAGGATGGCTACGTGCTGACTCTGCATCGCATACCCCAAGTCCAGCTGGATGCAAATGGAACGTTTTACACAGTGCTCCGACGCCCTGTAGTATTTTTGCTCTCCGGCCTCTATGCCTCGTCGGATGTGTGCGTATGCCTGCAACGTCTTCCGTTTGACCTGGTAACTGATATTTGCAGCTGTCCATTTGCAGGTGGCTGCTCAACGGACGGGAGGACTCGCTGGCATATTTACTCTGGCGCGCGGGCTACGATGTGTGGCTGGGCAATAATCGCGGCAACATCTATTGCCGCCACAATCTATGGCTTAACACGACAGATCGCGAGTTTTGGAACTTCAGCTGGCATGAGATGAGCGTCTACGATATGCCTGCTCAGATTGACCGTGTGCTACGCACAAGCGGGGTATCCCAGATGCATTTCGTGGGTATCTCCCAGGGTGGAACAGTGTTTCTGGTGCTCAACTCAATGCTGCCGCAGTACAATGCAGTCTTCAAGACGGCCACACTACTGGCGCCAGTTGCCTACGTGGACAATACGCAAAGTGGCTTGGCAAAAATCATTGGACCGATCTTGGGCACACGCAACTATGTCTCCAAGATGCTCGAGGGCATTGAGATGTTCTCAACGAACAAGTTCTTTAAGAAGTTTCTGTCGATGACATGCTTGGATAACGAGAAGCCTTTGGTGTGCATCACCCGACTCTGGCCAGCGGTTGGCTATGATACGCGCTTTCTAAACAAGACCCTGCTGCCGGATTTGATGGCCAACTTTCCGGCGGGTGGTTCCGTAAAGCAGCTGATGCACTACTTTCAGGGCTACGTATCCACCAAATTTCGACAGTACGACTATGGCCCGGAACTCAACTGGCTGCACTATCAGCAGCTGGAGCCGCCGGAGTATGCACTGGAAATGGTGAAGACACCGGTAACAATTTTCTTTGCGGAAAACGATTATATTGTAGCGCCCGCGGACATCTGGCGTCTGGTCAAGCGTTTGCCTAACGTCGAGGCTGTCTATAAGGTACCCTGGAAGCGCTGGAATCACTTTGATTTCATATGCGGTCTGGGCGTGCGCGAATACATCTTCGATAATATTGTGCTCTCCATGAATCGATACGAGCAGCGCCGTCGACGCTGAACGAAATGAAATTTCTTATGCCACAAGAATATGATATGATTCTAAAAGGGTTTTTTCTGCAGATTTCAATTTCAATTTCGATTCAGACTTCGTCTTAATATCATATCAAATAACTCTGGCAAAATCGCGGTTGTACAGTGTTATTTGCCAGGGACCTTGAACCACAACTTCTACTAGTGCCAAATAATTAGCTAAGTATATATAATGAGTCCACGGTTGATTCTTCCTAAGATATTACCTGCGGATATGCGTACTGATTAATAAATATATTATTTATAGTTTCAACTTAGTCTTTCAACTAAACTAGAACTTCTGAATGATAGCTAGAAAGTTATTTAAAAAAGTTGAGAGTTTCTAATACAGTTAAGCAATGTTCTATTAATAATAATAATAATAACAATAATGGATTTAATTATTTAATTGATTCTGTGAGAGAAACAAAAGGAATCAGATGAAGAAAACTTTGGATATATCATAAAGCAAGGCATCATTAAATTTAGTTTCCTTTATTAATTTTCGTCATATAATCATTCACTCATTTGTAGGATCAGTCAATCATCCAGTATCCAAAATCTAAACTGCTAAATTAACTAAACACTGCCGTAAGTCTGTGAGAGATATAGTTTATACTTAATCCCCAAGAGTCAACCATTGTGAAAACTAGAAAGTTAAAGGTAAAATAATTGGCGATTCGCTACGCAACAATATATCAACTGAGGGAACATACGAGTAAAGAATTTTATTCAGACTTGCATATAGACAGTCGCATGGACATGTTGATCTTCAAAAAGTAAACTGATCTTTATTTCTGGCTGTTTATACTGATTATCAATATGGCAGACATTCTGCACTAGTTTTTATTTAAGGTAAACGATTTTTTTATTTTTCATTTAGATTATCTCTTATACATGTGAATATATATACTGCCGAAAATCGTGGAAATTTGAAAATAGCTTCAAGTTATTTTAACTGCGCAAATCTGAGTTCAATATCAGAGTTCTAAAAAGGATTGTGTTAGCAAAATCTTTTAATCGAGTTTACTTGTCCTATAACGTAGGTTTTTTGATAACTTTAAGGCGAATGATAAATGAGGAGTTAGCTAAAAGATAGATTAGTTGCACAGCAAAGGAACTTACAATCTTTAATTCATTGAAATTAAGGGTCTATTAACAGTAGTCGGTTTCTGGTTTTGTATATATACATGCCGCATTGATTTGTTTATTGAATCCGTCTATGTTATTTACATCATTTGTTGTCTAATGGAGTACAGTGGCGCTTATTTTGAGCTCTATGTAACGATGCAGTGTCAGCGCCTTTTTGCTCACAATCGGATGGTTTAGCGTCACCAGCAGACTTTTGGCCGCCTGAAAATCGTTCTGCAAAGCGAGAGCAACAGCCAAATTGTATCGAACAACGTTCTGGGCAGCATCCAGGGACTTTAGCTGCCAATCACGTGTCTCTAAATCAAGAGCATTTAGCGAGTTAACAAAAGTTGGCTCCAGATGGTCACGCGCCTCCCCGGACTTGTCCATCATCATCAAAGCCTCGCCCGCATACATGTGGCCCAACAATCTGTATTTTGTTTATATTAATTAAAAGTGTCTCATTTTCAGAAAAGATGGACATACTTGTGTGCATCAGAGAGACGCTCGCTCTGCAGCAGATGCTTGGCCATTTCCAGTGCGGTGACGTGGTCACCCAAACGTAGGGACACAAAACTATGAGCCGCATAAATGGCATCCAGCATATTAGCCATCGATTCCAAGCTAATTGGTTTCGATGGGTTGCAAAAGTTATTGTCCTGCGTTTGACTCCATAGCTGTTGGGAGGAATCTTGCTGATCCAGTGTTTCATCAGGCGAGGTAGCCCTATAAAAACTGGCCTTGTATTGCAGCGTTAGGGTGAGAGCGCTTCGCAGACATAGAGCTGCAAATTCAAGTGTTGGCTCCGGCACCGCAGTGGACGGGGCTCTGTAGGAATGCATGTGATTATAGTTCGTTATTACAAAGCCCATTATTTAATACTAACCCATATGGTTTGGATCCCGCTGAGTTCATGACACTGTCTATCGTATGGCGATCTTTTCCAAGTAGTTTCTGCTGAATAATAAATTAAAATGACCTAGGGAAATGAATTGAATAAGGTATAATGGCTTACCGCCTCATGCTCCATAATGCATGCTTCGGCCATTCGAAACCACAAACGTGGATTACTATGGTACTGTTTTACTGGCACCAGGAGGCAGTGAAAAGCCTCTTTGGGTCGGCGCAAATGCAACATCGCGATGCCCAGATTATACATTATCTCACAGGATCGCACCGAGCCCATCGTTTGTAGAGAGCTTTGCCGTAAATTCGATGCTAGCTGCTGATCGAAGCGCAGTGCATTCTGAAAAAATTTCGCCGCGATTGCATAATGTCTTACACGTAAATGGATAACACCCATATTGTTGGCGATGCACGTGCTTAGCTGTGGCGTGACGGTGCTAACACAAGAATTGAAACGCTATTAGCTAAGCAGACTAACAAACACTAATTAAACTTACCCGGTCTTAGTGCAGTCATCGTTAATGCGCATCAGCTGTTTAGCGGCCATCTGAAAGTCCTTCATGATGTAATACTGCTGTGCCTTCAGTGCCGCAACTTCTGGTGTCCCATCCTCAGTTATGACTACAGGTTTGCGATTAAGCACATGCGTTAGCAGCTGCAACATCTGCAGAATGCTTCCACTTTCGCCTGCAGCTCGGGTAACACTACTGTCCAGAATAGGCGTTGCACTCGCCCCGACTGTGGACGCTGTTGGAACAACAGCAGCACCGACAGCTGCTGTTGCTGTTGGCTCTTCTGCGTTGCTACTGGGATTTGCGCTGGGTGCGCTGGGTGCACTGGCCACTAGATTCAATTTATACTGCAAAAAATCGAGAAACGCCTCAGCGCGATTTAGCTGATTGGTGGCCAACAGCAGCTGCAGTTGCAACGTGGCAACGAGCGCTGCCATTTGCTTTTCCAGCGCCTCCAGCCTAGCTACCAGCGGCGCTAGCCTCTCTAGCGCCGTGCCGTACATATGACGATGGTAATATATGACCGCCTTGTTGTAGCGTGCCACGGTAAAGGCGCTGCCGGCATTCTTCATTGCGAGTGACACAGTCGGCTCGACAGGTACCGACTTGGCACTAGCCAGCTTCTCCAATTCCTGGAGCAACGTCTGGTGTTGCAAGCAGCCGCTTTTATAGTAATTCACCACAGCCCGATTGTGGCGCAGTATTAGACCGCTGCTCTCGCCTTTCGTTTCCAGCTGCTGTAACAGCTCCATGCAGCGGTCGTACTCGCGACTGTTGGGCGGGAAATGGGTTCGATCTATGAATCTATGTATTTACGTATTCTGTGATGTGCTTACTTGTTGAATTGTTCGTGGGCTTGGCACAGCAGATTGTAGTTTTCGTCATCGCTGTCTTGCGTTTTCGTCGGAGAATCCGCAGGGTCCATGCCAAAAATAAAAAAACAAAAGAGCACACTCATACATGACAACCCTATACACACAAACACTTATGACAATACATAACTGTCTCGCTCGCACATCACAACGTTGCAGCCCTGCGCACAATAACTACACCGGCACGCAGGGTTGCATTGTATGTGAAGCAGATCGTTTTAATAAGAATGTATGTATTATTAATTTAATACGTTTTATTTGTATTTTTGAAAATAAATTTGAAAGACAAATGAAAGCTACCAAGTAAAGTTTTATATAAAAAAAATTATTTAATAATCAAAGCAAATAAAAATAAAAGCTTTAAACCAAAAAGTTCAAATATTTAAAATAAAAATTGATTGAGTATTTACAGATAAAAGCTCAAACCTCCGTTAAAAAATATAACGGAATGGTTTTCTTTTAAACTAACTATATCATAATTAGTGAGGAGCGAATTACTTACCCTAACACTTTGCGAAACATCACGTTCGTTCAATTTAAAATATATAAACAAAAATTGTTACACGTTATTTTTTGGGTAAAGTGTATTGTGAGTTATGATATAATCTATAAAATCACATATCGAATTGATTTGCGTCGATTGCTAAGGCTTAGAAGATTTTATGAATTGAGAAAAACAATAATAGGAATTTTAGTAAAATACATGTATTATTATTGGAATTATTTTGAGTCGATTCGAAATACAATACATATATTGTTCACTAAAATAATTCAAAAATATTCAGTAATTTGCACAACAGTTGCAACTGTATAATAATATATATATATATAGTACTAATCCATGGATGTGGAGGGTAACTTTTTGCTTTGCTGTTGCAATATTAAACTCAATAATTCAAATTTTATACAACAACTAAAGGGTTTGGAGTAGGATGAGTTGGGAGGAGTGATGTTCTCGCACTCAGATTCGAGAGGTTCTGAAGTCCAACAGAGCGTTTGTCCTGCCATAGGACTAGTTGAAATGAGACGGTGCGACGTCCAGTCCATACAGGATTGATGGATGTATGTATGTATTATGTACACTATAAGGTAAATATGTATGTATATTATATAGTATGTATATTGTATAGTATATAATTTGTATTGTATGTATACCATTGCATATAAACATATTAATTTAGCAATAAAAATTCCCAATACTTCAGCTAGAGCATGCTCAACATTAACTGAGCCTCGACTGCCCGCCCTAGCTGAAGAAGCAGTTGGTGTTTTAATTTGTTTTTAACATATATTATTTTTCGTTATTACTCGTAACTGGCTAAACACACACGCACACATACAACACACGGATTGATTTTGCCTAATTGGTTTCGTAATTTTCATTTCTTAAGTTTTGTTCGTTTCGAGCTTTTGCTTCATTGCATTACTACTGTTGTTATTGCTGTCCAATAGGGTTCAGAGGCCTTATGTGTTGCGTATCTTGCCGGGTACATAATTTTTATCGATGACATTCTCCTGCAGGAACATATGCAGGCAGCGCTCATTCTGCGCCAGTGGATGTCCGGCTATCTTATTGATGAACGCCTCCAAGCCCTTTCTTCGTTCTTCAATGAAATTCTCGTCAAAGAGGCCTTCATCGCCACGAAAAGGCATTTGTCGCTTCCAGGCCTTGCCAGGCAGTGGAGGCACCACAATCTGCGTTTTATGAAGCAAAACTAAATAAAAATCTGACTGAAATATGTAAATTAAACAAAATTTTTACCTTACTATCACGTTCCAGTTCGTTTCTTAGCCATTCAAAGTCGCTGTAGCGACGTCGCACACTCGATTCTTTAACCTTGAATACCGGCAAGTTGGTCTGTCATAAGAGTGAAAACATTGTTCAATATAAGGATTCTTTTCTGTCATTAAAGACACTTTTATTAGCCCGCATAAAATACTTCCGTATATCAGCGTATGACTCAAGTAAATATGAATTCCACACAAAAATCTGGCACAAAGTGAACGCAGTACAATGCAACACAGAACGCCTATTGTTATACCCTATAGCCCATACAAATGTATATAATTGCCTTCTCATTTATTTTTTAGATCTGGGAGATTAAGAGATCTATAATTAATTCACTAATTTTGATTGAGACATCAAACTTAACAAACATTACATTATTACATTGATATTAAAACGCTCTTATCAATAAATACACAAAAACGCTGCATGACTCACATGTCTTTGAGAAAATACTGATGTTTTCATGCATATAAGTCAGCAAAATGCATATTGAGAAATTCGGACAGGGTATCAACAGTCGGGCACTTTGGGTAAAACACACTTTTGTTGTGACTAATAATTATCGCTGTTTTATAGGCGTATCAGACACAGCCACACATTTACGCAAATATCCACAGAGCAGTTACGCACACAAGCACGCGAAACAGACACACACACGCTTTATCAACGGTTTTGGCACTTTTGTGCAAGCTCTGTCCACTGTCATTTTGCATACATATGCAGTAGAGCCCCTAGGTTAGGCCTGTATTACTCACCCTCATGCGCACTTCGTAGTCTGTGTAGCGCTTTTTACCTGCCGCCATGGTTGTTAAGGGATTGACTACATCAATTTCGAGGAAGTTGGCGGGCACGGCATATGCATCGTCTAGAGTTTGCTTCTTAACATTAAGACGGCGGGTGGCGTCGGCGGTACCGTCGGACTCAACCATCATAATGCTGCGATCTGCTGCTGTTTCTGCTTACGGACTGTTAGACGCAGGCACGCCCCTCTTGTGGTCGGTCTCTGCAACGAAATGCCGCAGCGGCCGCTTTGGCTGCAATGCAAATAAAAAAGAAGAGAAACGCAAACGCACACAAGAAACGAGTTTTTGTATTGGCCGCAGTGTTGTGCAGTTGTCGTTGTCGTGGTCGTTTGTCTCTGCTGGCGCTATCTCTTTGTTTTCTGCTGCTGCTGCTGCTGCTGCAATTGTTTTATTTTTTTATGTGGGAGTAGCTTCGGTAAGTGTAGCGAAATTTCAATTACTACGGTCGCACTCAGTTTGATTCGCACGCCGAGCTCATTCAATGCCACATTGGTATTATTTGCAAATGTTAACTAGTTTAATTTAATTAATTGTACATAAAAAACACTTTCTACATTTAATCCAATAATGCCAAAATGTGCCTAAAAATCCAGCAGAGGGTTGCTATATAAAATGCAGAGTTGTATCAGTCTGGTGAGAAGTGCTGATGAACAAAATACTGAAAAATACTACAAAGTGTGGTCACACGCAAAGTCATGTGACGGCACGTGACGTCACAATAAGTTTTACACAGTCTGACCCGTGTCAGAGTGATTTTTCTTCGTACTTGCAACGACGTCGCAGGCCAAAATTTTGCGTGTGTGTCGCAGTATTATTTAAAACGGAAAAATTGTATGTTGAAACGCCAGCTTTAATTAAAATTATATCAGTAAATTTGAACTGTTCATGGAAACTAATTGAAACTGTTTTGTTTTGTATTGTTCGCAGCTCGAAATTTGCTGTGCACTTTTCAAGGTAGAGGCAATCGCGTATAACAAAAAATTCATTTCGCAAAATGAACGCCCAACAAGCACAACGGGAGCATGTCCTTGCTGTTTCCCGGGACTTCATCTCCCAGCCACGATTGAGTGAGTATTCAATTGCTATTAAATTATGTTACGCTTGTGAATTGTGCATTTGAAAAATGTATTTTTGCCGTACTCATAAGTAATCGGCCGCCATGACAGTTTGTATAAATCACTTGTGAAAGCAGAACACGAAACAAAAAATCAATATAGTGTTTTTGGCAACGCTATTACACCCACCCATTGAAGTAAAAGCATTAAATGTGTCATAATTAATACTGTGTACAGAACGGAACTGAAAGCATAACCAATACGAACTGAAAATCATTTTTAATAAAAATTTTCATTGTCACATGACTCGATCACCAAGCTCAGCTGTTTGCTATTGCCATTCAAAGCGCGCTACCAGAGAGCACCTGACTAGCAAAACTTAGACTAGCGAAGGGTTAAAAGAGAAACAATATGCTGAAAACAGATAAAACTGATGCAAACGTTGAGTTCTGGTACTAATATGTACATAAACTAATCTTATAAAATGGACATGTATTATTATTTATAATTAGAACATGTTTTGCTTGGAGTTGTTTTTATGTAACGAACATTTTGAATTGCATTTCACGCAGTTTCATTATCGGTTTTATGTCAATTATGCAGCTCGTGCTTTACACAGCAGCTGCTTAAAGCTAGTTTGGCAGTCAGCTGACTATTTAACCCCTTAACACTCACTACGATTTTTTGACGTTTGCTTTCTTATCGGATTCTTATTGGCAACCACTTGTACACTGCTATGCGTTCATGTGAATAGCTCTATTGTAACCTAAAATAATAGTAAATATGATATAAAAAAATTAATGAATACGATTTTAATATTTTATTACTGTTTTCCTGTTTCTTTGCATGAACAGCTTACAAGACTGTGTCTGGTGTGAATGGTCCTTTGGTCATTCTCGATGAGGTAAAATTCCCCAAATTTGCTGAGATCGTGCAGTTGCGTTTGGCAGATGGTACTGTGCGTTCCGGTCAGGTGCTGGAGGTGAGCGGTTCCAAGGCCGTTGTGCAGGTCTTTGAGGGCACCTCTGGTATAGATGCGAAAAACACGCTTTGCGAGTTTACCGGTGATATTCTGCGAACGCCTGTCTCTGAGGATATGTTGGGACGTGTGTTTAACGGCTCCGGCAAGCCCATCGATAAAGGTCCTCCAATTTTGGCCGAAGACTTTTTGGATATTCAAGGCCAGCCAATTAATCCCTGGTCGCGTATCTATCCCGAGGAAATGATCCAGACTGGTATCTCTGCTATTGATGTGATGAACTCGATTGCCCGTGGTCAGAAGATTCCGATCTTCTCCGCTGCTGGTCTGCCGCACAATGAGATCGCTGCCCAGATCTGTCGTCAGGCAGGTTTGGTCAAGCTGCCTGGCAAGTCGGTACTTGACGATCATACTGATAACTTTGCTATTGTGTTCGCCGCTATGGGTGTGAACATGGAAACTGCACGTTTCTTCAAGCAAGATTTCGAAGAGAACGGTTCTATGGAGAACGTGTGCCTGTTCTTGAACTTGGCTAACGATCCAACCATTGAACGTATTATTACTCCCCGTCTGGCTCTAACCGCCGCTGAGTTCTTGGCCTACCAGTGCGAGAAGCACGTGCTGGTTATCTTGACCGACATGTCTTCGTATGCTGAGGCCTTGCGTGAGGTGTCTGCTGCCCGTGAGGAGGTGCCCGGCCGTCGTGGTTTCCCCGGTTATATGTACACGGATTTGGCCACCATTTATGAGCGCGCTGGTCGTGTTGAGGGTCGCAACGGCTCAATTACACAGATTCCAATTCTGACTATGCCTAACGATGATATTACCCATCCAATTCCCGATTTAACTGGTTACATTACCGAGGGTCAAATCTACGTTGATCGTCAGCTGCACAACAGACAGATCTACCCTCCAGTAAATGTGCTGCCATCGCTGTCGCGTTTGATGAAGTCTGCCATTGGTGAGGGTATGACCCGCAAGGATCACTCCGATGTTTCCAATCAATTGTATGCTTGTTACGCCATCGGCAAGGATGTACAGGCCATGAAGGCTGTGGTCGGTGAAGAGGCTCTGACGCCCGATGATTTGCTGTACTTGGAGTTCTTGACTAAGTTCGAAAAGAACTTCATTTCTCAGGTGAGTAATCAGAGATGAACGTAAAAGAATAAACATGAATGCTGATTTTTGATTTTGTAATTTGTCACAGGGCAACTACGAGAACCGCACTGTCTTTGAATCCTTGGATATTGGCTGGCAACTGTTGCGCATCTTCCCCAAGGAGATGCTTAAACGTATTCCAGCCTCCATTTTGGCTGAATTCTATCCTAGGGACTCGCGCCATTAGATTTTGTTTCAAATTGTTTTGTTTTTGATTTATGTCCAAAATTTTGTTTCATTCATAATTTAAGCTGGTGGCGCAGCGTGCGGCGCGCCTCCTTTTGCAATAATCCGTTGTGTATGCGTCAACATATACGATATACACACATATATACACATAAACTACAATATAACCCACAAGAAGGATATTAATATGGTAATATCTACATATAAAATTTGATTTGTGTATACATAGAGAGAGCCGAAGCGCAGTCTAAACAATAACTAGTTAAATATTTTCTAATCACTAAATAAGCGGAAATTATTTTAAATGTGTGTTTTAGTAATCAAAAATTGTCAAAATATCATAAAGTGTACATAAACTCAAATTAATTATTCCCAATCCACACCTAAAATGAAGAAGAAAGAAAAACAAAACAAAACAATGAACATTCTCCTTAAAACTTTGTTGCCGACCCGTCGATAATTTGTTAAAGTTTACCCATTTTTGTTAGGTTTTAAGTGTGTGTGCTCTGTAATTGTTTATTATTTCTCGATCATTGAATTGTTCAATTAATTTCGTTTCGCATACAGAAACGTAGCATTCCAAAACCAAATTAAATAATGCATATTTGTGTTACTTTCGCTTGCTTCGCTTTCGGTCTTCTGTTTATTTTATTTTTTTCGCTCAACTTTAAGACGTTACAACAGTTCGCACAAGTATTAAAAACAACGTTCTCTTCAGCGTCCCTCACCCCAGTCCCCGTCCCCATCCCACACTGTTCCCTGCACCGAACTATGTGAACAATTTGTACAGCAACTAAACTCAACAAACTAAACAATGAAATATGAAAAGTGCAAAAACTGCTGCTTTAAATGCAACAAAATGTTTTTAAACAAAAATCGAAAACAAAAATTACATATTAAAATTATATTGATTATTTGTTCATTTATTGTCCTAAAGTAAATAGAATGTTATTTAAAGTTGAAATATGCATTGAAATGTTGTTTGTTGTATGTGGGAAGAGGGAAAAGCTCCGCAACTATATCTAGAAGATTGCAAATCCAATAAATTTTCAACATATACATATATATTTAAATAATATTAGAGAAAACATTCAACTATCTATGTATAAATTATACGAATGATAAATTAATAAATTACGCTGAAAGTCATGTTATATATTCATTCAAATGGACTACATATTATAATTTGCATATGTAATGCATCCAAAATGTTTACACAGTTTTTAACACCATGTTAGGCACAAGTAAATACTAGATGTTTCAATCCTACAATATATACTATTCACATCGTAAACGAACATAACATCAACTCTCAGTATGAGTGACACATGGCAACCCTAAACTTTGTCTTTACGAATCGAATGTTACACGCAATTGACGATTACCGTTTAAATGCTGATCCGTTTTGAAGCTTTTCGTTGCGCTTCAGTTTGCTTTTGAGACTTATAATTTAAGGTCGTGCCATAGAACTTGAATTGACTCGAATCAAAATGGCGGAGCTAGAGGAAGCCAAGCCTTCATCAGAGATGAAAGTGGCCAACAAAGGCAGTATACTATCACATAGTTTGAAAGCCATTAAAGCATTGAACAGTCGATCAGGGTCATCAGTACCTGCGATTGCGAACTTCATCAAGTCCTCCGGCTACGAGGTGACCGATATGAGTCGCATGAGGAAACTTGTTCTCAAGGCACTCAAAGTTGCAATGGGCGCGGGTGACGTTGTGCAAGTGAAGCGCTCTTTTAAAATGTCAATGACGGCGAAGTTAGAATCTAAATCCATGGAAAAGATGAAGGCCAATCAGCAAAAGAAGTTGGCCAAAGCTAAGGAGCAGGAAACTAAGGCCAACACAAAGGCAGCGGTCAAAAAGGGAAAAGAAACCGCCACGAGCTCGGCAGATGCAGATTCAGTAAAACCAAAAAAACGCAAAAAGAAGCCAACGGAACGCCATACAAATGAGGTTTAATATAGCTGCTCATAACAGTGTAAAATATATCCAATCGTATCATATTTTTACAGCCCGTTAAGAAGAAATCAAGTGCAAAGAGTGCTGCAGTTGGTGGAAAGGCAATTCATAGCCAGGCTGCGGGTGAATCGGACCAGGTTGCCCTTAAGATGTCTAAGAAGCCCCAACCAAAGGATAAGTCAAAAAGTGTCAAAGCAAAGGTTACGGACTCCGAAGTCAGTACCACGACTAAATTGCAGACGCCACGTAAGTCGATTGGAACTCTGACAAAGAAGGCGAACAGGCCGAAGATACGGAGCAAAACCATTAAAAAGCTGGTGGCGGGTAGAAAAAGCTTTGATGATGTCGAATCTGATTTAATGGATTCAGTACCAGCTGATGCCTCAACTCCATTGAGTCCAACTAAGCAAAAGCGTATGGCCAAACAGATTAAGTAACTAAGCATCTTCGATATAGGTAGTTAAGTTGTTTGAAATGTTCTAGTAGTTTTAATTGATCCAAATGCAATGTTAATGTTAATCTTAATGTTTTTTTATGATATTGATACGTATTAATTATGTTTGTCTTAGTGTACTCGAATTTTTAATATTTGTTATATCGTTTGCATAAGTAATTGTTCAAAGCCAATGTCGGCCACTTCGTCAATAAATTGTTTGAAATATAGTATACGTATATATTGTTTTTTTGATATTGAATTGTTTTTCGAGCTACCTTCTATAAGCAATCTTAATATAAAGGTCAAGAAGCTACCCGAAAATATTAATATTCTACCAATATTGGAGAGCCGATATTATATTTATGTACGTCTGAGATGCTCCATCAACCATAAATTCCAAATATATCAATGCTTTATATATCCCAATCTACTAGACTAGTTGAAATTAATAAGTCTTTCAGTTTCCTACAACAAGCTGGATGAAATTCTGTTGGAAACGTGACGATGAATGAAAAAAGAAAACTGTTTGTTATTTTAAAATGTTTATTAGATATATATGTGTATATCTGACGTAATAATAGTAATGTAAACATATTGATAAAAAGTTAAAATTAACTTTGCGGTTCCAGCAGCTGCTTCAAAAAGTTGAATGTAACAATCTTTGGCGCAAAGAAGCCGCCAAAGCCTTTAAATCCCTTATGATAGATGCCCAGGCCAGAAATTGGCAATGCGGGATTTGTTACAACATCTTGTATATCAATGAAGGGCACAGTGCTCTGTGCAGCATCCATGTCTATGCTGCTGCTTATGAATTCCATGAATTGATTATCTGTAGATAGGGGTGCAGACCCATATGGAGTTCTGCTCGACTTATCGGGGTTCTTCAGACGTAACTTCTCCCGTGGCTTATTCGCATTGTTGCCCAACCAAAAGCTATTCACATCCGGTTGCAATAGACGGCCTGTAGTGAAGTTCAATTGGCTGAATCGAACCTCCAAATTGAGATGATTATCAATTACACGAAAACGAGCTCCAGTTACAATAAGGGAATCATTGTCAGTTGTTATCTCGTCCAAATCCAGAGAGCGGCTCTTACGGCTAAGCTCATGATAGTCAAAGCCACTGCGTATGTCCACGTGGGTGACATCAAAAGTCTGTAAGGGTATCCAATCCAGAGTCGACTGATTAATTAACCCACTTGGCAGCAGTTCGCCCTGCTGCAGCTGCAAGTAGAATACACGTTGATGCTTTATAAAACGAGCACCCGTCACAACTTTGTTCTGCTGAAAATCGGAAATTGTCTGGCGCAAGCTAAAGAACCGATCAGACAACGCAGCTGGTTCGTCACAAAGACAAAAACAGTAGTCACACCTCCAGAAACCATGATATGAAAAGGATTTTGCCTGTTTAAAGCCGCCCCGACACTCACGTCTGTCCCCATTGTCATAGGATATAAACTCATAGCGTCTCAAAGTGGTCTCGTTGCCGTGGCAAACATTCATTTCCGAGCCAATTAAGCGACAGCTGTGCACCCTCCCCGTGCATTTCATCTCATCTTTGCAGATCGTATCTTTATGGCAGCCCTCCACACGTGCGTCTTGGTAATCTTCGCAGGTTTCGTAGCAACTTGACTCAGCGCTCAGATTGATTTCATTCTCTAAGTAGCCCTGCATGAGGCGTGTTATCTCCGCGTAAGTCTTGCCCAGCACGTGGTTCCCCGCCTGAGGATCGCAGCGCCAATAAGTGCGTCCAGTGTACCTCAGTACTTTGCGCAATATCTGCCGTGAGTCTAGCATACGTTGTTGATGTTCGGCATTCATTTGGGACATTTGATCCGTAAAGTTGCCCAATCCACGGTCCCGTAGTACCATCCATGAGAAAACCAACGTTATGTAACCCTTGATTTCAGTAAGCGTTGTCATCGAGTAAAGATCATAGGCAAATTGATGTGCAGATCTTTTCAGGGCACACACTTGCTTCAAGTCCGTCTCATACTCGACGACTAGCTTGGAGAATAGTGATTGGGTTAAGTCATCTTTGCCGTAAGCTGAATTATGCAGTTTCTCCACAGAATGGACTATTGAACTAGGTCTCGGCTGGACGGTCCAGTTGGCAAAGATCTGTACCATATCTTGTTGCACATTATCCTTGTATTTATTATAGTATATCATAAGCTGATAGCGTTGCACAATGATGTCGGCTATATCGCCCACGTTTGTGATCCAATTTGATAGCAGGGACTGTGCGTCAAACTTATGCCGCAGCGTGTCAATAAATATTGGAAAATATTTGGTTTGATGCTCTTCCATATGATGTATCTGATCAATGACGCCTTCTAAGGGTAGATAATTATTATCGTTCCAAGCCTTACCCAAGCCAGTCGACACACGCTGAATCAATTCAAATATGTCCACTGTGTCCTCATCTACATCTGTGCCGCCAACTAGCTGAAGGAGCATCATTTCAAATATTAAGATCAGCAACATAAGTCTGCCGAACTGGTGGATACGCATTTTTGTACTTCCCCTAGTTTTCCTTACGCTAAAAATATGGGAAATGGCTCATGCGTTGTCAGCATTCAAGATATTTATAGTTGGATGTATACACATACATATGTACATATGTATGTATGCCTCTGTGCACACTTGCTCGAATTTGTGATAATAAATATTAGTTTTTGTTTATTCAGCAAGTTAAATCACTACGCGTACGTCTCAACTGCTTGCTGGCCTTTGAAGCTTTGATATAACAAATGCAATACAAACGATTATATAGATTACCACTCAGTGTGACTATTATATATGTATGTATACACATACATACATGCAGCCTTTGGTTCATTCATTCGGATTTGCAATCTTAGCCAAAATCATTTAATGTGAACAGCGGTTTTAGAAAATAAATGTGTATAAAAAGTATAGTTTCCATATTTATTGTATACCTTAATTCTAAATGCCTTGATAAGTCTATGTAGCTCATAATTATAAAACAATCCCCTATTTTCGAGTGAAATGTGAGATATAAATTACAATAATAATTTTAGGGCAATGTCGTTGTTAGTGCATGACAATCGTCAATAAACTACCTTAAAATATATTTATAAATTTATATTGCAATTTAAGAACTAAAACTAAAAGTATCAAAAACTAGAAAAGAGTTTTAGTAAATGAATTAAATATTCAATACGTTCAGCTCAAATTTAAAATCTTCCGTTCAATGTTTTTTTAAAATTGTTTAACACTGAATATTTGCAGTGGCGCATCTCGCTGGCGAACTAGTACTTTAATAGATCTTCTGCAAAGTTAAAGAAATTCCTTAGTAATTAGTTAATTTGCAGAATTTTTCTGCAAATTTATTCAGAAGCTCAAGAATTTAGCTTAAGCTTGATAAGATTAAACTAAATCATTTTTATAATTTAAGTGCTGCATCCGGAACCAAGTTCCGAATAAACGACAAATATTGATCTGGCTCATAGCACGTGTAACATCGAAGTATAATTTTATACTAAATATATTTTTTTATTATAAAGAAATGTTTATCTTTATATTTTAATAAAGGTGCACCTAATTTGATAATAACTTTGCGAAATGGGAAAGGCGTCAAAAGACAGACGTGATATTTTTTACCGATTAGCCAAGGAACAAGGATGGCGGGCCAGAAGTGCCTTCAAGTTACTACAGGCAGATGAAACATTTAATTTATTGGAGGGTAAGATGTGGGCAAAGCAAATTTTAAAAACAGTGTATTGTTAAAAGGACTCTTAATTCGCAGGTTTAACACGTGCGGTTGATTTGTGTGCTGCACCTGGCGGTTGGTCACAGGTTCTATCCAAGCGTATGTACGAACCGCGATCAGAAAAAGACCGAGAGCAAGTAAAGATAATTGCAGTGGATATGCAGGGTATGGCACCAATTGATGGTGTTACGCAGTTGCGTGCCGACATTACAAAGGAGTCAACTGCAGAGGAAATTATTAACTTTTTTGATGGAAAAAAGGCGGAGCTGGTAGTCAGTGATGGGGCTCCCGATGTCACCGGGTTGCACGATTGGGATGCCTACATGCAGGCAGATCTATTATTGTCAGCCCTAAGCATTGCGACTTATATTCTCGAAGAGGGCGGGTCGTTTATGGGCAAAGTGTATCGAGCAGCAAACACCAGCAACGTTTATTTACAGCTTCAGCGTTTTTTTAAGGACGTATGCCTCTTCAAGCCATCCGCTTCGCGTAGTTCAAGCATCGAAGCGTTTGTGGTATGTCGACAATTCTGTATGCCTGAAGGTCATGTTCCATGCAATCTGAGAATGGAGTGGTTCGACAAGCCTGAAGAGGCATTAAAAGACATTTCGGGAAAAACGGAAAGAACCGTCGTGCATTTGCCATTTGTGGCGCACGAATGTGAATATGATGCGGATCTCAGCTACGAGATTGTAAATATATATGGTGGCTTCCCAATAAAAGTCAACTTTAACGTGTTTGTTTCTAGGACGCCAATTATATACCACAAGAAGCTGTGCAAAAGCCACTAACTGCCGCCTACCAGGAAGTGCTGGAAAAAACAAAAACTATGTCCCTTAAATACAACTCTTACGTTGTTTACCACGATGAGGAGGCATCATCTTCAGAACCAAGTACAAGTAAAAAATGCAACGCATAGCTTATTGATGAATAAGCTTGTTTATATATTTTACCAACCTTTTAGCATAAGTATGTAATGAAAGTCAATAGTTAAGTGGGAATAAGCCCTATATTATGGACACATTTCTTCGACAGATGCTTCATATATTTTATGTTTATATAATTTACAGTTTCTATGCGTTCCACAATTCTAGTGCATGTATGAAAAATTTTGTAACAATGTAAAAATTGTAATTAATTATGTCTTAATATATTTATAAGTAATGCATCGACAGCTTCTCTGATGGCTTCACACCATATTTGTACACTTTGTTGAGACTTTCGGGAAAGTCAGGCAAAAGATTATTAAAATTCTCCACGTGATGCGTATGCTGTTCTGTCCAAATTCCATCGCCGGTAAAATGAAATTCGGATTCAATTAGATATAAAATCAACGTTAATATCTCATTGTTCTCCAGAGCGTGAACATTGGCAACAGGCAGTCGAAGCTCTTGCATAGTGTCTGGATGTTGTAACAGAAACATTTTTTCCTCAATGCGTTTGCTATAAAAGGCAAAACGGCGAATCAAAATGTGTTGTGTGGTTAAAAACTTTATCACTACTCACATTGGATACAACAGCAAGTGTATGTTGTGGAAGATCTCATCCAACTTAAATTTTTTGCCTAACAAGTATTCTAGACATTGCTTGACATGAAGAACTGGTATATGACACCAGTTCGGGTGCCGCGACAGCACATTGCGTAGCAACTGTTCATCTTTTTCTAAAACATTTCCCAAGTAAACGACAATGTCCCGACCTTTTGTACGATCCGATCCATCACGAGCGAATCTAGAAAACCAAAAAAAAACACCAATTGAGAATTTATATGTTATGCTAGATGAATCTACAATTGTACACACTTGGCAAAGGCTTCAGACCCGCACGAAAGTATATGCAACGAGGCGCACCGCACACGCAGCTGATTTAAATAATCCAGACGCAGACGTGCTTTATTCTGATAGTGTACCAGGCGAAGTACACGCGGATTGCTACCCAGCACCTGAAACTGCTCTATTTCGTTAAGATCGCGAAGCCGCTCCAAGACAGTATCTGGTCCTAGAGTAAGTACTTCAAGACAACGTAGCACAGCATCCTCCCTAATTCCAAAGGATTTAACGTGCTTCAGTGTTTGCTTAAGACCATCACATGTAGACATTAAAATTTTTGGCCGTCGATATCCAATATCACGAATGTCATGGTCGTTGATTGTGGGTATCTCCTGTAGAATACGACGAACGTTGTCTGCATCCCCGTGCAGGAGAAAACTATTTTTACGCAGCCGTTCTGCTGGAAACTTAAACTCTTTAGTTAGCAACTCGATAATATCTTGCACGGATCGGAAGCTCTTGTGACGTACGCGCGCATATACACGCCACAGCTTCTGCAAGTCAGCGTCTTCCATTTGTAGACGTTCGCGCAAATATGCATTTAGTATATTTTGTCTTAGTATCTTTAAGGGAATGCTTTCATCGACGTTTTCTTGCAATTGGAAATTGCACAGCTGAACATTCGTAAAGCATTTTTTGAGACGTTCAGGCACATCAACGTCGTAAGGTATACAACGGTGAGCCTTGAGCATATCTATTGGCTTGTTTATAACAGTTACGTATTTGAACAACGTTTGGATGGTGATATTTTGGAAGCCGCACTCAATGAGCACACTATGGCGATTTGAAAGCGTTGATGCGCCATAATAGATGATCATCGGTTTTGTAACAATATCATCTACGCTGTAATTCAACGCTTTTAAGGTGTGATAGGAATTGAGCAGGTCCTTTCGTTTGACCGTTTTCAGCTCGGGATGTTTTTCTAGAGCCTGCGCCCAAGTACGATAGTTACTGCCTAAAAAGGTTTTAAATCATATGAAAGATGTATTAGCCTTATTATAATTACGCACCTAACGTTCGCGCTAAATAGTTAGGATTCAAGGAATCCTCCGTTGTCCGTTCATATTCCCCTAATTTTGTCAACTTTCGCTTATCCTCTTTGCTTGGTGTTTTTTTTACTGCAGCTAAGCCTCGCACAATATAAACACAACCGCGAGACAGCAGGTGGGCCTGACTTTGACTACTTCGCAACATATTTATGCCATTTTAACTCAATTTCGCTTAAAACATCGTAACATGCAACAGATGAGGTGCTCAACAATCGAATGATTCCATTCGCAGTTGTCAACAGCTGACTTAGTGCTGCCAACCGTCTTAGATAAGTGAACGACTAAATATTGAAACCAGTTGGCATTATCAGAGCGACGCTACACGTGCGTTTATACATTTTTAAAGATTCTTTTAACTTAAATTAATTAATCACTTATAATGTCGCTTTTACGGATTAGGTAAGTTTTTTAAGGACGAAAATGTTTAGTTTTACATTCCTCACATATTTAATAGAAAACCGAAAACCCGCAAAGGAAAGAAAGTGTTGTTAGCCCGTGAGCCGCAGCTCATTGAGTCGGCACGTACTATGTTGTTTGTGGACGGACGTAAATGTGCTGGTAATGTGAAACTCTGTATGAAGGATCTGCAACAGCTAAAAAAGCCGCTAGTTAAAGTTCTAAATCGTAAAAACGATATAACACCTTTTGATGATCCGTCTTCCTTGGAATTGTAAGCAAATTTTCTCCAAATGCCATATTCCCAACTCATTTTTATTTTTGTAGCTTAACAATGAAAAACGATGCGGCGCTGTTCTCGTTTGGCTCAACATCAAAGAAGCGTCCCGACAATATAGTCATTGGTCGTATCTTTGAAAATGAAGTACTTGATATGTTTGAGTTAGGCATTAAGCGTTATCAGTCCATTTCTGATTTTAAGAACGAAAAGATTGGCGCCTGTGTGAAGCCCTGTTTGGTCTTTAATGGCCCCAAATGGGCGCAAACGGAGGAGCTACGTCGTTTGCGAAATTTTTTTATAGACATGTTTCAACGAGAAAAGGTTGAATCCATACGTCTACAAGGCGTGGAGCACGTAATTAGCTTTACGGTCAATGATGATATGAGTATCTTGATGCGTTCATATAAGATATTACTAAAGAAATCTGGTCAAAAGACCCCGCGCATCGAGTTGGAAGAAATTGGACCGTCGGCCGATTTTTCAATTCGTCGCACGAAGATTGCTTCCGAAGATCTATATAAGCTGGCCAGGAAGCAGCCCAAGCAGCTAAGGGTTACCAAAAAGAAGAACCTCAGCACCGACGCGCTGGGTAATACAAAGGGACGTGTCCATTTGGGTAAGCAACAGACGGGCTCAATACAAACACGTCGCGTGAAAGCGCTGAAGAAGTCCCCCGAGGAAAAGCGCGCTGACCGCCAGAAAAAGAAAGTAGCACTAAAAGCTGCCGCAGTTGAGGCTTTGTCAGCAACTGAATGATTTACAAAAAGTTGTTTTAGATTTTAGTTAGTTATAATTGCAATAAATTGGTCCAGCTTAAAATAAGATTAATATCTTGACTTAACTAATATATCTATATTCCTCTAGTGTATGGCATTGACAATGTTTTTAATGCGACGCGTCTTCGATTCCGCCAAGGCGTCCTCAAGCGTTTTTATTAAGTACACCAAACTACTAACATCAGTTTGCACTATAACATCCTTACGATGCCGTCGTTCATCCTCATTCATTGCATTTAGCTCATTGTCGCTTCTTTCGGATGTGTCTATTTCCAGAAGTTCGCGATTTTCGTTTTTCGGCTCCGTATGAAGATACAGCTTCATTGTTATCACCACATTCGCTTGCTGTAGTAAGCAGCGAGATGCAGTGCGCACCTCCAGACGCCAGTCCAGGTTGACCAACCTGTGTGCACGAATGTTAGCCGACTTAATGGAGCCCTCTACGAAATTTCGTTTACTAGTGACAAACTGTTCGAGCACCTCTAGCACATCGTCCCTTAAATGGGGGAATATATGACGCATGTTCATTTGTTCGCCATTCGGACTTGACTTGGTTGTTACATGGATTAGCAGTGATATTAAGGCTTCCACTGCTCTTTGCACTGCCTCACTATTCACGTCGCCTGCATACTTTTTGGCCAAATTATCGTAGCGTTCCAAGTTGGGACCGTTCACAAGGTAGTCGAATGCCGATTTACATAGTTCTAGAACTTCGCTAGCCGGACGTTGTAATAGCGCTAAATGGTCGCGTTCCATTTGGCTTAACCGCACTGATGACATTATTTGATTTCTCTCAAAATAAAACAATTAATTCACAAGCAAAATGTAAACAAATCTGATATCATCTATTTATTTTGCTTAATGGTACGCTGATCATTGCTGAAATGAAAACAATGATGTTGATTCAGTAAATAATCTGAATACAATTAATAATAATAATAATAGCAATAATAATAACAATAATAAATAAATAAATCTAGAGCCTTTTGTTTCTAATAAAAATAAATTAATTTTTCTCCATTTTCTGTTCTATTTACAATTTATCTAGTGCATACCGATTTGCACATCATATTTGCATCAGGTTGGCACTGCCATTAAATGTAATCGATTTAACAATCGATTATGTTCTTGTTCTGCTTTGTTTATTGATTGCAGATGGTGTAAACATATTAATTATAATTATTTATTTATTAAAACGAATTGCCACAACAGTATGGATTTTGACAGTCCGGAAGAAAATGAGTTTCCTGGGTTATATGCCTCTGAAGCGGCCGATGCCAAGTCCAAAAAGAGCAAAGAAGAAAGTGACTGTAAGTAGATCAAAAGCTTTAAAAGGCGGTGCAACAAAACAATTTGCATTATTTAATTAGATAGCGAAGGCGACCATGACAAGCACAGCAAGAAAGATCTGCTCATTGGGCGACGTAAGGATAAGAAAGACAAGGGCAAAGATCGTGGATATGCTGCTCTGGAAGGTGAAAGTTCTCCTGAAGAAGAACTGGACACCAAGTAAGCTAAAGCGAATCTGCAATTTTTGCAATAACTTCTAAAGTTTATTTTTTCCATCCAATTAGAAGCCCTTCAAAATCAAAAAAGTCAAAAACATTTAAATTTACGAGCTCAAAAAGTAAGGAAAAGCGTGAAAAATCACGTGACAAGGAAAAGGAGACAAAACCATTAGAAGAGGAACCAGCACAAAAGACAAAAGATAAGGAAAGGGAAAAAGAGAAAGATCGACATCATGACGAAAAAGAGCATAAAAAGAAAGACAAAGAACGTAAAGAAAAGGACAAAAAGGAAAAGTTCGAAAAGAAAGATAAGAAAGATAAAAAGAGCAAACAATTGCAACAGGAAGACGGCAGCGCTGTCGAGGAAGTCTTAGCGCTTGGATATCCTATCTTTGGTGTTTCCATTAGTCTGGCCACAGAACGTTCCCGCTGCCATGATGGAATTGATTTGCCGTTGGTAGTGCGCGATTGCATCGACTATCTGCAACAGGAGCAGTCGCTCAAATGTGACCATATTTACAAGGTAGAGCCTATTAAAACTCGTTTGTTGCACTACAAGAGATTATATAACAATCGCGATAATGATGCGTCTGTGGATGATATACCCACCGCCTGCAGTTTGCTTAAATTGTTTCTTCGGGAGCTCCCGGAACCTGTGCTGACTACAGATTTAGTAGCACGCTTTGAGGAGGTGGCTTCGCATCCCAAAGTGACCGAGCAGCAGACGGAGCTGCAGCAATTACTAGAGCAGCTGCCAAAATGCAACCGCACTTTATTGTCCTGGATACTATTGCACTTTGACGCTGTTATACAGCAGGAACGCTACAACAAACTCAATGCACAATCTCTAGCAATGTTGCTAAGTCCAACGCTACAGATGTCACACCGCCTAATGGTCGTGCTCTTATGCCACTGTGCGAATCTCTTTCCGGACGTCAAGCTGATAAAGTGAGTAAACATTGCACAGATTAGATTACAGTTCGCATGATGCGCCCTCAATATGATAGATCTCCAGAACTCGTTTTGGAAAACATGAGTGTAGTACCACGCAAACGGAATAGATTTCGTAAAATTGTCAACTTTTTGTTCAGGCAGCCTTTAATGTAAATATACTAATAGTGCATAAACTAAATATTAATATATCTTACAGATATGTTCCGCCACTTACGTCTAGCAGTCCTGGGCTCCCAGACAATCCGGACGACATAAAAACAGAGCTACGCAAGCAGGACAGTCTACTGACACAGATACACAGCGAAATGAATGCGGGCTTCATTACTAAGAAGCGTGAGGAGCAGCTTTGGGAGGTCCAGCGCATCATTACGCAGTTAAAGCGGAAACTACGAAGCAGTGAAAAGAAACTAGAAAAGTCTATTGATGAACTAGATAGCACCATCTCTGCACCACCAGCACGTCAGTCAGCTGTCCAACCAGCCGATCTAAAAGCACCTACCAACCCATCAGCAGTACCTACAGCTAACGCCAGCGAGGATACCATCGACTCGAAGTCTGTGCCCCCGCATAGGATCGCACCAATGCAGCAGCTTGATGAACTTAGCATTGCAACTTCCCCACCACCGATTGAATACACCATCGACAAGCAGACGGGCTATATGCTGTTGTCAAAAACAAATCCTCAGCGCGATGATCTTTTGAGGCTGCAAATTGAATACGACGAATTAATGAATTGGCAAAACGAACTCAAAACTCGCATTCTTGCCGAGCGTAACGAGATCTTCCGCATGAAACAATTCTATGAACAGGAAATATTAAAACCGCTAGTTGCGCCAACCATAAGCCAGGAGCAACTTCCTTCAGAGGGTGACTACGAACGAATCATTGAACATTATACACGAGAAAATGCGCTGCTTGAGCACAAAAAGCAAATGCTGGGCACGGAACTCAAGGAGGAGCGACGGGCCTGCATTGCTCTTCAAGTTGAGCTACGAATGCAGCAGTTTTAATTAATACAAATTTTTACTCAATTTATGTGTATCGAACAAAACGAATTCAAAATATATCCTAATATAAGAAAAAGCTTAGCTTCAAACAAAAGATTTCGCGCGCTTTTCTTTAAATCAGTTGGCAGCACCGTATTGCAGCAACAGCTGTTAAAGCGCAACAACACACTCAGAATTTAACCTTGCCGAAAGTTGGCTGAAAGCTTTTGGTGAATAGCTATTGGGATTTTGCAAGTTGCGCAGCTGCTTATTGTTTAGCATACCAATTTTTTAAGAATTTATTAAAAACAAAATAAAAATGTTGAAGCAAGTTACCAAACAATTGGCACTGCAAGGCGTGCGCAACTTTTCGGTCAGCCAACAGGTGAGCAACAAACAAAATAATGTATCAAAGAAATTTTTCTAATGCCACTTGCCGATTGACTTGCGGTTTACGTAATGAAAAAAATGAACATCACAAAAATAACTTTTTTTGTGCACTGATACAAGATATTTGTACTCATGCTTAACTCTTGACTGAACGTTTTGTATTTTATTTTCCTTTTCGGCAGAATAACTATAAGGTGACCGTATGCGGCGCCTCTGGCGGCATCGGTCAGCCGTTGTCGTTGCTGCTGAAGCAAAATCCCCTGGTCACGGATCTGGCTTTGTATGACATCGTGCACACACCCGGTGTAGCTGCCGATTTGTCTCATATCGATACTAAGAGCAAAACGGTTGGATTCATGGGCGCCGACCAACTAGGAGATTCCCTGAAGGGTAAGTGGGGAGAACAGTAAGTGAGGTTAGGTTAATATCCAACTGAAAATACCACATGAACATAAGTTTATTAAAGTATTTTGATTATGCTGATGTGATTTGCATAGAGAAGAGAAAAATCAAAATGTCTTCTTCTAGTATTTTCATGTATATGCGAAATATAACAGATAAGAGTAATTGATGTGATAAGAGGAACTTTATTGGACCTTTATAACTGGCATTTAATCAGTGCACAAACTTATCGCTACTTAACAGTAGCCTCTTATTTGGAGCATAATACGAAAGAGCAAAGTGCTTTCATTAAAATGATGTATTATCGTATAATCGTATTGGTTGCATAAATTATATTCAAAAGGTTCTGATGTCGTTGTCATCCCTGCCGGTGTGCCCCGTAAGCCTGGCATGACTCGCGATGATCTGTTCAATGTCAACGCTGGCATTATCAAGGACATTTCCAACTCCATTGCCAAGAACTGCCCCAAGGCTCTGGTGGCTATTATCACGAATCCCGTCAACACCTGCGTGCCAATTGCTGCCGAGATTCTGAAGAAGGTAAATTTTGCTTTAATCAACAACATTAAGTAAGTTGTCACTAATTGTGTTTATGTAGGCCGGCGTGTACGATCCCAAGCGCTTGTTTGGCGTCTCAACTTTGGATGTGGTGCGTGCTCGTGCCTTTATTGGCCACGCCCTCGGCGTTGATCCCCAGAGTGTGCAGATTCCGGTTATTGGAGGCCACTCCGGTGTCACCATTCTGCCAGTGCTATCGCAAAGTCAGCCTCAGTTCAAGGGCAACCAGGATGCCATTGAGAAACTGACTGTGCGCATTCAGGAAGCCGGCACTGAGGTGGTTAAGGCTAAGGCTGGTGCCGGATCAGCCACCTTGTCGATGGCTTACGCTGGCGCCCGCTTTGCCGGCTCCCTCCTTAAGGGCCTTAATGGCGATAAGAACGTCATCGAGTGCTCGTACGTGCAGTCCACCATTACGGAGGCGACATTCTTCTCCACGCCACTGGTGTTGGGTAAGAATGGTCTGCAAGAGAACCTGGGACTGCCCAAGCTTAACGACTATGAGAAGAAGCTGCTGGAGGCCGCCATTCCCGAACTTAAGAAGAACATCCAGAAGGGCATTGACTTTGCCAATGCTTAAATATAAACAGATCGCAGCTACCCACTAGCCAGTCAGTCAATCGGCCCCCACTGTTTCCATCATTAGTTATCATTTAGTATTCATACTAGCATTGGTTATTTACTTAACAAATTAAATCGTTTTAAGTTGAAAAGTGTAAAATAATCGTTTGTCCAAATATTAAAATGCTATTCGCTCAACATCCTTAAAAATCAAGCTTACATTTGTGTACCAACCATTTTTGGGAATCAATAAGAATGTGTTTTCGATGGAACATATGGATATAATAGTTGAATATTCATTTTAGCATCAAAAAGCGACACCTACAACAGACAGCTATCATATTATATATAAATGTAAGTCAAATATTAATTAAGATTTGCAGCGTGTGTTGGAGAATTCGTTATCCATTCATAATTTGATGTCTGCCTCCCACTAAAAAGGGGCAATAAAAATAATGATATATATTGTTGAGATTCACTCTATTTCTAACTAGGACTATATGTTTAAGGATATAAGCCTGAGCAAGGATTTTGAACCTAAAATAAACGGTTTAGGTAATCAAATCTAATCTAATCTTTGTCACCTTTCGGTATCAGCACGTCATTCGGAGAAGCATAACTCAAATTTCTTCAAAGTTTTCCTCTGCAATCAGGCCAGAGCCCAAACTATAAAAGCTAGAAATCCGAATTCCCACATTAGTTCATTCATAAATAAATATAGACATCTATATAAATATACATTATATGTATTAATATACTAAAGCAATTCAAGCCTGAGAACGGATTGTCTTCAGTAGACTTACACTAAACGGACTAAGTAATTGATAATCAAGTGACATTTCAATTTCGTAAGTAACAAACATTATGTTACGTTACGTTACTTAGATCATGTTTAAGCAGTGTTTTTTCGTATTAAGTCCAACAGCAAGAGCCATATTGAGTAGCTAGTAGCGAGTAGCGAGGTATCTATTAGTCGATCGTATGCTTAAACAATAATTTATCATAATCGTCTTTAATGGCAAATCTACTGGTATTTTTTAATAGCTACAACATTCAAGTTCACGTTAACACCTGAAACTTAGTAATAAGTTAAAAGGAAGTATGTTCATAAGATTTTGTAATTAATATAAGTAAGGGTATTGGGTGTCCAAGTCTAACTTTTTATTCTATAGATGCACTGTGCGAAATACACAGCGGTACAGTTATAGTCCCCATCGCATTGCGACTATCTGTGTTAAATAGTTTTCCTCAGTGTATGCAGCTCAGTCATGGGGCAAGCTATGTTTTTCCTGAGGCTCTCATACACACACCAATACATGCGCAGCCAATTAAGCTTCATTAAGATCAATTGAAAAACTTGCCCGCATGTCATATTTGCGCCTTACTCCACCTTCCCCTCGATTTGCCCAGTATGCCTGTAGTTGTGGACGGTATGTGCCTAGTGCGTACACATTTTGGAATTTCTTGACATATCGCATATTCATATTTACATACATATGTGTGTATGTAAATATATATGAATAAATATATATAGATACATGTCTGTTTCGTTAGAAGTCGTAAAAAAAGCAATTGTCAACCATAAAAGCTTAGTATTATATTTTAAAACATTGTTCTTCTTTCTGATTAGATCATGAAGAGCTGAGTTGTAATTGTTTTCTGACTTTTGTATATATAAATTATTTTCCAAAAAAAATATAACATTACTTTATCTAATAATCAATAATCAGAAATCAGCAGAATGTGTTTTTAGTCTTACCACTCTTGGAGGCCTACAAATAACTAATGTAAAGCTGAAAAGCTAATCGCTTAGATATCCTTCAACAAATAATTTGTTTGCACCTAATTGCAGTGGATTAGTCAAGCGTGATAACGTCTTCAATCAACATGTAAAGATTGCTATTAGGCAATTAGATTTGTTAATTGAGCCACTAGTGGCGATTGACCCAAGTCCAATATAACTCGAATCTATTTGATCAGCACATGAAGCACACACCCCCGACTTAATTATCGACGATCAAAAGGCAACGATAACAGCACCAAAACAATCAATTGATACAATTTCATTCATAAAATCAGATCAAAATGCAAGCAAAAATCACTGAGCGCTCAAACATGATGACGACGACGACGACGACGCTTCGATGTCTCCTTTTACTGATTGGGCACTCAGTGACCAATTGGTCCGAGCATTTTTAATGAAATAATGAGCAGGAATCAATTTCAGTCGCTTACTATATACAAAACAAATACAAATACATTTTTGCCGGCCGGCCGGCGTTTTTCATTACTTATTGCACTATATATTAAAACAAATTGGTAGCCATGGATTTTCCAGCAGAACGCCCAAGTCCCAATGTCACTAAGTGAGCGAGTGAGTGAGTGAGTGAGTTTGTAAGCGACCTTGTACAATTTTATTTAATTACAAACAATTAAGCCACACACATCGGCCGAGCAGCCAAAAACGATATGCGACGCCCACAACGACAACAAAGTGCTATAAATTCAATTATAAATTAAGATCACAATACTCATTGATGCTGCAATCCAGTTTATTCATTCATAAATCGTTCAAATTAAATTGAACTCTTATCGACTCCGATATCGATACCTGTTAAATGTAATCGATGAATTGCCTTTGAATTTTAGTTATCAGTTACTCAACATATTCAAGTACAAGTACAAACACAAACACAAACACAAACACACACATATACTACAAATGGGAACGCTCAATGCTTGTATACAAATTCTAAAATAAAGAGTTTGCACGATGCATGCTCGAGCTTAGTTTACCTCAACAATTGCAATACACGTTCATCTTCTTTTTATATTTCTTTTACTATAGTTTGTATCTGTATAAAGAACTCTATTCAAGGTCGAATGATCGTTTATTTCAGTTATCTCTTAACGATGATTTCACAGCCTTTATATTTATTTTCGCCAATCGTCAGTGTATCCTATAAATCTTTAAGATTTGGCAGCTATAATCACACCGTTTAAGTAATCAGTGGCAAAGGCAGACTGAATCAACATCTACGTTGAACCATATTAAATGGCGCCTTTGGCTTAAATAAGTCACAATTGTCAACAATTAATTTGAATTACGCGCGCTGCGTTGGGATTTTTTTGTGATCCGAGAAGAGTCCGACCCAGAGCCAATTACAAGGGCCAAGGCAAGCCAAGCGAAGTGGTTGTCATCTTTCATATGTATGTTTGAGCTCCATATGTGCTCTATACGATTCTGATTGAATTTAATTTATTGGCGTGTTCTCACTTTCACTTTGATTGCATTAAGTTGTATCTGCTATATTTCTTACACCAATAACGCAATAAATGACTAAAAATAAAACAATTTATATTTTTGGCTTAGCAGATAGTGAAATATTTATATAATTTGAAGCTAGAAATGTGATTTAAATTATGGCTATCCGCAAAACGCAGGATTTCATATGATAATACGTTCGTTTTCCAATACAACAGATTTTTTCTCAGAACAATTTCTATTCATTGCATTCAAAAATAATCTGTTTTATATTTATGTTCATATTTCGTATCTAATGTGTTTACATTTTAAGGCTTTAAATCATTTGAAAACGCATATTGGCCAAATCTCTGGACGCATTTTAAATAATATTATATATTAATAACAATAATAATAAGAGAATAAAGTTTCTCTATAAAAAATGTATAAATCCAAATTATTGTAAAATCTGAAACTGACCATAAATTTATTAATATATGGTGGTAGCTAGTGGTAGTAGTCCGTAGTAATTGTAAGTAGAGTTAGTAGTTAGTAGTAGTAATTCGTAGTAGTAAGTAGTAGCAGTAGTTAGTGGTAGCAGTAGTTAATAATAGACATATTTAATAGCAGCTAGCAGTAGTAGTAATAGTTAGTAGCAGACGTTAATAGCAGTCAGTAGTAATAGTTAGTTCCGTTGTCTCTAGTTTTTAAGGCAGATGCGACGCCAAACTGTTAAGTTTAAAAATCGCTTTACATAATCTGGAGGCTATAGTCGTATTATTGATAACGTATTACAACTTAAGTCTTGGAATAATGTTGAATTGAGATCACGAGTCAGAGGCAGTTGACGTGAATGATGGTTGTGAATACTCTTATGGCTCGTGATCGTTCGGGTCAGATGTCAGAGACGTCCGCACATCCGTTGTCATCGAGCCTGCGCAGAGTCTCATCATGTAAAGTGCTATGCTAAAGGGGGTAACAAGTGGACAGGCAACGAGTGGACAATGGGCAACTGCAACCCCAAAGTGCCATAGAGAATTAACAAAATATGAAAAACTATACATCTTTGTCACGGCGGGGCCTGGGGCCCGACCGACTTGGAGACATTGTCTCGTACCGTGGGCTGCGGATTTCGAAACGTTGCTGTTGTTGCTGGCTGGCTGGCTGGCTGTCTGCCTGCCGGTGGCTTGGAGAGTGTCTGCCCGACAGCCGACAACAAATAGCGACAGCAGAAATGGAACTAAAGTACAAAAACTATTTGATATTTTATGCGGGATTTTAAATTGATCTTAACGAAGCTTAATTGATTGCCACTGTATTGGTGAACTGCTTTGCCCAACTCTGGACTCTGACACTATGTACACATATATATGTGTGAGTGCCTGTGTGTGTGTGCACGCCATATTGGAATTTCGTTGGCGCAGATCACAATTACATACGAGAGTGCGAGGTATACGATCATATATTATATGTATATGTTTGTGAACGTAAGTATGTATGAAGAGGCATAGCAAAAAGCAAAACAAACAAAAATACATATATGCATAAGTATATCGTAATACAATGTGATAATATTCAACTGGAGGATGAGAATGCTGAAAGCTGAATGATGATGATGCTGCCAAGCTGATGCTGATGCTGAGGAGTGACTGTCACTGGGTTCAAAACAAATGTGAACAAGTGCGACTTGTGTGTGTGCGTGTGTGTGTGTGCTTGTGGATGTGCTGATGTGTGTGTATCTTAATGGTTATGGAAAAAATATGAAAAATTGTCGCTTTCAACAACAAAAGTTTAGGCAGCGCAATTTGGTTTGTGTGACCAACTGTACCAAGTTTCAGAAGCTGATGAAGAAAACCAAAGCGCGAATTTGTATTTGATTTTAGAGCATATCTTCAAAAAGTGTTCTATTCGTTAGAATATTAATACATAAATAAACTAACAATTGCCAAATAGTCATATTTTTTCATTATGAACCTTAACCCTCATTCGATGACCTCTCATTAGTTGTAAGTCTATTTAGATAATTAAGATCAAATCAAGATTTCGAAGGTATTGAACACTTTTGCCGAGATCTTGGTTAATCATTAACTCTGTCTGTGTCCTTTGCTCGACGTCTCAGTCGCCCCGTTGTCATTGACTTTTCATCTCGATCAGATGCTATCCTCGTTGACTTTTCTTAACCCTCAAAGCCTTAAGTCAGCAGGACAGCCCCGAAGCTATCGAACACCCCATCTGAGGATATTCCCGCACCATGACAGTGCCCACATAATTGGCGCAATCGCAATGCAAAATGTTGTCTGATTATTCACACGCAAGCGTCCGGACTAAGGCTGGGTCACATCATCTCTTCAACTGTGGGGTGGCTGCTTTCTTTTGCTCAACGCCGATCGCGTGTTTGTTTCCCATTCTCGATTCTATACTATTTCCGCTGCCCGCATTTTGAAACCTGCAAAGACAAATCCGTCGTTGTTGCCACATAGCGCGACCAAAAGTATCAAATTGAGGTTCTGATATTCTTTCATGAGTTCTGCGTCGATTGGAAATGGGAATATGTATGTTCATCCTTAAGAGCGATGCGGTCTGACCCTGGGAACTTCAGGTTAAAGTTTTTGTTTCCTTCGCCAGGTCAATGCGGGCATCAGCTCTGTTTAGCAGTGTTGGGATTGGGTGGTGTGGATTGATTAGAGCCTATAATAAATGGTGAGACTGTTTTAGATTGATCATCAATAGATCTAAAAGACGGAAATATATTAATTTTTGATTTAATGATGGGCATCTGGCATGGATATCAAAAAGTTTTACTAATTAATTGTTGCTAAAGAGTTCAAAAGCAACGATAAAAAGAAAGAGGATGAGAAAAGCTTATACTAGAGTATGTTTGTCTGTATATATGCATATTAAAATTATGAAAATTAAGTGTATAAACTCGTGGGTACCCCAAATTTTGCATCTATTTATCCATACAGTTTTAAAGCGATTTACCAACCTTGGCCTTGGACTATTAAGCATCTTATTAAATTGAAAAATGTCTTTATGTAGTTGGTTTTTTTTTGCTATATATAATTTAATTTTGCTACATTTAATTTTTTTAATAAATGTAAAACTTTCAAATCAACCGCGACACTTTAATAGTGAAAGGAATATCTCTTCCATCCACACATAATTTACTCCCACTTTGTTTTCATAGTCCAATTCCTTTTGTGGAATCTTAAAATCTATACCAAAGGCCAACAATTTTATGACTCCTAAGTGCCCTCCTGTCCGATACCAGCATTTGGCCAAAAGGTCGAGCACACAACCAAACGCGCGCCAATCCTCCAAGGGTGAGGTTCAGCCAAGGGTAGAGGGTGACACGCGCAGCACCAAAGATAGAGAGAGAAGAGGGAGATGGTCTCACAAGCGTGCGACGCGATCCTTGAGGTAATGTGGTGGTTGGAAACAACAACGATAACAACACGACCCTCATGCGATCGAATGGCGTGAGAGAATTCCAATTAGAATGTGGACACTAATAGGCATGTATAGGGATTCGTTCTGACCAAAGCAACAAACATTTGCCGATATGCAGGCAGGTGATCGATAATTCATTGTTTAAGTAATGCAGAAAAATTAAAAATAAGCACATTTATTATATTCACTCACTGTGGACAATTGTGGACAATTTATATTGAGATTCAGTTTTAGGACAAACATTTATCATACTTAAAATTTTATTTTTATATATATTCAAAAAACTTTATCTATTAATCATTATCAAGCAATCGACATGAATGCGATATAATAATAAAAAGACAAAAATTCCGAATACTACGGATTCTAGTTTTCCTAAAAGCCAATAAGCAAATACAACTGATACCCATTTTCCCAGGATATTTCGATCCTATCCGTTAGTTCTGCTGGCTGCTGGGTATCGGAAAACTATGCGCATAAAACCCGCTGTCAAGCATCACGAACTGGCGACGAGCAGATTCTCAGGGCAAAACAAAAACCACACCCCACTGTTGTAAAGGCAAAGCCAAAGCCAAAGGCAAAAGCAAAAGCAAAAAGTCACACGCGCCAGCATAAAACACAAACACAAACACAAACACACACTGCACAGCCGGTATCTCGCTCAATGGTCTCTCTCTGTCTCTTTCTCGCTCTTCCGCTGCGGCGGCCATTGCTCGTTGCTGATTGGTCGAAACTGTCTACGCTGCGTCGCTGCTGGTAAATTGGTATAAAAGGGCAATCATCGGGACTTGTGTGCTCAATTAAGGCCACAGTCACAGAGTCGAACGGTTCGTAGTGCACGGAGCTGAATTATTGCAGTGAGTGAGTGTCGTTGCAGCATCATTCAACAGGAGTGGCAAATAAATAAAGGCAAATGTATTTGCGCGTGCGCCAAAAACTAAATGCAATTAATTCATTTACTACAATTAGTGATCAGTGACAATTGATTTTGATTTTACTTTGCGCGCACTTTGATTAACAACTAAATGGCTTAACACTCAAACAACACATCAAAAATAACTATAGAAAGTGGCTTAGTGCTCGTGTGCTTAAAGTAATCTTTGACTGAGTTTTTTAAAATGGAGCACGCCGGCTTCGATGATCAAATCTTCGGTGACTTTAGCGGCGGCCCATTAAGTCCATTGGGCGCCAGTAAGCCGTTGCTTCCGACATCCACGGCAACAGTCACGCACACTAACCTGCATCCCGTGATGCTGGGCAGTGTCGTTCACGAGCTATGCAGCCAGCAACAGCAGCGGCTGCCCGATTGCAACACAATTTTGCCAAATGGTGGCGCCGGCGGCGGTGGCTCTGGGTCGCCTAATTATGCGCAGAAAATGGACTTTGGCAATAAATTGGGCTGCTTCTCGCCCAGTCAGAAATACGAGTATATGACAACGCCCCAGAAGCTTGTAGAACAGCAACAGCAACCACAACAGCATCATCAGCATTATGCAGTAACACCGCCGCCTCCACTTTCGCATCCGCACAACCACAATGGCATGTTGCACCATAAGCCATCCCAGCAGCAGCAACAGCAGCAGCAGCAGCTGGTGGGCATTATGAACGATTACCATGCGCTAAATGGCAAGTTGGACTACTCGCCTAAGGATCCTTATGAGCCTCAGCCGCAGCATGTTCAGATGCAGCACCAGCAGCATCTATACGGCGGCAGTCCTCATCATAGTCATTCGCATGGCCACGTCCATGGTCATGAGGATGCCAGCAATGGCAATGGCAATGGAAATGGGTTACTGGAAGCGACACCGCTGCTGCTCAGCAATACGACAAACGGCAAACATAAGAAGCCAGAGGAAATGTGCGTTCAACTGGAGAATGGATCGTCAACGCCGAACGGCATCACCAATGGTAATCCCACCAGTAACAGCAATGCCAGCAACAACAATAATAACAGCAACAATAATAGCAGCAACAGTTCCGTTGTCCCTGCCACGAGTGGAGCGGGGTCAGCGGGCTCGGCTGTTGGCGGCGTTGTCGCGGTGCCAGCCGCCAAAAAGGACAACAACAAAAAGAAGGGCGATCCCAATGGCATCAAAAAAAAGAAAACGAGGTAAGTGCCACAAAGTGCTGACAAAACAATTTCCAATCAACTTAACGACGGGAAATCAATGAAATTATTTCACAATTTATATATTACACAATGGGGCGTATACTTAATGTGTTCGGTGACAGAGTTAGCATCAGTCCACATATATGTATATACTAAGCTGCAGGGGGTACACTGTTACTGTACTGTCTCCTGTACTGCTTCAACAATAACTAAACATATGATATTGACAGTTAAGGAGCAACAACTCCGATTTAAGAGAATTTCATTTCATCTAAATACTAGAGAGCCTTTCTTGAATTCATTCGAAAGAAAAGCAATCAAATTAAATAACATTTCGTTTTTAGTTATGAACAGTTAAAAGGGTTGGGTATTTCAAATAAATATCTATATACAAATACCAAAAAAAAACAGTTTGACTTGAGCCTTAGATTAGCTTTTCTAGAAAGCAACATGTTTGAAAGGTAAAAGGAGAAGGGGTAAAGAAGAGTCAACTGTAAATCTCTTAGCTTCTTAACACTTAATGGTTGTCCTTTAACACATTTGAATTATATGGACAATCAATCATATTCTCTGTTCGTTTGCATTTACAGAACCACCTTTACTGCTTATCAACTCGAGGAATTGGAGCGTGCGTTTGAGCGTGCTCCATATCCGGATGTGTTTGCGCGAGAGGAGTTGGCCATCAAGCTGAATCTGAGCGAATCCCGGGTGCAGGTTTGGTTTCAGAATCGACGTGCTAAATGGCGCAAACATGAACCACCTCGGAAGACTGGATACATAAAGACGAATACACCGCCGACGGCAGCACTGAACAGCACATTGGCTCCGCCTTTTGCCAGTTTCCCACAGACGACAACGGTCACGCCGCCGGGCAGCATGGACAGCTGGACAAGCTATCAGACTCCTTATGAGCTAAGCCCTCAGTTTAGTCTGCTCTCGCCGGCTGCTAGTCCCTATGGCACCTATTCTGGCCAGTATGGCACCTATGTGCACGAGAGCCAACTCTTTCCCATGCGTCACTTTGACTACGGCAGCCCGCCACGCATTGAGATGAACGGCACCAGTGGTGGCGGTACAGCGAACGGCAATCCGGATGCCAGCGATGGTTATCAGTCGACCGATCTGCAGCAGCAGCAGCAACAACAACAACAGCAGCACCTTGACGGGAGCACCAGTACTCAGCTAATTACTGTACACCAGCAGCTGAATGGAAAGTATCTCAGTGCCGAGGAGGCTAAGTATGTCCAAGTACAGTGCCAACCCCCAACGGGACTAGAGGAGAACACTGCTAGCTGTCATATGGATGCGCATCATTATGTCAGCGCTGTGGCGGCTGCAACCGCGGCATCCGGCAGCGATGACAACGACAGTGCTTTGCATACTGTGATCAAGAGCGAGGAAGCAGGCGTCACTGTTCAGCAACAACAGCAGCAGCAACAGCAACAGCAACAGGCGCAAAACTATGTCCTGCCGCCTTTTTTGAACTAAGAGAAATGCTCACACAGCGACGTCAGCAGCGACGCTTTGTCCCTGCCTCTGCCAGTGTCTCCATATTCGCCACAGCGCGCTTCAAACGGCCATTTTGATTTTACAATACAATCAAATCAATGCTGCCCAAAATACCGTTGCATGCGTGAGTGTGTGTGTGAGTGTGCAGCATTTCAAACAGTCTTCAAAGTTTTAGAAAATACCAAACAAAAATATAGAAAATATGGAGCAATTAGCAGAATTGCTGCCATGGGTTCCTTGTAATTTTAAGCATAGTTAAGTTGACCGACAACCACAACAACAAAATCAACAAGTCTTGCCAAAACTTAACGCTTTTTATTAGCCTTACTATTAAAAATAAAAAACGTAATTCTGTTGGCTTTTCCCAATCGCCAACGTGTACGGAATGCATTCCAAATGTGCCTTATTAGCAGTGACCAGTTTGATAAGACAATGCGTTTCGCTTTGTCCCAATTCTGGTTCATTATTATTGCCTCTAGTTGTATGTATAAATGTAGTATATCAAAAACTGTTGTGTAGATAGACAATAAAGTGTTTGTATGTTTGTATAATTGGCGTATAGTATATAAACAAAAAATATTATACATAATACATATGGTATATAAATCTTAGCTTTATAATTTCGAGTTTCAGCTGCTTCAAGTTTTCATTAATCTAAGATCTAGCCTTCTTCTTAATACGAAATACTATAGTAATTTGCAATGTATATATATAAGCATAATAATACATATATATTAAAGAATAAAGTAACATATTTTGTACTGCACAGAATTCATATCAAACAAGACTATGAGTAGAAAACAAAAACAAAAAAAAGATGACCAGATCAGAATTTACGCTTATATTCGTGCACAAAATGCATTTAGTTTTTAACCAAGATTCTAAGATCACCTTTGAATTACATAATAGTTCAAATTTTCAAATTCGATTCGTACTATTTTTTGCCATACGATTAGCTAAAATGAAACGCCTTGCTCCAAAACTGTTTGCCAATCGATGCCTTCAAAAAACGGATGTGCCTGAAGCTGTTCATAGTCCAAGCGCAGCTCTGGTGACAGTTGAATAAGTTGCTCTAGCAAATTTCGCGCATTATCCGATATGTCTAAAGCATCTGATGGATATTGCACACATCCATAGAGTTCTAGCTGGCCAGGATGCATAGCCTTGTACGACTGCAATTGCAAATCATTTAGTTTACTTATATAGGTATAAAGCTTTAGGAATCTTACCACGCCCAGCAGCAGCTGGTAAAGCACCATTCCATAGCTCCACCAATCTGAGCGAAAGGTAAGGGGTCGTTCTGGTGCCACGAAATGATTGCTTACAGCTACCAAGTTCAGCGCCTTGTGGATGTAGTTGTCATCGGAGGTTAGACCCTCATTCTGATAGAAGTAAGTGAGCATTAATTGGCCTGACTTTCCAAGCAAAATGTTTTCCATATGTAAATCTCGCAGTATAACACCTTTGCCATGCAGACTATGCACAGCCACGGCCAACTCGCAAGCCCATTGTCGCAAGCAGACTTCAGGCAAACGTCTTGCCGTTATCTTCTGTCGTCGTGGTGTCAGCGCTCCTGCTTGTAAGCTGCTCAAAGTATGTGAGACTGATTTCAGCAACTGCTGCGAACTACGCAACAATTCGGTAACATCACTGGCGACTGTCAATGGCTGCTCCGCAGGGAATAAGTTAGCGTAGTCAACACACTTGCTGGTTGTAGGCGTGTAGCTTTGTATATAGTCGTACAGGCGTCCACCTTCCGCTTGCTTGAGCAATAAGAAAATCTTCTGGTCCGATTGGAAGTATGCTAGCAGTTGGCACATGTAGGGTACGCGCTGTGGTAGAAAAATACTTTGAGTAGGCGAATTGCTTGCTGGTTTTTCGATGCCTTTCATGATGCACGTTGGCTGCGACTGTGGTTCTGTTATGCACTGCACCTGCATGACTCGATCTCCCAACACTTTCAGCACTTTGTACTTAGCTAACTGATTCCAAGCACATTCCAATTTCGTCACATGGTCCACCTCATCCAGCGAGAGCTGGAACTGCATTTTTTTTTTACCATTTCGACCAACATCGGAGCGCAAAAAATTTGCATAAATGTCATCGGCACGCGCCAAATATTTGGCAATCTTCGCCTTGGCTATAAACTTACGATCCTCGTTACCATCACATTTAGCACCGACAAGCAGCAATTCCACGCCGCGCTTATAACGCTTATGCGCGTCTTCATATTCCAAATTAACCTCTGACTGTACAGCATGACTGAACTCCAAGGCAGCCTCATAAATGTAATCGCTGTCTTCGCTCTCCACAGAGGCCATGGGCGTTAGAAGGCGTGCGTAGTCGCGCTTTGATTGTTGTTCCTGTTTTTCAATACCCTTATCTTTTCTAAATTGCTGTTGCTGTTGCTGCTGCTGCTGGTCATTCTGATCGCTATCGCTGTTAGGTTTGTCACAACGTGGATCCAAAGGCAATATGCCATTAGCGTTATGCGGATCATAGGGCAAATCGAGTTTATCGCAAATTTCAGCTATTGCTCCACTGCCAGGTATCTTGAGTGAGCGCTCCACATACAATTTTCGCAGCGGTGATGAATTCGGTGATTGCGCTTCGCTAAAAAACTGTGTGAAACTGTTGCATTTGTATAGTACCGGATGCTGGGCTGCAAAGTCAAGCAGTAAGAGTATATAGTCTTTTCGTAGCTTTATCACATCCTCATCAAAACGTTTGAAGTAGCTGCTGTCTGTAGGTTCGGGTAATTTACCCGGCAGCTGCATACTTTTGTGCCGGCGACTAAGTTCCCTATGCAGCCGTTTAATCTCATGAAATCGTTTCCATACGACTAGGCATGTTAATGCCTGAGGCACCGAGCGAGGGAAGACCTAGCAATGAAGCGTTATATTAAGTATATAATTCTTGCAAGTCAAAGGATACTTACAATCGATGTAATCTTGTAAATGGTATAGCCTCCCTTGTGCTGTTGCGTATCTGTTACAGTAAAACTGTGTATCCACCCTCCCAAATTTAAGGTCATCGTAGCACGAGGGGATACCAAGTCCTCTTAATGATGAGCTTGATGTGATTTGGCAAGGGAGCCAAAATTTGGTTGCACAAACTATTTGTTTTCTCTTTTGGTCTCTGATGTTGACTGATTTGCGTAGATTTATGTTCAAATATTCAGTGAGCGTAAAAGAGAACACTTACCTTCAGTATTTGCATGACATAGATATATTAAAACTATGTTTTAGCAATTTTCTTTCATTTTGTGGCCACTATTTTTGTGTTGTCTTTAACTGAACAGATGGGAAGGAGACATAACAGACAGTTGATAATAACAGAATTAGGGCCTTAACATTTTTAAAAATGTTAGTAACTGTGAATATTCGAAAGTTCATCAAACTCCTCTATTAACTAAAAATGAAGTAAAATATTATTTTAAATAATTTACTATTTCCTAATTTACATTTAAACTGAAACCGAACTCAATAAACACGATAACGAATAATTGTTAGAACGAATATGAATGCGCAGCCCTAAATTTAATAAGAAAATATCGAAAAAACTGTGAATTCAAATAAGTTGGAAAGTTAGTCCTCAGGTCATAAAATCAATCTAGATGCTGAAAGATTTGTACGACTTTTCTTTTTTTACAGTTTTATTTAATTTTTTTTGGGCAATAATGAATAGTACACACCAATCGATAAATGATCGATAGCATAACAGTCACCATTATCGGTAACGTACTAGCATAAATACAAATTTGTACCTTGCAACACGACTTAAATTCGTATTAAAAGCAATTAAGATTTAAACTCTTTTAACGACAATTAATAGAATATTTGTTGTTATGTAGACATACTTTTCTTATTTATCGTACGATAGCCTGCTCTTATCGATATTTTAAATGATGTCGTGCATCGCCACCAAAGAGCCATCTTTTTTTGCCGCGCCTCTGCCTCTCATTCTCATAGACATTTTTGAGCGACCGACGACAAAGTAAGCGTTTTAAAATCAATCAAATAATTCAAATTAACATCATCTTGTGACAGTGTGTGCGGAAAGACAGTTAAAATTATAAATAGTTTTACAAACTGAAAAACTTTTGCGACGCACGCTCGTTCTCAGTGTATAAATTATTCATTTTACCCCCAAAACGTTCTTTACTGTACTCGCAGATTCGTGTAGCGTCCACGACGACATTGAAAACGGAACGGCAGCCGAACCGAGCGTGCGAGTGAGCTAAGCAGAGCGCTTGTCAACTCAAAAAGCAGTAGAGAAAAAGAAGGCGACGAAGACAGCAGCAGCATAATCGACGCCGCACGTACCGGGAGCATTTAAAATAATTTTTTCTGTGGATTAATTTTACTAAAAAGGATTTAAACACAATGACTGAACGTGAAAATAACGTCTACAAGGCAAAATTGGCCGAACAGGCCGAACGCTACGATGGTGAGTACAAAAAACGGGTCGAAAATTTTTTTGTCAGCGGAGCGCCAAGTTTTGGGGAGGGGTCCAGCGACATTGTCGTCGCGTGGCCTGCGCTGCGTCGAAAATTGTGGAAAATATCCACAATTTATACAGCGGGTGACAAGAAAAAGTAGCAATTATTAATTTTGCAGACATTTGTGTAGGTGCGCCTCTCTGCTTTACCAATGGCTTTTGTCAGAAGCGTCGAATCGGCGTCGCCGCATCCGATGAGTAGTGTTTCTGCGAAAAGACCGAATACCGAATGAAAAAGAAGATGACGAGGAGGCGAGGCAGCGCTGTAGAAAAGAATGTAAAAGAAATATGTAAAGCAAACCTGATTTTTACCGGCAAAAATTCGCGTGGTTTTCGTTTTTGCGTTGGCCTTTTCCAAAAAGCAACTTTGTTGCGTATTATTTTATATGTGGATATATATATTTTTGTATATATGTATACGTATATGTATTTAGCTACTGAACTAAGAAAATATTTAGGATGGGGGATTTTTCAAGTTGAAATTTTGTGTATTTAGTGTTTGGTGATAGGCGCGCAAGGGCTGCGCGACGGGGAAATTACATCGTTGCTAAGGGCTGTTTTGTAGTTACTTTTGTGTTGCCAAGCCAAACTTAAAGTAAAAAGGAAAGGAGCAACATAATTAAATATATATTTAAATGTGTTAACGGTTGACGTTTGCCTATATTCAATTGAGAGACGAAATCTTTTTCTTCGTTCTCTTGTTCCTTTCGCTCTATTTCGTCGGCACTCAAAATGTGCTTTTGTTGCGCAGCAGCAAGGCGGCGACGTCGTCATCATGCCGTACTGCGAAAAATCGATGAATGAATCGATTGTGTGACTGGGGCCTCTCAAATAGTCGCCGGAGTAACGACCAGTGACTGCTGCCAGACATTGGTTATATTTTCTTTTATTAGGTTTTATGCAAATTGGTGATTGTCCCTTTTTCTTAAATTATTCTAAAAGAACTTTCTCGCATTACTTAAGGGCAGGAACTTGGCAACTCTGCTTGATAGTGCAGAAAAGAAAAAAATTTGCACTAGCATTACTCATGCTTCTGTGCGCATGTGTATGTACATATGTATATATGTAAGCCTCAGAGAGGCATACGCACGCACGCTCACCGCTACTATCTTAACTACTCACACCATCCCGGTCGAACATTTTATTGTTGCTGGCTGCTTATTTAATTAAAAATACTTCAATTAATTAAAATGCTACGGCTGCTCAAAATGCAAAGCGCTAGGCGGCAGCCAGCATTTTTGGGAATTGACTAAAAAGCGCGCGCGCTGAACAACGTTGCCGAAATGTGTTTCCGTGTGTGTTAAAACGAGATAACTAGTGTTGCTGACACAGACACTGATGCCTCTTCTGCCCCAATACAGTGGTAGTCAGAAGTTTGCTTATGTTTCTTGTATTCGGACATAAGCATTAACTGTAGTAATTATAACCAACAATTCTACTAGCAATTGACAGGAATACTACCAACACTTAACAGAGGCAGCATTTTTTTTATCTCCTTTCCTCTTGTTGTTGCTTTGGCGGTCCAAAGAAGTCAATCAACTATTAGCAGCCACTGCGGTCCCGCACACAGACATACTTATACATATACACGTGAACATTAAAGTCTGTATCACATGTTTTTCTTCTTATTTTTGCCTGCGTGAGCTCCAAACTGTCCTCGTCTGTGTATTAGTACGAGCACTTGGCGTTGGCCTTGTCGCACTTGCGACAACTTTGGTCATGCTGGAGAGACTAATACAAATGCATTTCAGGCAGCCGGCAACGTCTGGCTTGCTTCTCTTTTACACCCGCTCTTCCCCTACGGCGCCCCCACACAACGCCAACTTTCCTCTTTCCCCCTCTATATACATTAACGTCAGCAGCGGTAGTTAGCCTTTAAGTGTGCTTTCAGGTGCGGACTGCTGCTGCTCCCGTTTATTCTAGCTACGTCTTTTCGAGGTCGCTGCTGTGCACTTTTTTGTTGACGTTCAGCTTACTGTCGTCAATGGAAACAGAATAAAGCGCAGAGAAGAGTTTACAAAATGTTACAGATTTGGCATTTTAGTTGTTCCTGTCTTATTTTACTTTTTTTTGCTTCTGTAATTACACCTTTCTAACGGCATAAAATTGCATATATCTGTCTACATAGATGCGTATACATATTTTACAAATAATTTGTGTTTGTAAGCATATTTTATATGTCGACAAACTCGCAAAGACTATATCCTATACCTCGCTTTAGAGATCCTTTTGTAGAGTACCTTTTTTAATGGCGGAACAAATTTGTCCAAAGTTTTAAACAGTGTATTAATGTGACGCGTTGTGGTTGTATGTGGGTGTACGATGAGGTAGGGAGGCGGTTATATTTTATATCTGGCGCTGTTGACTCTTGTTTTTTTGGCGTATCGTATCGGCGTTGTCGTGCCGTGGGAATTTTATCTGATTAATATATTATCTGAGCTTTTCTATTTTGTTTTTGATAAATTTCCAAATCTAGCTATATTTATCAAAAGTCATCTCTCTGGCATCTCCTCAGTGCCTTTGGATGCTTTTAACGCTGACGCACAGTGTTGGAAAATGCATTACGATTCTGTGCCATTGCCAAACAACAATTTTGAAGTTCACCTAAAAGCAGCAACAATGAGATGCTACTAAATTGAGCACCATGAATCACACAGGCAACTTTTTTCGAATTTTCACAGCTACGTGCTGCAACAGTATATAAAAGCAATACGAATAACAAAGCTCCCGCTGTCTGAACGTAAAATCATGAGGGGTATGATGGGGGCGGCATTCATACTTATATACATACATAGTCATACGTTAGCAACTCACTGCTTGGGAGAGAGAAAGAGTAAGAGAAAAAGAGAGCCAAGTCAAAATGCCACAATTACTCTATTTAGCACTGATTTGTTCCAATGTTTGCTAAAAATATATATTTATATATATATATATATATATATATATATATATAAAGATGTGTGTGTGTGTCAGTTGAAATGTTATCAATACGCACACAAATAACGACGACTCAAAAGTTGCAGCTGCCTTTCGGTAGAATTCAGAGTCACTGCAAATGCATGTGATTCATGACGCGATTTTAATCGGATGACGGCGTTGTCCATGTTGCTTACGTTGGAGAAATGTGCAACAATGTGTCTGGCGAAATGTTACGTTCCAGATTGTTGTTATCAACTCCATGACAAAATCGGTCTAAAACTGGCAAATACTAGTCACAGGAAACAGCCTATGTATATAATTTACCTGCGTGTGTGATAGGTTATGTCATTAAAAATTGGGAGTGTGTCTACGCATAGATAGTAAATATGTGAATGTATGTGTGGGATAGCCGATATGAAAAAGCAAACAACTACAGTGGATACTATGTAGAGGTAAATAATGATATAATAATTATTTGCAACATATCACATATCCCAGCAGTAATTACATATATTAGCATATTTAGTGCTTAACTATTTTTTTTTTTAATAATTTTTCATATTTTATTTGCTATCGCGCATTTACAGAAATGGTGGAGGCCATGAAGAAGGTCGCTTCCATGGACGTTGAGCTGACCGTCGAGGAGCGTAATTTGCTATCGGTTGCCTACAAGAATGTAATCGGAGCACGTCGCGCCTCATGGCGCATAATTACCTCCATTGAACAGAAGGAGGAGAACAAGGGCGCCGAGGAGAAATTGGAAATGATTAAGACCTATCGTGGTCAGGTGGAAAAGGAGCTGCGCGACATTTGCTCGGATATATTAAATGTGCTCGAGAAACATCTCATTCCATGCGCCACGACCGGCGAAAGTAAAGTATTCTACTATAAGATGAAGGGCGATTATCATCGTTATTTGGCCGAATTTGCCACTGGTTCAGATCGTAAGGATGCTGCAGAGAATTCGTTGATTGCCTATAAGGCAGCAAGTGATATTGCCATGAACGATCTGCCACCAACACATCCCATACGTTTGGGTCTGGCTTTGAACTTCTCGGTAAGTGAAATTCTGACAATGTTTATTTGAATTCTAAATAATCAAATGAGTTATACTTCCAAACCTTAGGTGTTTTACTATGAGATTCTCAATTCACCGGATCGCGCTTGCCGCTTGGCGAAAGCCGCATTTGATGATGCCATCGCTGAGTTGGATACGCTGAGCGAAGAGAGCTACAAAGACTCGACACTGATTATGCAGCTTCTGCGGGATAACCTCACATTATGGACGTCCGATATGCAAGCAGATGGTGCGTAATTGTTCATAATCAATATTGATTCACTTTTAGTTGACTAATGCTAAACAAATCTATACCGTTTTCCAAAACACAGACTCCACAACAGGCGATGGCGAACCCAAACAGGAAATTCAGGATGTTGAGGATCAGGATGTGTCGTAATTTAAGTAAACCCCCGCCCTTCCATTTAAAAACACAAAACAAAACAAAAACATATACCTTCTAAAGTAAATATAATACATATAATATATATGCATGCAACAATAAAAACAACAACACGCGCAACCGGGTAGTAAACAAAAACAACAACAAATACAGCATCATCAGCAACAAGAATCAACAGCAACGATAAGCGACTACTACAACAGGGGCAGCAGCAACCACAGAAATCCAACAACAAGAACATGAACATGAACAACCATAACAACAACGGCAACATCAGCAACATCAGCAGCAGCAAGTAGCAAAACACCACAAAATAGATACAAAAAACTCAACAAAAAGCGGCACAAACTGAGGGTGGTTATGGGCGTGGCTGTTGTTGGGGCTGGAATTAGGTGCAGCCGTCGTCGTCGCCGTCTTCGCTGTGGAATGCGAATCTGCCCTGGCTCCCAAAGCTACAGCAGCAGCAGCAGCAGCAACAACAACAACAACAAGCAGCAAATCTACTACATTTGAAATTTTTTGCATTCGAGAAACAAAAGCATTATATTATATTTAAATAAATATTATATTTAATTCTGAGAAGCGAAAACAAAATAAACTCATTTCAAACTAAATACACACTCACACACACACAGTAAGCAAAACGTACATTTCATTCAAAAGTTGGCATTAATAATCATTTAACAATCTATCAACATAAAAATGAGAACAACACATAAAATTCACAAATTCAATTTTAATTTTAAGCCAGTCATAAAAGTAATGAAATGAAATAAATTAAAAGAAAATAACACTCAAAAACAAAAAATTACAAAAATTAATAAGCGCAAATTGAATTAAAGCGAAGCAATGAAAACCGTAACTTAAAAAAAATACCAAAACAAAATGTATGAAGCAAATGCATTAACAAAACAGCAACAATTAATTTTAATTTAATACGAAACAAAAAGCAAATGTGAAGTAAGAACGAAATGAGCAAACAAGCAAAGTCAAGCTTAAATAAGAATAAACTATGAGGCGAAAAGGAATGTTAGTTAAAGTGAAATTCGAACGAATAAAAGTAAAACGAATTCTTAAGCTTAAATTTGTATGTATGTCAGTGTATTGTTCACAACACAGATTCACAGACACGATAAACAAAAACAGCAACAACCAATCATCAACAACGCAAATAGAAGAGCGTTCTCGGTTTACTATTTTATTTCTCTTTCTCTCACCGCTCTATTGCTCGCAAATAAAATAATTAGGCGCAGTTTACGTTAGTGTTTTTATAAGTACAAGAGTTTGTTTAACCGTTTTGAATTCACTTCGACACAAACATTTCATAAACAGAAAAGTATTTGTAGTTGCTAAATAAATGGTACACATATATTTAAAAATATATTGTATACATCTTAGTATATATACATTCAGATATATGTACTTGTATATTTTCTATGCCTACCACTGTAATTTGTAGAGATTTCGATTTCGAATATTTCCAAGCGAAAAAATCATCCCAAAATAACTACCTGCGACAAAATGTTTGCATTTAAAAACAATAATAACAAGCCAGTAAATATATAATTTATTTTAGCTGGTAATTAAAATCGATAACTTAAAGTTTATGTTTTCCCTCTTTGTTGCTGCGTTCGAGGTGAATAATTTGGCCACAACAGCAAATTTAATAACCAATTTGAAAAGTATTCTTTTCGCACACGATGCTTTTCAAATACTTTCCGCTTGTATTTTTCTTGTGAATAAGTATATATATATATATATATATATATATAGATATGTATGTATTTATATTGAAAACGCAGACGTGAAAAGCCGAGAAGAAAATTGAAGCGTTAGGCAGCAGTAAATACTTAAATAATATCGAAAAACACAAGTTTCATAAATGAGAAAAGTTAAACAACAAAATCAGCAAAACGCTAAACTGACATTCGTATTCATTTCAAATAAAAATAATTAAAAACAAAATTGAGCTTCAATTAATATTGCATTAACAATTGATTTATCACCAAGAGAGAAGGCATCGATATTTTATTTGTAGATGGGCTATTTATTGCTTAAGGTAATCTTGGATGAATTTGAAAATTTTCTTTTTATTACATTGGTTTTATATTAAAAATCGTATACTCTAATATTTTATATCTTATACTCTACCAGTTCTTATTCCTTTAATAGAAATTAGTTATCCCAGTTATAATAATAAGTTTAATATTCTTTATATGTTAATTTGATTAGATTAGAAGCTTAACTTAATCTAGGAGAAGATACAGGCGTGTTTCAACTTTAAATGGATATCAAACTAGCCTTGCGTTTCCCGTGGAAAACTTGGAACTAATACACTTTAATATAAAGTGCAAAATTGAAAAATCATGTTACATGTATCAATACTAGACACTCATAGGAGACATCGCAATGCAGTAGAGCCACATCTAAAAGTGCTCGAGTCCACTTCAGCTCAATGTCAGAGCCAGTGACATTGAATACACTCGCAACTGCAGTGGAACTAGGTCTAGTGGCCATTGTTTGGGTTGTGTATGGCCGACCGTCCGAGCAGCCCACCACCACCACAAGCACATAACAAAAGAGGTGCACCACATACGATACGGCATGTCATACGCCAATACAATTGCTCATATGTATATCTAAGTATGAAAATCTAGGCAAATTGGCAGACAGCAGCACAAAGTAGAAAAGCCAAAAGGCCTAACGATTTATTTGCGAAACGTCGGTAGGTCTGAAGACAACAAAATATTGGGAAATGACGCTTCAACTGCAAATTGAAAAGCTGAAAGGCTTGGATAATTACAAGGCGTGGTCGATGACAATGCGTGCGTATTTGGAGTCCGAAGATCTATGGACTGTAGTTGAGAACGGACCGGAGAACAATGAAGAGGTAGCTGCTTGTCCAATATACATTTTGAGTTCTCATTTATTGCCCAAGTTGACAATTTGCAGTCACTGCTGAAGGATAAACGTGCCAAATTCCTTATACTCTGCCTGATAGAAACGAAGCTCTGCCAGTTTATGGTCAGCATACGCACGGCCCGGGATCTGTGGAATTATTTGCGTACCCAGCATTCTCTTCGTTAAGACGTCCAATTTACCTACGCCAAATAGAGAAAAGAAACCAATAAAAATATATGCTTAAAATATTTACATGAGTGCTTTTTACTTCGCCTTGTGGCAGCTCTATGACCACGGGTTGTTCTTCGGGATCCTCGTCAAGTAGTCCCTCAAAGTGCCAGTTTAAGTGCTTGGCCAAACGTTTAATTAAGCGCTCAGCGCTTACCATGAGACCGCCAGCGTAGAGATTTACTAAGAGCTCGCGAACATCTTTGAAGACTGTGTTGTGCATCGTGGGCGCCATTAGCTCCTCAGGCAGGTGCGGCAACTGGTGAGCCAGCACTTCACTATATTTCATAAAGGCCAATTTATATTTACCAACAGCCGTCTCCGAGTGTGCTAGCAGGGCGAGCAGCTTGCGCCAGTGGTCCAAAGATTCCACCGAATAGCCAACTAAAAAGAACACAAACGCCAGCTGTAGCTCCTCAATGAGTGCGTCGGGATTATTATCAAAATTTTCGAATAGCAAATCCACAGCTGCTATGCAGTCTATGGCATGTCGCGAAACATCCGCTGGAGGTGAGTTTTGTGGAACACGTTTGGGCACAGTACAGAAACGTGGCGCAGTGCCCTCCACGGGCTTCAAACATGGTAGCATCTCACTTTCATCCAACAGCAACTTCGCTGCTGTATTCCGTTTGCTAATGTTGTCTGTTCCACCGCGTGGCCTGTCAGCATCCGCACAGGACTGTAGTTCAATGTTGGTTCGTATTGTTCCAAGTTCGGGCTGGCAACGAATTACGCACGATTCGGTAACGCTGCCAGTTAGATCTTTCCACTGACACACATAACGATAGTCGTACGGAGCCAGAACACGTTCTAGTTGGGCTAGATTCTTGCGTATACGTTCGCGCTCTAAGACCGGATCGGCTGTCTGGCGTGGACGCAACTCCTCTAACTCATTATCCCACTCACGCACAAGAATCTCATTGGGATGAAAAAAATGGACGAAGCCTACACGAGGTGCAGCGTCGCCATACGGGCCGCGGGATGCGCACCACACATAATGCACACCGGGTGGTATCATTTTGACGCCACGAAAATCTGGACCTATGGTATAAGCGCACAAGTCAATGCCAAACTCTGTGCCCAGAGGAACACCAGCTATGGCCAAAACTGCGCCGTCAGCTAGCAGGCGCAATGCCAATGCAGGATCCATCTGCATGTTGGAGTTATCTTTGTTCATTGCCTGCGTATTTATTTACTTATTCGTGTTATCAAAGGTCGAAACTATTTCGTCGTCCTCGCTTACATTCAATTGTTCATCTGTTGATTTCGGAACATGTTCAGTGGAACTTGTATTTGGTTTTTGTTGTTTTTAATTTTTATTTAAGTTGGTTTTTGTCTTTTTTATTCTACGATTTAACTTATTTTTGTTAATAAAATTGTGTTGGCAGATTTTTTTTAAATAAAATAATATTTTTTTTTAAATATAAAACTATAAGCAAGCAAAACACGCTCGATTCTGTATTAATCGATAGCATGTGGTTCACAAATCGATTGTCACATCTTATATAAATTTGGCGCAATAGCAAATATGTATTTGCCTATAATAAAAATTTTTCCAAAACTTTGCAGTATATAGTTTAATACTATTTAAAGGTTTTTTTCGTAATCTTAGAATCGAATTCGTACCCACTTTGCCTGCCACATAATTTCTCTACAAACATATCATCGGCTTTCTATGTAAATGTATATGTTTGATGATAATAAATACAAAAAAATTCAAATATTTGTAAACTTAAAACTAATAATATGTTTATATATTAATTGTTTTATTTACTACAAAATTAAGCCGAATTAGTACTGTAAGCTGCGTTTGGTGCCAATGTCGTCAAGTATCTGGCGCAGTTCCTCGTCTTCAAACCGACCCTCTAGAGATGGTATTAAAGCCTTAGCCTCCTCCGGCGCCTCCGGGCAGAGATTACCCAGAGCTGCAAGTTCAAATTTGTGCAGTTTCTTTTGCATTAGCAAACTTGAAGAAAACAAAGCAAATCAGAAAATATGTTGCTTTTAATCAGAGATATTTGCTGTTTACCTGCGGACGGACATAATGGTTTCCTTATTTTTGAACTTTCGAAAACTGTCTGTGTAGGCGTAGGTTTTCATAAAGACCTCTGAAAATTCCTGCTCTTCGTCAGCTGATTCGTTTTGACGTTTGCGATGATCAAGTAACATATGCACCTCCGATATGAGCAGTGTTTCAGCGTTCTCGAATTCTGCAATACAACAACATAAGATTCATGAGAATTAATTACATTGCGCATTATTTAATTTGTTATTGCAATTTACAAGTGAAACGCAAGTGAGTGTAATGCTATAAGTTTAGCCAAAAGTAGGAGGTCGAATGTGGCCATTTTCCACCAAGAAATCATAAATCTGGCGCGTTTTGTTAACATCTATCTTAATAAGTCGCCGTGCATCGCCCAGTCTTAGATGGCCCAGCTTGGCTTGCTCGGCAATCAGCTGATTTTTATATTCCAAATAAGCCTGTGGTATCAAACGCGCTACGCTACAAAGTGTGCGCTCTCCAGCATTTAACTTGGAATAACCGGGAAGATCTGAAAAAAAAAAAATGTTGAATTGTTAACTTTGACTATTAGGAAAATAAGCTTAAATGTATATATACCATATTTATGTGCTCTTTACAAATATTAAAATTAGATATTTATATTCTGATTATAAATATCAATATAAATATTCATATGCATACATAAATTCATAAATTGATCAGTCTATTTACTTATTTATATCTATCTCTGTAGAATGTGTAAATATATTTTAGTTTCCTACCCGTAATTTCCATTGGACTCGCCTTACGACGCGGACACAGCATATACACTTTGGAACTACTGCCTTGAGGCATGTGGTCTACATTCTGATTATTTTCGAAATGGTGTACCAATTGTTGCCAGTCATGGGCATCGTTTTGCCGTTGGCGTGCATATTCTCGCTGAGCCTGCTGTCGCTGTTTGAGGAGGCGCGTATAAAGCGAGCCACCGTAGAGAGTGCGCACGCCATGTTGCCGGATATCGTGGAGCCAATGAAGTCGATTTTGTAGCTGGCGGTAATGGCGTAGCGACTCCACCAGCAGATCAAACTTGAAAGGTTTGCAAACTTGCATGAGGGCAAGAAAGCGCATGCAGCTGGCATCGCTACGAAAAGCGCTAACATACTTTGTAATCCAACTGACCGTACGATTGGGCATGATAAGGCCATGGTCACGCATAATTTTGTAACGACGTTGACGCTCTCTAAAAATACATTAACATTGGATTGCTATAAAACAAGTTGAAATAAGTGGAACTGCTTTAAAACTACCTCAGACGATTGTTGTATGCGCGAACTAGTGCACACTGCAGTTCCTCGACCAGTTGGCTTTCCGGCGACCCAGTTTCAAGCTCATCATCATCGTCTGCACGTTGCTGTTCGACCATTACTGACAAGAGACCTTCGGCTGAGGAATCGTAAGGCGTATCAAAGTCGCCACGGGCGCATCGGTATCCTGCATTGATTTTAAACTGAATCGATGCAATGTCATCATGTCGAGGCGGCTCCAGGGATCGCATTTTGAACACATATGGCATACGCTCTGGCATGTAACAATTTCGCACATGCTGCAAACCCAGCAACCGTTCAAAGATGCCACCGAAATAACAATCATGATAGTGTCGTCGTATCTCCTCCGCTGAGTGGCGTCGCTGAAGAGATTTAGCTATATCATCCCAGTTGCCATAGCCATGGGTGTGAAGAGCTTGCAACAGTATACGTTCATCTCGAGCTGTCCAACTGGAATCGGTAGCAAATACTTGAACATCATCCCGTACTATAATGTAGGCGTGGCTGTTACGATGACCCACGACCTCGCGTCCTTTCGAAAAGCACTGCAGACACACCAAGATGTCCAGGCACTCGGCACACTTGATATAGGGCTCTGCGAGGCTACAACGACATATTGCACACAGAGTAGACCCAGATGAGTGCTCTTTTCTACGAGCCTTATTGTCGATTCTGGCAACTCTTTCCTCGAGCTTATTATGAAATGCGAGGGCATTATAATATACCGTTATATGTTTTGTTTTCTTATCAGCGTGAGCACGGGCAAACTCGACCGAGGAGCGCAGGACCTGGTGTTTGTTAGTTTTCGCTGTAAAGAAGTAATTCAATGTGTTATGTTGAACATGGCGTGCCATGTGGACCCCGTGGCACTCGTTTTGTTTCACTTGTAAGTTGCTAATCAGGATTTTAGCGATTTTTTATTATTACCTTTTGGAAACTGTAAGTCAGCTGCATCTTCATCTACCATGTCCACTGGGTTCATAAACGACATGTTGGTTCAGCTTGATTTTTGTGCTGTTAAATAATATTTATTTATAAATAATTTCCAAGATTGAACTTGTTTTCTCACAATGCCGCTTTTTTATTTGTACCAGGGATGCAAACAAAAGACGCCTGCGACAGTAGCGACCTGCAACACTGTTACTAATTACGGCTGTCAAATATTCTATTCAATCACTGCAACTATAAAATACCCGTGATGTGTGGAAGCTTATATGTTTTATAACACTGTCTACATTTAGCGGCATGCATTTCTTGTTTTACTCTCATATTATAATAATCAAATGGTTTTGACGCTCTTGCGATATTCCCAGTTAGACAGTAATGAGCGACATTGAGATCAATGATCCAGCTGAAAACTTTCCCAAATACTGTGACTTCTTCAAATATTTACTAGTTGAAGAGTTAGTGCTGGAGCCCGATTACCGGCAGATTCACTACGGAAAATGCGCAGTTATTGGACGCTTATGTGCCATTCCAGATTATTTTAAACTGGAAAACGTGACAGTTCCTCATCTACCAAGGTAACTACCAGCGCTTACTGTTTTACTGAATAGTACTCACAACTTACCACTCATTTAGTGCTTACAGGTTGCCAACTGGTGCCGTGTCTCTGCTTCTATTGAACTTCAGCTACGACAACAGTTGTACTGAAAGTCTGGCTAACGGAGCGTACTGTATTATGCGTGGCGAGGTTGTGCTATGCAACGTGCAGAAGCCGAATAGTCCCACCCTGACAACTCGAGGCTTACACGAGCAATTGCTTCAACTGGAGGACAACGACACAGTGAGGTCCACATTCTTGGAAAAGGTGCAGAAAACTCATAAGCCCGCGCTAAGCGTATGGCACTCAAGTCGTATTGATCAAGCCGAGGAGTTAATCCAACGTCGGCTTGAGATTCGTTTGCTGTGCAATTAGAAGTACATCTAAAAGACCCAATGAAATGCATTCACATTATTTGAGCACGTCACGCAGCAATCCTCAGTTTTATACATTTTCTCAAGTATTTGAGAAAGCGGCGATTTTAGATCCTCTGTGGAAAGAGGACGTTCAGCAATCAGCTTGGCTTGATTTCTGGAAACGCGAAGGTCACGAGTTTCTTGAGCAGAAGTGGCACAAACAGTATCCCGAGTATAAGCAGGCAATTGAGTTAGCCACACCCGAAGAGCGTGCAGCTTGGCAGAAGTTGTGGGAAAAACATGCCAGCGATCAAAGCGCACATTTCTGGCATATCTTTTCATGTGTCTTGGAGAACTACGAAAGGGATCTGAGTAACGGTTTGAAAGATGTTGGTCACACCTTAACCGATATAGACGAACATTTCACGTATTTAGATATAAATCAAACCGACGCCACTATAGCAAGTGTTGAATGCAACGAAGAGGACCAGGATTATCTTACCGCTAACGACGATCCAGATTTTCTTGACGAGGAGCAGCAGCTAAGACTGCTCGGATTACCCACATCTTTTGGTGTAAAAAGTGCCACAAGCCGACAAAAACCAAAACAAAAGCCCCCAAGCGAATCTGAGAGTGACAGCGACATGTCCAACGAAAAGGATGAGATGCATGCAGTTAAGGCGCGGGCCATTAGGAAAAAGAAGCGACAAAAGAACTCAAAAATTCCACAGTTTATGAGAGACGACAACCTTTTGCTTAAGTATTGGTTCAAGCGCTTCTCGCTCTTTTCCCGCTTTGATCAGGGCATCGTCTTGGATCGGGAAAGCTGGTTCTCAGTGACCCCAGAAAAGATTGCCAAACAGACGGCTCGACGTCTCGCCTGCGATGTTATTGTGGATGCATTTTGCGGTTGTGGCGGCAATGCCATACAATTTGCTAACACTTGTGGCCGCGTGATTGCCATTGACATTGACTTAAACAAATTGACTATGGCAAAGCAGAATGCTGCTATTTATGGTGTAGCCCATAAGATTGAGTTTGTCCATGCGGACTTCTTACAGTTTGCCAGCACCACACGTTTGCGACCCGATGTGATTTTTCTCAGTCCACCCTGGGGTGGACCGGATTATCAAAAACAGGCCAATTTTGATATTGAACAGAATTTGCTACCGCTGGGAGCGACTCAGTTGATGGAACATGCACGACGGCTCACGGACAATATTGGATTCTTTTTGCCACGCAGCTCGAACATTAAACAGGTAATTGCGCTTACGCACGCGGGCGAACAGTGCGAGGTGGAGCACAACTATTTGGATACGCGTTTGGTGGCAATAACAGCCTACTATGGCAAGAGCTTGGTCAAGAGTCAAAAGTAGGCGCCAGAACATTAATTATTAGCGTCAATTCGGGCTAAAATCTATTGTCGAAAAAGTAGTACTTACTTGAATTTCTTAAATTAATTGAGTTTTAAATTTAAGTATGTAAATACTTATATATATTAAGCACATTGTTCACTTTTTATGATTAGTTGTAATTATATTATATTATATGTTTGCTTAAATTGTTTTTTTTTTTACTATTTCAAAAGCTTAAATTCAGTTGTAACCACATTAATAATAATTTGACTGTTCTGTGACTCTTTCTGGCAAATCCCGCTTTGTTGATGCATCACTGTGTTCGCAAAACAGTTGCCAAGTCACCGGGTAGAGCGTAAGGACTTTATCCAATTTAGACAGCTTAAATATGCTGCTCCCTCCTCTTGACCCCGCCCCTGCCAGTTCGTGCGGTAAGATTGCAGTGACCAATGGTCATAACCGTAACGTCCCCCACCCTTGATTCGATTGTGACTTTTAATTAAAAACGCAAACGGAACAAAACGGGCATCTATTTTAAGAACTTTGTGAACAACTCTAAGCCTGGCAACCGAGCGGGGCAATTAACATGTCCATGTCACAAAAGTTTCACATAAATTCCAGCGTAGACCAAAAAACAACAGCAACAACCCTTTTCGCTGTTAACAACATATTTAGAGCATCCCTTGGGTTGGGGCTGTATTTGCGGAATTTACAGCTACCAAATGGCTAAATGGCATTCAGCTAGTTGTTCTTCCCGGATATCATCATCAGCATTTACGCTCTGTCTAATTAGTTTGATAAACTTATTATTTGCCCCAATGTAGCTTTAGCAATTTTAAGTGGATTCTTTTGATTAAGTCGAATATCAAATGACCGTAATTACTATTTGGATAAAGCTGAAAGGGATACAAGAAGAGAGAAGACTACTTTGGGATATATTTAGATTAGGTCAAATATTACATGAAAGAATTTATCAAAAGTAAATATGTATTTATAAAATAAAATATATAAAATGATTCAATCATATTACGATTACTGATTAATAATAATTATATTTAAAATGAATTAATAATTTATTTAAAAATGTATATACATATATTAGTTCTGCCTAAAGGGAACCTCCAAACTCTGCTTCCAGTTTGTCGATTTCGTCTTTTACTGCCTTTTGCAATTTTGAAAATCTCTCAAGTTCAGTTCTCTGTGTATGCATTGATTCCTTATTCTATTTAGTACAATAATACTATTATTATTGTTTATATATATTATATATTGATGTACTTTGTAAATAAGTAGCATAGGTTGATATTGTTTTTTAAGCTGTTATATAAATATATGCAGTCCTGGGTACTGGAATGAATTACTTATCAAGTTGAGGTTTAAGAGACTGTAAGTTTATATATGTAAATTGCAGTTCTTCGAGTTGTAGTTGTAGAATCAACATAAATAATATAGTTTCAGAGTAGTGCAAGTTTTGTAAAATATATATTTAAAATATCTCTCTAATGTTGTTTTCCTTGTTTCGCAGCTCGCATTTTCATATATACTTTATATATATATATATATATATATATATATATATATATATATATATATATATATATATATATATATATATACATAGGTATATGTAATAATATTAAACTTGATTTGTTCATAAATCAGCTCTAAATGAGATTCATACTCCGTTCCGGCTGCTCATCACGCTTAATTAGCTGCGCCCGGAGACAGCACCTGCACAATCGCATTTTCCACTGACTGTTGGCTTCCTTCATGGCCTAATCGCATTTGATATTGTCAAAACTTGCAACACAAATAAACCACCCTGGCGTTTAGGCTTGGGCTGGAGCTAAGCCCTCGCCATCGTCAACATCGTCAAGTGGCACAAATTACAGATCAAACATGCAGTCAGAGCTGCAGTTGGACTTGCCCGGCGGGTTGGGCGACCATTTATCAAGACCGTTGACAATATTACGCTTAAAATTAAATAGCGTAATAAAAGGGTGACTTAATTTGTTTTTGCCCGGGCAGGCGCCACCACTCACGATTACGGGAGATGATGAGCTGTGAACACGTGTTTGCTTTCTAATAAAATATTCGCTCATATAAACAACAGCGACGGACTCAAAGGAATATTGCTCTTATATCCCTGATCTTCGCATTTTATTATTGAAATTTTTTATGTCAACCCCTCGGCAATTACGCGTGTCTAATAACGGGACCAGGCATTATAGCCCTACATAGATTTAAGTAGCCGATAATGCCTCGATTGACGCGTGACGCAATTTGTTTGTCTTTTATTAACATTTACTTTTTATAGCGATTCCGGAATATGTAAAAAGGTTCAGTCCTCATTTTAGCTTATGTTTTTTTCAACAATTTTATTTATATTTGGGCTTGAAGCTGAAGCCTGAAGTATCTGAAGAATCTAACATATTCATTGAATTATAATTCCAATAAAATCGTATAGCTTATAGCGAAATAATTAATTAGAAGAAACTTATGTAAGTCTCATCCATCTGACCGCAAATCAACATTCTCTTCAATATTTTCTCTAGATTTATGGATATAATTGATTTGTTTACTTTTGATATACAGTTAATAAAGGTATAATCATATAAGCTTAACTTAAAACAAGTAAGAAAGCTCTAGTCAGGGTGCCCGACTAGGAGGCACACTGATCCCAGTCCTATCTACGTTAATTAATATGTTCCGTAGTTTGTATCGAGTATTAAAAAAAAACAAAATCAACTGAAAACGACATTAAGATACCAGGATTCGAACCCGGATTGTTTGTGAATATATATACTTTATGGAGTCTGCCACGCCTCCTTCTGCTTGTTACATACACTTGCACAAAACCATTATATCCTGATTTTCCATTTTCAATGGGATCCGGGTATAAATAGCGAGCACTTCGGGAGTGCTCGACTAGGAGATACCCTGAACCATGAGTTGTTTTTTTTGAACACTAGCAGTGGCTACATATATGCTAAAAAAAAGCATTTTTGAAAAATTTTCCTCTAGATGGACCTTATTAACGAGATTAGAGCTTAATGACATCTAGTTTTGCGTTTTTTTTCAAGTTTCTTCTATTGGCAATATCTCGCATAGACGAATATATCTAGATTGCCTCAGCTCGTTCTATGAATCAAGAACATATATTTGCCACGCCTCCTTCTGCATGTTATATGCATTGTCGCGGATGTGTAAAACTGTCAAAGGTGTGATTTGCCAATACTCCAATGTATATCTGATATAGACATACGATTACAGCATCTGGAATTTCTAAGTAAGTTATAAGCTATTACAATTAATAATTAATATTTTATAATGACAATAAGGAAGCCAACTATATATGTGTGCAGTCTTTCTTACACTGTACTATATCTGATATATTTTTGTTGTAATCAACGAGGGAGAATTGAATAGGCTTGAAACTATTACAAAATGGCGGCACATTTGACTTATTGATTAACCGTTATTCATGGCTTGGGCATTAAAATTAATAAACGTTGCCAATGTATGAGCAACCACAACAACAATTATAGCAATAACAATAACAACGACGCAGCACCCAGGCACTTGTGTGCGAACCAGCAACCAGAACCAGAACCACAACAATACCAACTTTGTCTCGGAGCAATAAAAAATGCCAAGTATATCCACAAAATAAGAGCAATAATATTTAATAAATGTGCACACACACACATACATATATACACAATATGTTTTTACTTTGGTGGTTGAATACGAAAAACCATAAATAAATACAGGCGCGCAAACACACTCACACACACACTCATACGTACTCAGGCACGCACACAAAAGCAGCGAGCGAGAAATAAGCGCATAAAAAGATTAAAACGTGTTGGCATCTCTGTGTATATACAGACATACATAGGTAGGCAGGCAAGCTTTCTGTGTGTGTGTGTGTGTGTGTGTGTGTGTGTGTATGTGTGTTATGCCCTTTTGGTTGAATGCTTGAGCAAGGCGGGCAGACGGGCAGGCGGGAGACGGCTAGGAGGACAGGCGGCTGGGTGGGTTGGGCGTGTAGCTAACTTCCGCATCCCTGGCATCCCCGCCCATGCCAACCCCCGACATCATTTTCCGTGGCATTTCGGTGAAAAAGAATGCTTTTGATCTTCACAAGCGAATGATTTTTAATATGACTTTTTGCTGCTGATGACGCTGAGGTCGTAGGACGTTGTTGCCTTGTTGCCGCTGTTAGCTCAAAAATATGTTTACCAAATGCTGCGCGCATGCAGTGAGTAAAGTGAGTGCAGACAGTCAATCAGTCGATGTCCTTTCACACAGAGCATTTTTAACTCGTTACAGCATATAATTAATCAGCTCAATTATATGGCAATGCAATGCACACACACACACACACAGCTCGAAAGCATACATACACACACGCATAACCGCAGCGCCTAAAATTAGGCTAGTTCAAAGGGTCTCATTTGCTGTTCGCTGGGGCTTGGTGGGTGGGCGTTATCAGGGTGGCTGTTAGGCACAGGCATAATGATGGTAATTTGTTGGTTTGGCCAAAAGAGCAAACGGCACGCTTGGAATTTCAATTAATTTCCATAATTTCCAACGCTTTATGAACGAACAGAAGCGAAGCAAAGCAAAGCAAAGCAAATGCGTCGCGATTACGAGGGTGTTTTTTGTTCAGCCAACAATGAGCTGAAACCATTGGCCTAAACGAAATGTTACTGTCTGCCTATCCGTCTGCCCAGTCCCCTGTGTGTGAGCGTGAGCTCATCCCAAGATGCGCACGACCTCAAGGTGTAAGTTGTCCTTTTAGCATCATCATTATCTTTATCGTTATCAGTAGAGAACAGCACGAATAACTGAAACAGCCCAACATGCAAACACAAGTCGTATCCCCGAAGAAGGATTCTTAGACAACTTATATAATCTTGACTGATGGAGCACTTTAGTCAATAGTAGCATGTTAAAAGTATGTAAATGTTAATGCAAGACTAAACTTACTTTTATATAATATTGCCAATCTTTGTGACCTGTCTGGTTGACTGATTGACTGAAAATAATTCAGTGGCAACCAAAAAGCCTTACACTTACACAATCGCTTTTCACCAGCTCAATAAGGTGAAAAGCGATTGTGTAAGTGTAAGGCTTTTT